CTTCTTCTGCCTCTTCTTCTTCTCTCGAATTTTTGGTCTCTCAAAACAAGTTCCTCTTGGCCCCCCGTCCCCCTTTTCGCCCGCGTCTTTCGGATGGATTGCTCCTGCTGTACAGTCTCTCACACATATATACATGTCGCACACGTAGTCACGCTTCTGGGTTTCTTCGTTCTTCGTTCTTCATCCTGGTACAAGTTCTTCCTTCTTCCGTCCACCTTTTCTTGACCTTTTTCCCTCACCGTCATGTCGTCATCATCATCGTCATCATCATCAGCAGCATCATCCCCCTTATCGTGGTCTCGACCTCGGAGGTGAAGGAACACCATCATGTCCATCTTCTTCCTCTCCCGCCTCAATAGGCGGATTCAATCCCAGCCCACCGGCACCGCCTCTCGGAACGAGATCCCTGGGATCCCAAGAGACGGCATGGTAGACTCCGGTGGCGGTGAAGTAGTCGTTGACGTCGCGAGGGGCTCCGCGGGGTCGGGATTGGGTGTCGGTTGCTGCTGAGGGGGAGGGGGTGATGCGGCCGACGTATTCGGGGGGCAGTCTGCCCCTCTGTTGGACGGCGAGGGTGGAGGTGGAGTCGTCTACGGAAGGGTACCGTCGAGCAGCGAGAGGGGGTTCGTAGATGTCGTCGGGGGAGTCGAGTGTGCTGAGAGCTTTGTGGTCGAGATCGATGGCGGAGACGGTGGGGGGTTTGGGTTGCATCTCGAAGGTGGTGGCTTGGTGGCCGCGTTGGTATCGGAGGACTTGGTGTTGGGAATTGCCTCGCATGATTTCCGGGCGGGCGTCGAGGCTGACGAATTCTTGGCGGGAAGAGGAGAATGGTGATCGGATGAGGTCCCACCACGCGGGGAAGACGGAGGGTCGGGTGAGGAGGAGGAAGACTTGGACGCCGGCGAGGGAGAGGAGCATGACAACTGCGATTACTGTGGATTCGTTGACGAGCCAGCCGGCGACGAGGTGGAGACAGGCGGCCTTGTCGTCAGGGTGTGCCGCCAAGCAGACAAGCCATGGTTCGACTTTGTCAAAGTCGTTCCTGACGGACGTCTGCATTCCGTCGAGGGAGACGAAGACGACGGAGAAGAAGATGACGTCGACGAGGATGATACAGCAGATGCAGATGCCACGCCACTGAAGCCAGAGGACCTTCTTCAGTCGGCGGTAGACCGCGCGGGCGGTCTGCGCGCGCATGCTGCCTTGATAGGAAGGCAAGCCGCTGCCGGATGCGCTCGTGGTGGTTTGCGTGTCCTCGGTCCACAAGTTGCGCAGGTAGACGTGAATACAGTAGCCGAAGGTGACTAGCTGAAGCAGAGCGGCAGCGCCTGCCATTACGAGCAGGAGTCCCCAGAAGTCGCCCATGGAGTCGTGGTGGTTGATCTGGCAAGTGGTACCAAAACGGAAGCTCACGCCGGTGAGTGTTAGGGTGGTGGTGAACAAGATGGCCGGGATGCCCCAGCCGAGGAGTTGTGAGATGTAGAAGAATTTCTTTCCAGGCACGATGTCCCAGCAGATTTGCAAGTTCATCGACAGTGCGCGAATGAAGATCCACATGTCGGTCGTGAGCCCTCCCGCGATAATGAAGGCGCCAGACCAGGCACATTCGGTGAGGGAGTACATGTCGTTGGGTGTGATTTCGTCGTAGCATTGGTCGGGATTGGCAGCGAGTGGGATTGCGTTACCCAGAGTGATCATGACGATGGAAACGATTAAGCAGACGCTGAGGTAGTGGCTGCTGGTCTGCTGTGCTGGGAGGAGGATATATGATAGCAGCATGAAAGCCATGAGGACCAGGCCGACAACGTTCAGCCATTGCGCCGCGGTGGTGGATGTGTTGAAATTGTCCGAGTAAGCCCATTCGGTGGCGGGACAGGGCAGACAACATGTAGGCTTTCCAGGTAGTGCGTCTATGGGATTGCAGAATCTTCCCGTTATGTCTGGAGATGTTAGTGGGGGGAGAGAGAAGGGGGGGGGGGGGGGGGGGGGGGGTTTGGGGTTGCCCAGGAAGTACTCACATCCTCCTTCCGTGCCAAATTTCGATTCGTCGAGAAAGGGCGCTACGCAGGCTCCGATCAGGTCCGAGGTTGTTGAATTTGCCATTATTTGGATGAATCAATGTGGTGGTATGTGTCGTATATCCAACTCCAGCTCCAGCTCCAGCTCCAACTTCAGCGCGGACCGTGCCCTAGTATGCGCTGCGTCCGACTCCCATCTACTTGCGCCAATGGGTGTGTCTGCTTCCCGGATCCAAATGTGCTCTCGAGATGCTATGTCCGGTAATTTGCGGTGCAGTGTCTCCCGGTCCGTGTCTTGCAGTAGATGGATGGACGTCGGGTATCATGCCAGGTATGAGGGGACCTGGTAGAGATTGGAGGACAGAGATCACGTCGGCGTCGGGCGGGGTGGAGCACAGGTCCGTGGTGTATATGAGCAGAAGAGAGCGACGGGAGCAAGTGAGATGGCGGAGGCAAGGGAATGGGAGAGTTGTTCAAGGGGGGGAGGGGGGGGGGGGACGGAGACGGGTATATGGATGACCGAGAGGACAGTAGGAGAGGCGGGAGATGGGATGGGATGGGATAGGATGGGATGGGATTGGAGAGGCATAGAACTACTACTACTACTACTATGCTGGCTGGCTGGCGGGCGGGCGGGCGTGCGTGCGCACCTGGGAGACCGGCCGTGTGCTGCACGCGAGCGAGAGATGTAAGACTAGGAGTGGACGAGACGAGGGAGGAGCATCGGGTGCGCACACACACTCACTACTGTGCACTGTGCAAGAATGTGCACAGGGAAGGCGGTAGTGGGATGAGAAGGGAATGAGATGAAGCTGCGATGGCCACGACGCCCGGTCGGCAGAGCCCGCGATACGGCACGGGCACGGGGAGACGGGACCGGGAGCAGTAGGGGCTCCACTCGCGGGCCAGTCCACCGCTGCTGCCTTCCCCAACTGGTGATGTTGCTCCCGAGCGCGACTACCTATAACGTGTGGTGAGCACTAGACCGCCTTACCAATCCCCGCTCCTTCCTGCCCGCCAAGCTGGATCGCGTGGCGTACGCTCAAAAACCTGGCTTGGTTATCCGAGCTCTCCTTGGCGGCAGTATCACATCGTCCCTTCTTCTCTCATATCAACGCGTCCTAAGTAATGAGACTGCGCCTGTCCGTCTTTCGCCATAGATCCCCTCTCCTGTCGCTAGACTCCAAGGTACGTAGGAAGCGATGTTACGGTCACACTAAGCGAACGATTCTAACGCGTTGATAGGTAGTGGTAGCAGTCGCGAGAGCGCGTGTAAGCCATCGCCGAGATGGTAATCTCGACTTAGCAGCGTCAGAACTGCCCTTTGCCCTCTGCAACTCTTCAAGCGACGCTACGCTAGATGAACCCTCGTACTAGTGTCTTCCCCGCGGCAAGCGGCAAGCGCTGCAAAAGCTTCTACACCAGGTACTGTACCTAGGTGATGAGGTTGGAGCCTTCAACGCTCGATTCGGAAGGCGGTGAGTGGGCCGAGTCAATACGAACAGTAAGCACTACCACGGCGGCGCGTAGATCATCAGATGCTTCCTCGCACATGCCCTTCCTGCCCTTCCGACTCGTTGTCGTCCCTCCTCGCCAAATGATTATTGCCAGCCGACGACAGTCCCTTCGCGCTCGTGGCGTCGCGGAAGATCGACGCCCACTGCCGTCTAGAGTGTACGATCTAGAGTGTACACACCCGGTGCGAGAGGGTCCCATCGCCATAGCATCTGCCTCATCTACACCAAGCAATTTTCGTTCCACCACCTCCAGCTGCCTCCTTCCCGGCAGTGGAGTTTGCGCGCGCGAGAACAGAACACGACTTCCGACGACGAAAATGGAATGCACGCACGGCGTCGCTGCCGTGTGCGCCCGACGCGACTGTTCCTGGCAGCCGCCTACAAATCGCATCCCTCATCACAAACCAGCTGAATCAAGCTTCTGTGATATCACCTACCAGCCGACTGCGGCCCATTCCCCTCCTCACATCCGCGAATCTGCCATCCAACGCCGCCGGCAACCGATGACAAGAGGGTATGCAAGGTGGCGTCAATAATCTCCATGCTGGTGCTGGTGCTGGTGCTGGTGCATCGCGTGCTCGACCACAGACGGCCGCCGTACAAGGGTGGGTCCCTTTAGCCTCCGCACTATGAAACCACGCGGACCACTACGAATGCAGGAACTACACTAAATCTTCTCATTCGCCCGACCTCACCCTGTCACCACTCTCCAATCCATCCTCTCATCCGCGCCTACTTCTGTATCCCCATCGCTGCCATGGCCAGCACCCGACTCCACCTGCGAAATGAAAAACCCCGAGCCTACGAAATTCGACTGCCAACAATTCCCCATCCCGCCCGCCTTGCACATACCGATTTCAGGGGACGCGCCCTCCATCACGAATATGTTTGCTTCGCGAATCCCCACCAGCTCGTCGGGAGATCGAAGCATTTTTAACTTCGTGACAGCGGTTCGCAGGTCGCGGCAGGAGCGCATTGCGGTGCCTCTGCATCGCATTCATGTCTCGGTAATTGGTCGGTATGGCTAGAGATCGACCTCTGCCACGCATCACAAGGACCCTTCGAGGCGTCGGAAGAGTCAACCGGGATGCAAGGAAGGACTCCCATCACACGCTCCTGCCCCACCACCACGGGTACAGACCAACACCTCTCCTCTCCCGCACACCTCGCCGCGTAACTGTACATTCGTCGCCCACCCGACGGAGAACAACCAGATGCTCAGCCCTGCCGCTTCTCCATCCCGAGTGCATGCTGATCAGGCATGCTAGATGTCACTCTCTCGCCTCTGTCTCCTGACAGGGCAGAGACTCGTGCCCCAAAGTTCTTCATTACGCAAACCCTCCAGACGGAGAAGCACCCTCTCCTTCGGCAACACCTCTTGGCTGCATGCACTGCAAATACACCCCAAGGTGGGTCTCGGTGCGCGGCGCTCGCTGCGCTACGCTACGCGAACACGGGGTTGAAGACCAGACCAGAGCCGCGACTTCAAATGGCAAGGGCCGTCCCCACCACGCGCGAAAACGCCTCACACAGCTTCCTGGTATCCGTTGGCGACAATGGACCCAATGCTGAGGGACGTCCTTCCGAGGGGCAAGTCGCTCGTCTACAGCACTGAAGCACGGCATGCACATTCCTCTCACTCGTGGTGGACGTCTTTGAAAATTGCGATACCGACGTGTACGACAAGGAGCGTGAGCACCAGCTATGTGACACGGGAAAAGCAATTAGCTTCGCGCACATCCTTCAGCACCTTCTCATGCAACTTACCAGTCCGACTCCGATCATGATGACAAGGATTTCCCAGCCGCCCGCCTGGATTCTACCCTTTGTCATCAATGACTGCTGTTTGAAGTACCGGGCCGTGCCGACAAGGGTGACGCCCAGCGCAGAGGCTTGCAGTATCGCGGAGAGTGGCTTGCTCACGGCGAAGTAGCCGAAGACAGGATCCGGTGATGTTGAATGCTGCAGTCGCCAGAGCTGTGCCATGATGGTGCCCGTCACCGACAGGGCTACGGATGTCCTAACGTATCCGAGGAAGGTGCGTTCGTTTGCTGTTGGAAAGTGTCTGATCAGCGCACGTTTCCGAACACTGTACCGAAGTGCTTGCGAACGAGACTAGATTAATAATACTCCAACAGAAGGTCGCTGTCCTCTGCGGCCGTACGCGGGCATACCGACAGTGCTTCGAGAAGAAGCTCCGCGATCGCTATGCATATTGTGGAGCGGGCTGCGCTGCGAATCCATCCTGTTGCTTCGGTACAAGGTCGCTGATCCCTACGCGGGCATACCGACGTCGCTTCGAGAGCAGGTGCCTGGGTTGCGGAAGTCTCAATCCGAATCTTTCATCCTTATGCCGTACGTAGCATGGATGCACGAAGCCTGCTGGCGCAGTACTCGGGGTTCCATCGTGGCCCAAAGGTGGGTGCTCTCGCCGGCACCGACTCGCTTCACCAACGATTGGCGCCTAGCAGACACGACAAAAGTCTGCGCTTTGGATCACACGGCTCCCAGGCTCTCGAGAAAGCAACACTCATACTCTCGGGAACGCTTCTTACGAAGTGACTTACCCAAATGATCTCTGCAGTCGACATGTGCCACCGACACCTGCACGTGGTGTCTCCAGAACTTTTGGAACGGATGGTGCCATTTCTCCGAGTCTGTACCGGGAGAGATGATTCTCGCCGGTCTTCTGTTGGTAGGTCGCAATTCTGTCGCTTCTCGTTCGTTGCCTTCTTCGTCTTCTTCTGCTTCTTCTTCCGCTGCTTCTTCCTCGCCGTGGCCGGACAGATGCGCCGGTTCAGGTTGTGTGATTGAATCGCCAGAAACTCTCTTGGAATTGCATTGCTCCATCGATGATGCGTTTTTGCCGAGAAAGCTGTGCGCTCGTGCCAGAATTGCCAGTGTATCTTTCCCAATTCTTCCTCGTCTGACTGTACGTCGTCGATCAATGGGAAACTAATGGAAAGTTTGATAGGAGACTGCACAGACTTTTCCAAGGAGAGGAAACGAATGTCGCTGTTCAGAGAAACAGCGTGATGATGAAGGAGAGGGGAACGTAAGCATGAGTGAGACGAGCGGCTTTCTGCGCCGTTTGTGCAGCTGGCTGTTTGCCATGGTAGCCACATCCGAACGCGCCCTCCTCGTCCCTCCCCATGTGACGCAAGGGAGTTCTCGGCACCTGTTTGGGGCCGTGCGGTCTGCATTCCGCCGCGGCCGCGCGCCGGCGGGGCAGCGGCTTGAAGTTTGAATTGAATGATGAGCTATCACGACACAATTCCGGTGCTTGTGGGTAGGTCTACGTGCTCTGGATACTACGAGAGTGATTGCAAGTGCAGGAGTGGTATGCAAAAGCAAAGAGAAGAAAAGATGTTGTTTGGATAGAGAGATGGTCACGCAATTCTCGGAATCGGAATCGGGTTGGAGGTGGAGGTGATGTCACGTGAGGGATTAGATCCGGGAGGCGCCGACAACGCACGACGCACAGGTCACAGGACGTGAGGTGTTGTGGAATTGCAGTGTCTAAAGATAATGCAAGATCTCAAAGCAGTCGTGGCACGTCGCTATCGTACGCTTCCCCAGGCGTTCTACTACCGACATCGCTTTGGGTCGTGCCCGTGGTGGGTGTTTTCTAACAAACTCTGTCCGACCTCACATCCACTCACAGAGACCTTTTCTAATCTACCTAGATTTTCTGGCCCAGACGGCCCGCCGCGAACGGGAGGCACCATGGATGCTTCTCACTACTTTCCATAGCACTGCACTCTTGCTCCATGCCTAACACGACGTAGCTTCACAACAAACACGACATACACGACGTCGATTCATAACATACACGACGTTTTCTTCCTTTCCTCGGCGTTGGTGTCGCGCCTCTCTCTCGACTCTCACCAAACACACGTAATCTCCGAAGCTTCGAATCTTAACGCGCATAGAGCTCCTACAGCGATAAAAGCACCACGTTAAATAACATCGACACTCGCGGCCGCTTGCTGCTCCAACACCACCCGCCGTCATGGCGCTGTCCAAAAGCACCCGAATCATCATCCTGCTCGTCATCGACTCCGCCTTCTTCCTCCTCGAACTCATCTCCGGCTATGCCGTCCACTCGCTCGCCCTCGTCGCCGATTCCTTCCACATGCTCAACGATGTCCTCTCCCTGCTCGTGGGACTCTGGGCCGTCAAGATGGCAAACAAGTCCTCCGCGCCCAAGATGTACACGTACGGATACCAGCGCGCCGAGACGCTGGGAGCGCTCGTGAATGGCGTGTTCCTGGTGGCGCTCTGTGTGACGATTTTCCTGGACGCGATTCAGAGGTTTGTGGAGCCGCAGGTGGTCAGTAATCCGCAGTTGGTGCTGGTCGTGGGGTGTCTGGGACTCCTATCGAATGTGGTGGGGTTGGCGCTTTTTCATGACCATTCGCATGGTGGGCATGGGCATAGTCATGGGGGTCATGAGCATGGAGATGAGGCGAGTGCTGCCGAAGAGGGACATGCGGGACATGCGGGACATGTGCATGAGCCGTATAGGGACGAGCCGCATCGTCATTCGCATGGCCAGGAGGGTCATGCGATTGAGCACTCGGATACACAGACTAGTGGGTCTACGGCTATTGCGGAGGACTCTGCTGCGAAGACGGCTGCTCCTCCCAGCAAGCGTAGACATAGCCGTTCGACTTCGCGCGCGGCTTTGAACCCGGAGGAGTACGCGGGGCCGGCTGCGTTCAGGAATTCCATTATCGCTGCAAGCCGCATGGATCCATTGGAGTCGGAGGAGGAAACGACGACGGTCGAGCCCCCAACGGACAACACGTTTGAACCACTTCTTGGGGGAACGGGGACAACGATTGCTTATGGAGCAACACAGCCGACTGCTAATGGCAAGTTCGACCACAAGGCTCACAAGCACTCGCAACCCAAGGAGGCTAGCAAAGGCGGCCATGCAGGCCACAACCATGGCGATCTCAACATGAAGGGCATCTTCCTCCACGTCATGGGAGATGCTCTGGGCAATATCGGTGTCATTGCCACTGCGCTCATCATCTGGCTCACCGATTTCGAGGGCAGATACTACTTTGATCCGGCCATCTCGCTTGTCATCACCATCATTATCCTCTGCTCCGCCATTCCACTCTGCAAAGCCGCATCTCGAATCCTCCTCCAAGCTGTTCCCCACGGCATCGAAGTAGACGATATCCGAGACGACATCGAGGATCTACCTGGCGTCGACAGCTGCCATCACCTCCACGTCTGGCAACTGAGCGACACCAAACTCGTCGCGTCTCTCCACATCCGCGTCACTTTCAACTTCAAGGGCGAAGGCTCACAACGGTATATGCAGCTTGCATCGGCCATCCGCGATTGTCTGCACGACTATGGCATTCACTCGTCGACGATTCAGCCCGAATTCCACCGTCAGGAATCGGATATCGACGACCAGTCGAGCCCCGGCGGGAATGACGGCACCCATGATAACCCCTCCCGCTCTGCATCCGTGAGAGGCGACACGCGCTGTTTGCTGGAGTGTGATGATAATTGCGGGGGTGGGAAGAGCTGTTGTCCGCCTGCCCAGCAGCCGAAGGGAGGCGATGGACATGGACATGGCAACGAGGGACATGAGCATTCTCATTAGAAAGGGCAATGGGTCAAGTTGAAGAAGAGGGTGGATTCTTTGCTTTAATATGTGTTTTGTCACAATCACGGCCAGCCATGAGTGCTCGCAAGGGGCGAAAGTGCAATTCATTCTTGTCCGTGCATGGTGTTCGGGCGACAGCGAGCCCAAAAGTGTTATTGCTCGGGACTGTATGTTGTGTTGTGGGTTCACCTATGGCAGTGTTGAATTAGATGTGTTGATAGAGAAGGTCTGCGCGGACTTGCTGTATTTGTGGTGAGCAGATGAAGTTCGAGGTAGTAATCAAGATTCCATTTGACCATCATCAACATTTGATTCCAGCTTCGACTTCACATGCAAGCCGTGGAACTTTTTTCGACGTCACAACACCCACATGGTCTCCTCGCGATTGACTCTTCTAACTCGTGAGTAATCTCCATACTTGCCTCTTGTGACGGAGCACATCATCATCATTATGGCTGGCAGTGAGCAACAGCAACAACACAACAGCGCCAAGCGCCGCAGACTCGACACCGACTCCAGCGATGCCGAACATCACCTCTCCATCAAGCCTCGCGATGGCCGCACGCACCACCCATTCACGAGATCGCGCACCCGACCGCAGAGTCCCCACGACCGCTTCGAGGGCCCGGAGCCCGGGGTGGACGACAGCAGCGCCGTCGCCGCCCTAGATCGCGACTGGTATACCTACGGCGAGGAAGGCACCGTGCTCGGCGATGAGACGCACAACCCCTTCGATGGCGGTGGCGGAGGAGGAATGGAAGCTTCCTGGGCGGACCAGGAACGCGAGAGGGAATTACACGAGAAGAAACTCGCGGTGCGGCGGCGGATCAATCCGAAATTCCTACAGCGACAGCGGGATAACGATGCGTGGGAGACGAATCGCATGCTGGCGAGTAGCGTGGCGCAGACGCGCGAGGGGGGCGTTTTCGACGACGACATTGAGGGGGAGGAAGCGATGCGGGTGCACCTGCTGGTTCACGATCTGCGGCCGCCTTTCCTGGATGGCAAGAGCGTGTTTACGAAATTGATGGAGCCCGTGAGTGCGGTGCGGGATCCGCAGAGCGATATGGCGGTCTTTGCGCGCAAGGGCAGTCGGGTGGTCAAGGAGAGGAGGGTGCGGAAGGAGAGGGAGAAGCAGGCGCGGGAGGCTACGGCTGCGAAGGGGACGGCGCTGGGGAATATCATGGGGGTCAAGGGGGAGGAGGAGGATACGGATTCTGCGATTGCGCCGGGGGCGGGGGAAGGGAGGAATACGGGGTCGAAGTTTTCGGAACATCTGAAGAAGCAGGAACGACAGCCGGGACAGGGACAGTCTGATTTCTCGAGGAGGAAATCTCTGAGGGAGCAGAGGGAGTATCTGCCCGCTTTTGCGGTGCGGGAGGAATTGCTGAAGGTGGTGAGGGATAATCAAGTGATTATCGTGGTGGGACAGACGGGGTCGGGCAAGACGACGCAGTTGACGCAGTTTCTGTATGAGGATGGGTATGCGAAGAATGGCATGATTGGGTGCACGCAACCGAGACGTGTGGCCGCCATGTCCGTTGCGAAGCGTGTCAGCGAGGAGATGGAAGTTCCACTGGGTGATCTGGTGGGGTATGCGATTCGATTTGAGGATTGCACGAGCAAGGCGACGCAGATTAAATACATGACCGATGGCGTTCTGCTCCGGGAGTCCCTCACGAACCCGGATCTGGACCAGTATAGCTGCATCATCATGGACGAGGCGCACGAGCGAGCGCTCAATACGGACGTTCTGATGGGCTTGATCAAGAAAGTACTTGCAAGACGGCGGGATCTGAAACTCATTGTTACGTCGGCGACGATGAACGCGGAGCGGTTCGCTCGCTTTTACGGAGGAGCGCCCGAGTTCTTCATTCCCGGACGAACCTTTCCCGTGGACATTCAGTATTCGCGAGGACCCTGCGAGGATTATGTGGACAGTGCTGTGAGGCAGGTTCTGGCGATTCATGTTAGCCAGCCGGCGGGCGATATCTTGGTCTTCATGACTGGACAAGAGGATATTGAGGCGACGTGCGAGCTTGTGGCGGAGAGACTCGCGCAGCTGAACGACCCTCCGAAGCTCAGCATTCTGCCCATCTACTCGCAGATGCCGGCGGATTTGCAGGCCAAGATCTTTGATCGCGCGGCGCCGGGAGTGCGAAAAGTCATTGTTGCGACGAATATCGCCGAGACTTCCCTGACGGTCGACGGGATCATGTATGTCGTCGATTGTGGGTTTAGCAAGCTGAAAGTCTACAACCCACGCATGGGCATGGATACGCTTCAGATTACGCCCATCAGTCAAGCCAACGCAAGTCAAAGAGCTGGTCGTGCGGGGCGAACGGGACCTGGTCGTGCTTTTCATCTCTACACCGAGCGCGCTTTCAAGGAGGAATTCTACATTGCGACGATTCCTGAAATTCAGAGGACGAATCTGGCCAATACTGTGTTGCTGCTGAAGAGCCTCGGGGTGAAGAATCTCCTGGACTTTGATTTCATGGATCCTCCTCCGCAGGACACCATTACCACTTCGCTCTTCGACCTGTGGGCGTTGGGTGCCTTGACGAATTTGGGAGAGCTGACGGATCTGGGCAAACTCATGACCAGCTTCCCCATGGATCCGTCGCTCGCCAAGCTCGTCATCACATCTTCGACTACTTACCGGTGTGCCGAGGAGATGATCACCATCGTCTCCATGCTCTCCGTCCCTTCCGTCTTCTATCGCCCCAAAGAGCGCCTGGAAGAAGCCGACGCCGCGCGAGAGAAATTCTTCGTGCACGATTCCGATCATCTGACTCTTCTCACAGTCTATCAACAGTGGGTCGCCAATGGCCGCAAAGACGGCTGGTGCGTCAAACACTTCCTGCATCCGAAAACTCTCCGCCGCGCGGAAGAGATTCGACAACAGATTACGGACATCATGACCTCCAACAAGATGGAAATCACCTCGTGCGGGTATGACCTGGATATCGTGCGGGAATGTATCTGCTCTGGATACTACCATCAAGCCGCCAAACGCCGAGGCTTAGGCGAATACGTGAATCTGCGGACGAGCGTGACGATGGCATTGCATCCCACCTCGGCGCTGTATAACTCTGGGGATCCGCCCGACTACGTCGTCTACCACGAACTGATCCTCACGAGTAAAGAGTACATGAGCGTCGCCACGGCCGTGGACGCGCACTGGCTGGCGGATCTGGGCGGGGTGTTTTACTCCGTCAAGGAGAAGGGGTATAGCGCGATCCAGGGGCGGAAGGAAGTGGAATTCTCGAAGAAGGCGGAGTTGGAGGCGGCTATTCGGAGGGATCGCGAGAGGCAGAAGGGGGATGAGGAGAGGGAGAGGGAGAGGGAGAGGGAGAGGATGGGTCCGCCGGGTGGTGGGGGGAAGAGTAGTGGTGGTGGTGGTGGTGGTGTTGGTGTTGGGAAGAAGCCCGGTGGGAAGGGGAGTAGTGCGGTTGTGAGGCCTCGTGTTGGGGGTAGGAAGAGGGGGATCTGAAGACGATGAAGAAACTTACAGTATTCCAGAGCGGCTGGCGAATTGAATAGAAAGCGCCTGCTTCTCATATCGCTTGGTTCGCCGCGCGAATTCCTCGCTCGCTGGAGTTTCTCGGACATCGGTGTTCAAAAAAAGCTCGTCAGTCTGTCTACTTCCATCGCTACTGAGGAAGGCACAGAGGTGACAGCTTCGCGATGGCTGTAGACGACTGTCTGATTATAGCGCTTACAAACTTCGAGCTCGAGCAGAGGCTTATTCGTACGCTGATGATGAGAAAAGCTGCTCCGTCGAGTTGAGTTGCAAGCCTTTTCTACACCAATATCACCATCCCCCAAGTAGGGGACGACTCGCTTGATTCGGGATCCTCAGGTAGTCACTGACTGTCCATTCGGCCTCAGCTATCGATCACTGGAACTTCCTCCCAGTCCAGAAGTGCTCGCAAGTTGCGCTTGGAGCGTGCTCATCTCCTCTGCCAAAGCAGCCTTATCCTCCGTCTTCCGCGCACAGTCGAAGTCGATGAGCACAGCTGTATCTCCCGATACAAGAAAGTTGTGCTTATTAATATCCCCATGCAAGATGCCCAGATGATGCAATCTGGAGAGCACAGCCTTGCACGCCGCATAATCGGCGGTGGAAGCGTGGTGGGCGTCGACGATACGCTCGATGATGAAGCCAATAGTTCTGCCCTCCTCGCTGATGTTCCCCAGGAACTTTGGGCCGATATCTTTGCCTTGGATCCACTGATACGCAGCGCACTCTGTGTCCATGTAATCGATTTCCCAGCCGAATCTTGCGAATTTGGCTACCACCACGGCCTCGGGGAAGCCTGATGTTTTGGCTTCATACAAATTTGTCCGGAGCTTTTCTCCTAGTTCCAAGTCCAAGTAGTCGAAGTACTTTCGATGCCAGGCGCTCTGTATTGCCGGAAACTGGGTCCTTACAGCGCTTTTGAAATACGGATCTCCAGAGTCGCTATGCTTCGTGATGTATCCGTCGTTCCAGTCGCCCGCGGGAAATCTTGGGAGAATAGACAGCAGGGACGGGGGAAAGCACATGTCGTCTCCCTCGTAGACTCCAGCTGCGACGGTGACATACCTGATATGTCTTCCGCGCAGCAACAGCCGGAAATGGCTTTCATCGTCTGCGGCCACGCTTGCTTGCAATACTTGGACGTCGTCGGGTGCGCCCGACATTTCTGCTCTGACGTGTAGAGTTTGGCAGAATGTCGTGGGCCTTGGACCTTAGCGGAACGTCGATGTCATCCAGAAGCAAACGAACAAAAGGACCCGTAATCACGTTGTTTGCTAGCAAAAGCAGGTCTGTTGCGATGCTGTGCGGGTTAAATTGAGGGGTCTGGGGGGTTGCCGAAACAGGGATGGTAGTAGTCTACCTCGTCCCCGATCGCGACGATAGACGTATGTATAACCATATTGAGTATTTAGCCCAAACCTACCTACTAACGTCGGGTCCTCAAGATGTGCAAACAATACTACCGGAAGTATACCTGCGACTGTCAGAGGAACGAGGAGTTTCAACAATGTGCAGCGCGCCGAGGAACCAACGTCATGTGCACCCCCCTGTGGAGAGAATTCCGCTCACCGATTCAGTCCATATGTGCTCGAAGCATATGGTCAAGCCAAATACCGACGAAATGAGCCGCAATAATGGTCGCTAGGAACGTACTGTGAGGGGCACACGACGTGCGATATGGGCCATCGTTGTGAGGCTTCACGGCGGAAGAAGCTTCTAAAAGTGTGGGAACGGTGCGATATTTGAACTTCATAAGAGCGCATGCTATCGTGGTATCTCGATATCGTCACATCTCTGTCATTTCCGAGGATTATGCTCGTCATCGCATATTGATCCACACGGTCGAATGTGCTCCGCAAATGTCTCGTGGGTGTATTTCCTTCTCCAGTGTAGCGGGCGGCTACGTGTCTCTCGCCGGCAGCCGGCGCGCAATGAAAGCCTGAGACTGAGGTAATTGTCGCAGGACATAGCCACGGTGCCTGCACGATAGCCATGAAGCGATGTGGGTTAGACGAGGTCCTACCGTTATCGTGATAAGTAGGACTTGGTACTCGCGGCCGTGTAGTAAGGCGTCCACTCTGAAATTCTCGATTGCGATCTTCGTACTTCTCTCTCTCTCCCGAGACAAGCTCTCTGTAATGAAGTGGTTCATAGCCTCTTGTGATCCATGGAACGCGAGTCCCGCCCGCCGAGCCGATTCCCGATCGTACAGAACCGGCGGCTTGCGACAGATCTTCTGATTTGGCGTATAGAGTCCAGGGGGGCTTCTAATACAGGTAATATATATAGCGAGACCAGGTCTGATACCAAACTTTCGGTACATTTGATTCGTAGTAAGTGGTAAGTATCTTTCTTCCTCCGTGAAGCATAGGAAGCAGACCCGACTACAGTCCATTGTATAAATAAAGCCAGCAAAGTCGCCGCAGTGCTCGCAATTTGGATTCTTGAGCGTCCGAAGGAGATCGGCAGGTGAAATCCGTGATCCAAGTTGGACGCTAAGCAGAGCGCGAACGACACCAGCATCGTGTTGAACAATCTGTTTGAATTGTGGAATGCCATCTACCGCTTGCATCGCTCGTCGACTGATACGGCGAAAGTCAAAAAGAGACCGTAAGTCAAGTTGTACCAGAATTTCCGTAATCAGCTCTTCTGGCAAATTGTCGAGCTCTCCGAGATCATGACACGGCTTCACCTCATGTTTGCCAATATCAAGCGGGCAGGTCCTGTCCAAGTTTTGCTCATCGAGCGTGTTGTCTTTGATATTGGGTCGAGGATACGTCCAATTCTCTGGCGCATGAAACACTTCAGGCGCCTCTGTTGTTGTCGCCATAGCTTGGAATCTGGGTGTCGTCATGGACGCTCGTGTGCTACTTTAGAAGTGTGTCTCGCACGGTGAGCAAAAGAACGGAGGCTTACTGGTGTTGTGAACAGACAAACACGGATACCAGGAAAGAAAGTCTAAACTTCGCTACAAAGCAAAAGAGAAGAGAAAGACAAAGAAAGACAGGGCAAAAGTGATGGGAACGAAACGCCGACACGGGTGAAGCGTGTGAGTTAAGGAATTCAAAATGACAAATGGAAAAGCATATGAACAGCAGCATGCGGAATGCACTCCCTCACGCCTTGACAACAGCTGTATTTGTATTTGACCGCCGCGCTTTTGTCTGGTCTTCAAAACTCACTCAGTCCAACAGCATTTTTAGCACGCCCATGACGACGCCACAGCAACTATGACGCAAACTGGAGCAATTGCTGATTGATCTCAGCGGTAGGTTCGCGAGTCGCAACCTCCACGAAATTATGCTAATGCTGCATCAACCAGGTTCCAAATTGGTACCAAGCGCATTGTGCAATAGCTTGTCGATGCATCCGGTCCTCGCACCACCTCAAAGGCAGAGGACGCCGTCACAACCACTACTCGAGAATTTGTTCGACTGGCACTCGACATTGCTGACCGAGCCGATCCAAAGCGTGCTCCCCCTGAGGATATCACGAGTATCATCATCATCATCCTTGAAGACGTCATTCAAGGTCGCCGAGAGTATGGCGACTGGAACGAGAGTAGAACGGATATCAAGAACGAGGAGTACTTGCACAAGACACAAACGCACGAGCACTTCAAGTCATCGAGGTCTTACGCAATGTGCTTGGTTCTCAAAAGAAAGGCTATCGAGAACAGCAAGCAGGTACGAAAGAAAAGCGAGAGCCGCATCCGTGGGGCAAAGGGACGAGTATCGCACCGATCCACAGCTCTCGAGAACATCTACAGCGGCTTGGACGTCGAAGAGCCGTCCTTTCAGGGTCGGAATGAGACCATGGCAGACATCAAGCCGAGTCGAACGGTCAAACCGCCACCAGTAATCCTCCAATACGAATTGGAGACTTCCGAAGACGAAGCAGACTTCGCATTGTGGGCGTTTCTTTCAGATTGCCAGAACATCCGTCTACACCTCCAAAAAGTCTGGCAGGACTTCAAGGAGAAGAAACTGAGTCTTTCGGCTGCTGCCCAGGTTACCGAGGTGGCTTTCAGGATCATCAACCGTACTTCGGCAGCGTTCATCCAGGACCATCCGAACTTTGCAAGTTTCGATCATGTCGCAAAGCATTTGGATCTCGCAGTGGACATGAAGGGTGAGACTATCGAGCGCGCAAGCTTCAATCAGGTACGATTCCACCGAACCAATGGCCATTCATCAACAACGGGAGAGCCTTCTGGCCCTTCTGTCACAATTTGACTCCCAAAATACCAGCTAACTTTATGACAGGTGGGTTTCAAAGATCCTGGTGACAATTCTCAAGCAAATGCATCCCACATCCTCTGCGTGCCCGCATATGCCTGTCTTTCAGCGGTTCGCTACAGCATGTGCTCGCCAGAAGTGGACGCGGATGTCTACACGCAGGATCGCGCTGTCAACCATGCCAAAGAAAGTCACCCATTGATGATGGCTTTCCCTCTCATGGCGATGCTTGCGAACCTGTGCCATGAGGAAGTCAATGAGACTCTTCGAACAGGCTATGTTTTCGACACCTTCACGCTCACGGTTCACATGGCCATTGGGCGTCCAAATAGCCTGCCTATTGGAGCAGTCGTCTGCACTCAAGCTTACATGGACATCATCGATGCTGTTGGGGCTTCGCAGCTGCCCTCAAAATCCCTGGCAGCCATGAAGAATTAAATCAGGGAATCTGTCAAAGAGCACCGATTCGAGCCTTCTCTAGCGGCCGATGAGAACTCAATTGAAGATGACGAGTCTCGAGCCTTCAAGGAATTTATGCACGAATCACTGCGGCTTCCATCTCGAGCCACGCTCATGTGCATAATCACGGACCACGTCGAGAGGAAAGTATCCGAAAACGTCCGTGATCTCCTAGGTGGAAAGTTCGGCTCATCCAAAGTCATGCTGCTACCATTATTCGACCTGTTGCCTGTTCTCAGCGGATTAGCTTCCGCGACCCTTGGTCGACTATCTTGCCTGGATGGTATCGCGACCCTCAACATGGACGAGTCGGTCAAGGAAGGGGCGTCGTTTCCACCTTTTGTCGAGATGCTTTTCGATGTCTTGTGGGATGGAGCCGCTGCAGAATCACGCTCGAAGGCATCGATCTGGTCAACGCTCCTTGCTGAGATTGGCCTGGGTCTGAAGCACTTTATCAAGCATTCTGGCTCGATGTGGACGGACAAGGCCTGCAAGTTTGCTGAAACTCAGATGTTCGGCGCTGCTGCAGACAACCATCATAGCGGTGATCAGGAGAATTACAACCTCCGAATGTCACTCACGGGGGATAAGGTGACGCTCGAGTCGGGTGTCCTCGACGAAGAATACGTGAGTAAGCACAAGGCCATGATGGATGCGAAGGACGCGGCGGACGCGGCCGTCAAGGCATCCAAGACTTACAGGTCACACGAGGGAGATGCAGAGCCACCGGCAATAACGGAGTGGAAACGCCTCCGTGCTCAGAGGGCAGCTGAGAATAAAGCCAAAGCGGCGGCGAACGCCAACGACGAACCCTCATCTACCAAGGCCCCTCTCGCCAACAACATTCCAATGAAAGACGGCGAGTCTCAACATGAGGAACTGCCGAAGAGTTCCGACTCGGACTCAGGATTTTGCACTTGCTGGTAGAGGAGAGACAGCAAAGGCAGGTCAACGGAGCGGAATATATGTAAGCTGTACGACACAAATTTCATTCAGAAGACTGTCTACTTTGATCTCGGCAAGGTGATGACCTTCGAAACCCTGCAATTCCAGACACCAAATATGACCTAAGAAGAAGATTTGAGACGCACCCAGACACCCTCATCCGGCGACATCGTCAGCCCAACATGATACTTCACGTCATCAACCCAAGCCCCATCTTTCGCAACCGTCTCTTCCGCTCCATTCTCATTCACAGCCACAATACTCTCGAAATACTGCAACATTCTCACAACAAGATACTTGGCCTCCACCAACGCAAACCTCTCCCCGAGACACTTTCGTGGACCCCCAAGGAAGGGAAAGTAAGACCAGTCAATCATTCGCCTCTCCTTGATGGCATCGTCCGTCCATCGATCGATGCGGAACTCGCTTGCGTCGGGCCCGTACACGTTCTTGTCATGATGGACCGCGAAGGTGGAGAAGGCTACGAGTGTGCCCTTGGGGACGAGAATTGGAGAACTGCCGTCCGGACCGCCGCCGTGGGGGAGGGTGGTGGCGGTGTTGCTGAAGCGGCCGTTGATGGGGACGGGAGGGAAGACGCGGAGTGCTATGAACGGTTCGATCGAGTCAGTTTGAGGAGGGCTTTGGCATTCATTTAAAATGATGGGTTAGAGGAGATACGATACTTTCGGTGATGAAGCGGTCCAGGATGGGCATGCGGTTGAGATCACCCTTGGTCGGCTCACGTCCCAACCCAGGTCCGAGAATGTTTTTCATCTCTTTCTGAAGAGCAGCCACGATTCCTGGTTCCCGCGCGAGGGCGTAAAAGGTCCAGCAGAGTAGACTTCCAGACGTATCCCTCCCGGCCAACAGAAGATTGAGGAATTGGTCTCGGATCATCTGCACTTCCCCTTCCTTGTTGCGGAAGAGAGGTTCCATGGCGACGTGGGTTTCCTTTTCCCTCGGCGGGCGTTCTCGCAGCCTTCCCATCGACCGAGTAATGGCGTCGTGGACAATCTTCCGAGCTCGTCGGCAGGCTTGTCGGAATTTTATGCCGTCAATCATCCAGTAGAACCCCTTCAACCGTTCCCGTTTCGAAATCCACGCAAAGGCAGTATTGAATTCCCTGGCGAAGGAATCGGACCAGAAGGATTGGTCTTGGGCATTTTCCCCGTCGAGAGGATTGCCCAGGAGGAATTCCGTCGTGGTTTCGAGGCTGAAATCAAACAGGAAAGGTTTGAGATCGATGGTCTGCTCCGCCGCCGTCGCCGCATGGGCCCTCTTGATCTTGCCGAGAAGTCGTTGGAAATGCCGCTCAATCAGATCCAGATCCGGAAGCGTAGGTCGTTGAATCAGAGGCGCCAGCATCCTTCTCGACCTCTCCCATTTCGAGCCGTCCTGCGTGAAGATGCCATCGCCGAGTAAAGGCGCCACGCATCCCGCACGCGCGGAACCGATATCGAAATCTGCAACTCCCTTCACGTCAATACAAAAAAAGAAAGGGCGCGAATTCGGGAAAAATTTCAGGGCACATTCGTTTCGTTACGTACTCTTCTGCTGTCGACTCAGCACCTCCCGGATATTCCCTCGATCCCGCGTAAGGACGGTGAAGACGGGTCCGCCGAATTGGGCGTACGTGTCGCCCTTGGCTTCGTGCTCCTGCAGCATCAGAAGCGGATATGTCTTGCTTCCCTCGGCCTGGAGGACCAGGGCGAGTTTATCGAGGCCGAAGGGGGGCCACCACTTGTTGGGGATGATCCGGGGGGGTTTGCAGCCATCTCCTCGTTGGAGGAGGGACTGGTGATGTTCTTGGCGCTGCGAGAAAGGGTGAGTCGAGGATTCGGTGTGCAGATATGAAGAAGGAGGGACGGACTTTGTTCCTGGTGTGGGAGGAGATGAGGTATGTGATTGTGAGGATTGCTAGGCTGCCGGTGCAGACGGAGTACCACATTGTAGCGGCAGCTTGCAGAAGGCTGGCCGTGTTGTTATTCACTTGTCGCTGTGGGCATTCTTCAAGTGCGTGTGAATGACTTTGATATCTTCAAAGAGAAGCTGGAAGCATGGACGTGCCTATCCCCCGGCGTTGCTGTCAAAAATGTGAAGCTTTCATTCCGCTTGTGCAGTGGTGGTCGTGTGGCAGGTTAGCGCCAACAGGATCCTTCCACAAACCCCTCCGTACCCACTGAGCTTCCCAACCACGCCTCAAGACGATCACTCTGTTACCGCGGTTTGCGCAATGCTGTTTCTGAAATTTCTTCATTGCAGTATATTTGCTCCTCTCCCTGCTCTCACCCCGTGCATTCCTTCACGCCAGACCTGACTTCATCTAAGTCGTGCTCTTCTTGGCAAACTCCACGCGCAAAATCAAATGACCGAAACCATAACCATCGACCTTCTCGCATGCGTTTGCAGCATCAGCACGGTCTGCATATGATACAAAAGCGAAACCCTTGGCTCTGCCGGTCTCTCGGTCCTTTGCGAGGAAGACACGGGTGACGCGGCCGAAGCGCTCGAAGATCTCGCGGAGATCTCCTTCTTCTGCGAACTCGGAAACCTGTAGAAAAGAATATAAGCAACACGTCGTAGGATTGTAAGAGAGTGTATGCACTTACGTTCGTGACTCTGAGCGTCGCAAGGTCGTCGCGCTCGTACTTGCCGCCCATACGCTCTCCAGTGGCGCCAGCTGCGCCCTTGCGCATGTGAGGTGGGACATAGCTGCTGCCACCAGCTCCAAGACCACCCTCTGCAGCTCCACCGCCCATACGCTCGTCCATGTCCGCCGGCGGGCCAGCATCTGCGCCCTCGGGGGCCATGGTGTCCTTGAACGGACACTTGGTCGTGAAATGGTCTCCGCTGCAAATACGACACTTGATCTGCATCTTCTTGAGCTGTTCCGTCTTCTTGTCCTCCTCTGGCTTCGTCTCTTGTTGTCCGCCCGGCTTGAAGCCCGCCTGAGGTCGAAATACGATGTTCTCACCAAGGGTCGTCGTATCGGGGCGCGGTCCAGCAGGCTTGCCAGCCTCGGTGCCCATCTTGGACCATTGTCGACGCTCCGCAACGCGCGGATTTTCCTTCTTCTTGACAACCGTCCGTCGGATGCGCTGTGTCCTCTTCACCTTCTTGCCCTCCTCGTTGATGAAAATGGTGACAACCGTTTCCGTGCCGTCTTTGTTCTTGGTGATCTGTGGTTCCGGAAGCGAGGGCGCGAGGCCGCTGTCGTCTTCGTCCTCCGCCCAGTCTGTCCGCGACGGCGGATTCTGTACTGCCGCTGCCATTTTTGGGATGTGCAGATGTTTTTCGCTGTTGCGTGTTCAATAGTGTAACGGATTTACTGTGCAGTCGACATATGAAATTGTCGCCGCTTGTGGGGTTGAGTCAGCCGGTGGCAAGTGCGCTGGCGCTTAATCACTAGCGTGAGGCTTGTTTCCATCAGTCACGTGACGACACCGCGAGCCTTAGCATGACTTTCCATGCTCAAGGGCATGACCATTCGCATCTGTTGAGGATAACAGAGTCTCGACACAACGGGCTTGATCAATTTCAAGCCTTGTGTCCGTGAGGGCAATTTCTGCGGAGATCATCTGGCCATTCAAATGCCATCAATTGCTGATGGGATTGCAATCAATTTGTGACGCTGCAACCAACTGAGTCTTGATGACTATTGAGATTCTCTACAGCCTTCATCAAAGCCGCATCAACGTAGCGTATTGCTGCTCGGCGACACCGAAACGGCGGCATGCCATCTGCTGGTCTCACTTGACACTGCTGTCGCAATGACGCAGTATTCCAATAATTCAGGCTGATAATGGTCGTCAAGGCCAAGAACACCACGACCTCCGATAGCCGAGGATACAATAGCTCAACTCCACGACTGTGGGTTGTTCTAGCTGTCCAAGTTTATTAGGGTATTCATCCCGCCATTCTGGTTTGCCAACTCTATCTTACTTGCCGACGCCTTCACCAACGGCTGCTAGATAGGCGAAACGGCTCGGCAACTCTATCATCCATAAAGGGCGTTCATCGATCTTGAGCGTTGCGAAGGAGATCACAGTTGGAGAAGAGAGCAAGAACTTGGAAAATGGCCCAGGATATCTGGAGGACCGCCAGTCTCGTCCACAGCGTCACTGCGCAGACGCGACGCAGGCCATGGCTTACAAAAGCCTGGCCTGCAGCTATTGCCTGCTAAAACCGTTAGACAACAGTATGGCCCGTTGCAGATTGTACCTGGATCGTTTTCGTAGCTTTGCAAAGGTCAATCGCGTTGGGTGGAAGATGCCTCTGATCGGTGGTGGTGTGATGTTGCGTCCGCCGCCTCAGATCAGCACATCTCAACGCTCTCCGTCTTAGTACAAGCTTAAGGCCTGTGCGTGCCCATTGCAAGTGCCAGGCGAACATGGACAATGCAGTCCGAGTGAATGTCGAGCCAATCTCATTCGCTTCATGTTTCGTGTCAATGGCCATCGACATTGTACCGCCCAATGCAGATGCCATGGTGATGGTGAAGCAACGGCTCCCTTGTAGGTAGGTATACGAAAAGATACGAATACTGCTGAGCATTGACCGGTTGCGCTTATCCAGAAGGTCTGTCGACAATCTAGATTCCGGCGTGTCTTCGTCCGAGCGGGTAAGCGTTACCATCCGGAATTGTGGGCGGACTTCGCCGTTCAGCCATAGCTCCAAACAGCAGCGTGAACTTCGCTTTAGAATCGGGTGATTGTTTTGATCACTGGATGCGCGAGTCAAGGGACCTTCGCTGCCAAGCATATGAGGGATCCGACACTGCCGGCCAATCCAGGTCATGTCGCCTTGTCGCATAGCAAAGTTGTCTTGCACATGGATCTGGAGCGCGAATCTCGCGACTTCCTATCAACAAGGCTAAGGCGATGATGCTTGAAAGTTGAGCGTACTCAGGGAGTGTCCCACAGCAGCAGAGAGCATCTCATAGCGAACTAGGGATCGGAATCTTCCTGAGCTGTTCACGGAGGCCTACGCCCCTGTTAGCGCGTTCAACAATCATGCAAGTGATGCAGGAGTGTATTGGGACGGTACATGGCTCTTTGCGTCCACTCGGAAGTTGTTGCCGACAGATAGGTCTGCCCCATTGTCGGCGGGCAAACGCCTGCAAGCTGCTGCTGGACACTACTGACCTGCCGGGAGGGAGATTACTGGCATTACGGTCCGAGTGGGATTCTGGAGCCGGGCCGTGTTGTTGCCGGTCAGTAAGTGTCTCGGGGAGGGCGCGAGTAGTGGAGGCGTTGAGAGCTCCTATTGCCGACCTTGGGCAGACATGGGTGGCAGCAAGCGCTGTGGCACGGGGCGGCAGTATTCGTACACGCTTTCACATGCCATTCGGATGAGGCAGTGTTCCCGAATGGTGGTGGGCCTTATCAAGTGATGCTCGAAGGGCACGGCGGGATTGTGCTGTGATGGTGTTTAGGACGTCAGTCGCGACATGCTCAAGATGCATTCTCTGTGCCGAGTGCAGCATACTACTAGGGTATCGATGCGGTTCGCAGTACGGTGTCCCGAGAGATGGAAGAGGGGAGCGGGAAGAGATTTCTAGCTGCCAGCTTTACCAGGAAAGCGGAGTCGGCTCGAGTTCGGGAGAGAGCAGGTCGTCGATGCGGGGCGTTCTATCGCTGATGACACCTTGTCGTACCGTGGGAACAGGAGATGGCCATTGGGAAAGAGGGGATCGCCGAAGGAGCATGAAGTCGGCCGGTGTGCGCTTCCTAGGCTCGGAGGTATGACTGGATTTGGAGATGATGTACCAGGATGCCATCTGTGCCATTGCTGGAGAATCCTCATGCAGGAGCAGTGTGCTTCTCACGTGCTGTGCGGCTGGCACTGTCTGTCCAAGAAATCCTGGCTGTCGCCGAAACGCGACACTGCGCGGGTTTGTCGGAGCAGGCGCCGACGATAGCATAGGACATGGCGAAGCGTATCATCAATGCAGCGTGCACATGCCGACGCCAAGGCATATGGACCCTTTTTGAGCGCGACAGTGGAGGCATCATCGGGACAAGATCTTCTTGGGCTGGCAATGGCTCCGTCGTAGGCATCTGCCGGCCATATGATGGCGCCAGCGCGGTCCGTGACGAGGATGGCCAAGATCGAGGCTGTCGTCGCCGCTCTGTGTTCTCAGCCCCCAACCCCGGGGAGTCACGCACTGCATTTCTGAGGCAGTCGGCAGTGCAGAGGGCGGCGATCGCATCGACAGCTGGTTAGCGACTCTGCATAAGATGAAGCAAGAACGGGTGATGGTGAGGAGTTGTTGGTGGTGGTTGTTGGAGCGATGGCCTTGCCTTGGTGGAGGACGACAGGGTCGATGCTGCACGGACGCATGCTTCAGGTGGAACGCAGCCAACCGGAGCGCGTGTGGCCATGTGCGTGCCAAGACCGTGCGCGGTGGTTCCCGACATGATCGCCCGCCGTCAGCTTCCAGTCTTTCCGTGCGTGAGTAGTAGTGGGCGTGTGTGCCAAGGACACTTTCTTCATCTTGCTGCGGTCCGGACATCCTGAGAACAGACTCAGCAGCTCCAGTACAGTAGTAGTAGTAGCTACGGAGTACTAGTACTGATGATGTGAGTACGTCGTGAGGAATAAGGTTCGACGCGCATCGCCTGCCTCCACACCTCCGTCCGTAAAGAATAAAGATATCCGCTAGGCCTGCCACGCGCAAGACGGCGCCTGCCAACGCCACGCCACCTGTCACCCTCTGGAGCAGCCGCTCTACGTGTAACACCACTACTCAAATAGAATCCAGACTTCTACCACCGCCACCCCACCATGCTTCCTACCCATTATCCTGTCTTGCTGACTGTTCTGATGTACCGCCCTCCAGTGATGATGAGCTGCTTTCTCCCGAGCTGGTGCTGTGGTCGCATTCCAACTTCGACCCGACTGGCCGCTGCCTCGATCGCGCTGCATCTGTGGCTGCTGCAAAGGGACGACTCTTCCCACGCGGTAATTATAATGACTCGCAGCTCTCCTTCCTACTCATTATTATTAGTATTATTATTATGCACGCGCACAAGGCGGGTGACGGGAGAGCGCACGGCGCCCCGATGCTGTCTGGCCGCATCGCATCGTCGGCAGCGTTCGATAATAATATAACTCGTTCACGCCTCGCAGGGATGGGGCTTGCATTCCACGTGCACCCTTCTTCCGAGCCTGTGGACAGGGCCACCGATTCCCCTTCCGCAACAAGCATTTTCCACCTCTTGGGCTCGCAGCGTGCAGCCGTAATGATCGCCAGTGCTTTGGCCGGCTTCGACGCGGTCGACGTGGAACCTCTTCCGCCCAATCTTCGATCCCCCATCCGTCGACTCACCAAGCCGCTTCGAGCGCCGGCCTTCACTCAGCGAGCGACATGCCTGTCCGGCGCCGAATGCGAGAGCGCGCGCGCGACCACCGATCCACGCCCGACCACGACACGACCCGACACGACCACTCCAACCACGACACGACTACTACAACCACGACAAGACGGCTTTGCTGCAGGCACGCACTCGCCATCCATCCCACCTGTCCACAGTCGACATTCGCTGCCGATCATTCGACGACTGCTACGTACATGTACCCTGAAGGATGGACGGCGTCACCTACGCAGCTCTTGACTGGGCCACACGGATTTGTTCGCAGCTTCCTTCTCACCACACCCCGTGAGCGCGCGCAAACACAGCCCGCATCTCATAGATCCCTTCATTCGACAGCTTGAAACGCTATTATATTGCCTCGCATGACGAGGCGCCCTAGTGCACCTCCCTGTCTTCCAGGCGCGGAGGTGGCGTTCACCTTTGCATGCTGTCGGTGCTATGATGCGCTGGGCGGCGACTGTCGTCTCGTTGCCAACAGCCGCCGTACTTGGCATCATCACAAAAACCCGCATCCGTGGCCCGTCGCTGATGCCTGAAGTCCGGCCTGACCCACTGATCGAGGGTCGGCGATTAGCCGCTGCTCAGCAGTGTGGAAGATGCCATTCCCCATTAGTGGGCTCCCACGCCTAGCAGATGCATGGGATACACTTCTCTCTGCTGCCGCGGCGGAGCTGTCGTCAGTCTAGGCGCAAACATTAGTGCACTCCTTCCTTGCACGCCTGTGGAGCATTCTTCCCATCCTCTAACAACCAGCCCAGCGTAAAAACTGTGCCGGCTGCTATCTCCTCGTGGTAGCAGCAGACGAAGAGAGCTGTTGGCTAGAGAGCTGACGCGGACGTGAAACACGGAATGCCACGCGCTTGGACGTGGACAAGCTCCTGTTTCCGAAGGATGCGCCATCGGTCATGGGCTGGTCCTCGTGGGAAGACGCCGCCACCTCATGGTTTCTTGATTAATAACGACGAGTGTAGTGATCAATCCTTCCGGAATCGACATGCATGAGCCGATCAGCTGTACATTTTGACCGCCCAGAACGCCGAATCTGCATGAGCACCCACCACTGTGACCAGGCACAGAGACTAATAGTTGAGTCCCGGTGTCGATCATCTCCCATGAGTTCGAAAAGGCAGAAGCTCCGATTGAGTACCGCCCCGCCATGCCCTTGTATCGAGCACGCTTCTTTTATTGCATGAGGGAAACAGACTGGTGGACCAAATAGCATACAAAGGGGTAGTAGATACTTGGTCACGGCGAAGGCCGTATTCCTACACCTTCATCACGGCCTCCGACGCCGTCGTCTGCATCTGTTTGCGCATGCACCTCTCGCAGCTCCAGCAACGATCGTCAACATCATCAAATCCTCATCAAAGCCCCGTAACCAACCATCGGCGGAACAGAAGAAATACTCAACAGAGGAGCTCGCAATCCTCCGGGTGGATAGACTGCCGCCGTGCCCTGCTGACAGCTACCATTCAGGGCGGGTCGCGCCTTTGCGGGACCTCTTCACGTCTGCCGGGATCAATGCAGGCGCTGATTCTACTCAGCATAATAAGGCCTTCTGTACTTTCGTCTACAGCTATCCTGTTCTGCGTGTACGTCGTCCTGTTCGGACACCTCCACTAAAGCCGTTTGGAGTGGTGCACCGGCTGTTGACGTCGCCATCGGAGTCTATCGAGCGTTACCGGCAACGGCATATGATCAATTCAAAATAGGCACATAGACTGCGATAGCGACCGCTCGACCCAAATCTGGCGAAATGGACAGACGATACCCGCCGCCCATACCACCCTTGAGTGCATATTATCCGAGTGGCTACCCGCCGATGATGCCACCTGAGGCCCTTCAACCACGGCGCCATCAACTCCAAACCTTGTCGATGGAGAGCATCGGTAGCTATTCCGACTACGACGACCCGAACCGACCTATGCTTCCTCCTCAGGGTCCACAGCGCTCTCGACGACGACAAGCCCAGAGTTCAGAACATGTGAAACATAGGCGGACGCGAAGTGGTTGCTACACCTGCCGGCAACGAAGGGTCAAGGTGAGTCTCGGACAGAAGCGTACGTTGATGACTGCAGCTGACGGAAACGCTTGAAGTGTGATGAGACGCATCCGATATGTGACCGTACGACTCCAAAGCAGAAGCGACAGTGACTACTACTAACATCGTTTGCAGGTTGTCGGAAAGGAAAGCGAGAGTGTACTTATCCTGGCAACACCTCCTCCCCGAGCCCCTCGTCATCAAAGCCCGCCAAGGGTAGCAGCAAGGGCAAAGACTCACCTGGCGACTCCACTCCCTCGGGCAGCGAGATAGACGTCGATGAGAGGATACCCTTATCGGCCATACCGGATGAAGATGAGGACGACATCGATGAGAGCGAGCCAGCGTCAGCAATCTCGCAGAACCTGACCGATCTCTCCTCTTCCACGCGCGATGGCAACTTGTCGCCATTCGAAGATGCACTGGCACGTGGATCATCGAGGCCGCAACCGGTGAGGAGCAACTCGAGACAGTCGATCAAGTCAGGGTTCGCTCAGAGCGGTCGTTGGGCAACGCTACCCAAGGACGTCCGGTACTTCCTCCGCTACCACCGAGACAACATGTCGCATCACCACTATGCCTTCAAATATGACGGCGGGGAGTTCTTGAAGACAACGTTCCTCGAGATTGCAATGAACGAGGGGAGCGCTGCGCTTCTCTATGCAATCGTTGCATTCGCGGCCTACCACCACTCAATATCCCGCAACGACGACAACATCTCGCTATTCTTGTCTTACTACAACAAGTCCATTGCATATCTACAGCACTCGCTCAAGAACAAGCGACACAACGTCGCGACCCTGCTCGCCATCCTCCAGCTTGCGACTATAGAGGTCAGCTTCTTCAACCTCCCCACGGAACGTCTGCCTTGATGCTAATCGATTCACAGGAGTTTTTGGGTGACTGGCTCAACCTGTTGGGGCATCAAAAAGCTGCCTACCAGATCTTGACTGATCTGTTCACGCCTCAGACGATCATGCAAGACGAGATACGCCGGAAGATCATCAATTGGTACATTCGGTTCGACTTGGTCGCGGCCATGATGGCAGGCAACGAGACGGTCCTGGATCGGGAATGGTTCGCAGCGGCTGCGGATTTCTACCGACGCCAAGTGCGAGACAGACCGAATGACCTAGGCGCACGCTTCGAGGACTTCTTCGCGACATCGCGTCTCCTCGCGACGGACGTGACGCTACTTCTCGCCGCAAAGACCAAGGGCAACATCAGCGACGAGCAATTTCAGTCCCGCACCCAAGACTTGACCAGCCAGTTCGCCGAGTTTGAGCATACGATCGAGACGGCATTCACCGACCCATCATTTTTCGTCAAGTCGTTTCCGCGAGCGCCGAATGCACCGAATGAAGGGGATCTCTTCGACTATCGCGACCCCAACTTCCTGTATGCCGGAGAGTTCTCGACCATGAACTTTGTCCTCCTCGACCATTGGGCAATCGACCTCATGTTCAAATATCAGGTCGCAATGATTACAAGGCAGCCACTCTCGCCAGAACTGACTGCCATTGCGCTGAAGAAGTGCAAGATGTTTGAGGCGATACAGTATGGGGAGGAGGGAGGCCCCATGGCAATGCTGGGAAGTCAGGCCAGCCTTGGAATCCTGGCGCTGTTTCTGCCCAAGGATCAGCAACACACCGCGTGGTGCCGACGCAAGTTTGCGGACATCGAGCGCCTTGGGTACGTGGGAAATCCCCAATTTCAGAATTGCAGACTTCTGGCTGACTTGTCACAGATACATCTATCCAGCAACATACCGCACTCGCATGACCGAGCTCTGGGGCGAAGACGTCTCAAGATGGTGGCTGCCAAACGAGGAGAGCTACCCCAGCACAATCCGAACGATCAGGGAGTTCGTGGAGTACCGAGCGACGAGACCGACAGACATGTGGACGACGGACATACGCAACATGAAGGGGATGTTTCGAAACCTGAACATCGAGGAGCAAGGGGTCTCGGACGAGCTGAGGAATGCGGGGACGGACAGAAGCATCAGTCCGTAAGTCATGCGCGAGGATGATCCATAGATACACATTGAGTATATGGCTGACTGGGCTTGCAATGCAGCTGGGTACACGGAAGCAGCCCCGAGCAGCCATGGACTTGATACCGTCGCTGATCTAGGTGGTCATCTTATCAGCCTGGTGGATTATTCCCTCACGGCCACAGACTGGAATAGGCTGTCACGCGCATCCATCCGGCGGATGCTCCGGTGGACGTTCTCACAAGTGCCACGCGGACCTGGCCTTGCAATTGAGCAGTCGATCGCATTGGCCTGTCATTGCACAGAGCCCCGAGATCTCAAGACAGTCTATTTTGGCGTCGGGCCTCGACCTCGCCGTGGTTCGGGACTCATCCGGCTCGGAGGAACTCCACCAAGCCCACCTCGTTATGTTCAGCTGCGATATCCACGATTTGGAAGCTCATGCGGCCGCCCTCCGCGGGCCGGAAATTCGACAAATGAAGGACTGCGCTCCGCGTGTTGCCGGTGCAACAATCAAAGCCGTGGGTGGGCGAGCATCGGAGGCCTGCCTGCTGGTCGGGAAGGACCACAGACTTGGACGCCTTGTACGCTCGCCTCCTCATCATTAGCACGACTAGGGCCCTGCACTGCGGGAAGCGAAGGCGATGGGCAAGCAACAGAAACGCAGCCACCGAAGACTAGTAGTGATTTGGCAGCAAAAGGCCAAGAAGATGGTGACGTATACGAGAAAATCTTGATATAACACACACCACCTCCTGCATGATATAGCCACCAGCCGGCCGGCCGAGCGGGCGGGCGGCTGCATACATGCATATATATATATTGATGAAAGCCCGTGGGATCGGAGGATTATCCCATCTATCACATGCGACGGAGATTAAAAGAATTCGAGGAGCGCGCCTCCTCCTCCTCGCCTCTCCTCTCCTCTCCTCTCCTCTCCTCTCCTCTTCTCTCCTCTAAAATCAAATTCGACGTCAAACAGCCCGCAATATACACTGCATGACAGCCTTGAGGGTTCACGAGCGCCACCAAGCCCCAGCCAGCTGCCGGATTAGGTTGCACCGGTCTATCACTTTCGGCCAACCCGTGCACGTGCTCTTCCCCTTTCGGGCAGGCTGCTTCCGCGTGCGTGCCACGTTCCTGGAGTGTGGAGCGCCCAATGCAAACTCTCTTGCGACTTCAACGATTGACACCTCAGGAATCCGGCAGTCCGGTCCTTTTCCTAGCGCACTATGGTCCGCCGTCCTCCTCCTCCTCCGCCTCCTCCACGATGCCTGTGAGCTTCCATAGCCAGTGCCGCGCAGGCGGTAACATTGTAGACCGCGGCCGCGTCGTGCAACTCTGTCTTCGTGACTCTGCCGTCTCGGCCCCATCGTGTTGTGTTCATCGACGAGATCGCGTGAGCGACTTTCTGCCCGCCGAGGAGAGAGAGGTAGCCGGGCGGATCAAGATGCTGCCAATGTCATCAAGCGCGTTGCCAGTCCGTCCAGAGAGCGGTATAAGAAGTATAGAGCAGTACGTACCGACGATCTCGGACGATCTCTCCCCTCCAGGAACAATTCCAAGCCCATTGTTGGAAGATATATTCATTTTCTGACTCGACACTGGAGAACCTCTGAGACACGGGAACTACTTTCGTCAAGATGCTCCGCGCTGCTGTGCTCGCAGTCACCGCGCTGGCTTCTTCCACCCTCGTCGCAGCTCAATCAATCGACTTCGCCGCTGTGAATCGCGCTCCCAAACCCACACAACTGGGACCTCCCACAGCTGGAGCGACTCTGAGCCAGACTCCCACCTACGCACCATCGGTAGCCGCGGCTTCTGCTTCTGCTGCTGTTGCGACACAAGCCGCCGGCAACGACCAGAAACGCTTTATCCGGGCGAAGAGGGATTCGACGCTCGTCGCGAGAAATGCGTGTGATGCTCAACCCAGCGGTGCCGCACCCGTGACGGATCCTGACACTGCCGACGCGTTCCTGGCGAACAGCGTGTATACCGATGCCCAAGCTGCCGCACCGGTTCCTCAGGGGTATTCTTTGGTTTTCCAGAATCTTCAGGGCGCGACGCAGCAGAATGGGTATCTCGGCTAGTGAGTGCACTCTTAGATCGATCATCGCATCGAGCAGCAGAGATGGGAAATGATACTGACCGAGTTTGTAGCTACACTCTGCAGAGCTACGATAGCATCAAGTGCCAGCAGTACTGCGATGCCACCACGACATGCACGGCTTTCAATGTGTACTTGGAGAGAGATCCGTCCGTAGAGCCAGGCGCGGGCTGCGACAACCCTGCGAGCACAGTCTACTACAAGTGCTCCCTCTACGGCCTGCCCATCAGTAACACCACGGCCACCAACACGGGTCAATGGCGTGACAACTTCCAGGTAGTGATCACTGCCTCCAACGGTCCGTCTCTCTCCCAAAAACCCCCCTTCACCCAACAATGCAACTGACTTCCCTTCCTTCCCTTCCTTCCAGGCTACGTCAAGAACCCACCCCCCGCATCCCTCCCCGCCTTCAACGGCCCCAACCCCCTCGCCGGCGCCATCAACGCCCCCAACGACCACTGCGGCACCTCCTCCTACCTAGGCGTTTACTTCTTCCCCGGGCCCTACGACCCCAGCCCCTGCGCGGCCGCCTGCCAAGCCACGACGCAGTACGACGCCGCGCACCTCGTCGACCCACTCGACGCCTACGACGCCTGCAACTTCTTCGTCGCGTATGTCCTCAGCGAGAACAACGCCCCCCTCGGCACCTACTGCGCCCTCTACCGCCGCTACTGGAGTTCCCGCTACGCTACCAATACGGGCCAGTACGATTCCGAGGGCAATTATTTCTCCGTCAGTCAGACTTATGGCTACACCCTCGCCCAGCAGGATCCGGGGGTTTTGCAGAACCCCTGATGTGAGGGAGGGATGTGCATCATCATGGTGTTTTTGTTCTGTTCTTTTCATTCCATTCTGGACATCTATCAATCAATCAAGCAATCAATCAATCAATCAATCAATCAATCAACCTGGTTTACAAAAAGAATTCAAACTGCCGTCAAAACACCCCGAGGTACATGAGATGAGCTGATCTGATCTGGAATTGGAATTGGAATTGGAATTGGGAAAGCGAAGGCGCCTAGGGGAAGGGAAGAGGGGGAAAACAAGGACCTTGTGACTAGATTTCTTCGACAGTCACAGGGAAATAATAGCTCGTAACCCAAATTTTTGAGACTTCTTCTCGTCATATCATCATCATCATCATCCATCAGGTCGCCGTTCTGTTTTCAGTTGTGAAGTTTAGAGTGTGAGTGTGGGTAACACTCGCTCGCTCGCTACGTCCGTCTTGACCTTGTAAGCAAGCAAGCATGGTATGGTATATGGTATATGGTATATGGTATATGGTATATGGTATTTGTCATGGATAAAAGAAAAGCAGGCCCCCTCGACCGACCGACGGACCGACCGGGTAACCCTTTCCGCGAGAGAGAGATATATATACATATCTCTGCTACCACTTCGTCGTCGTCGTCGTCGTCGTCGTCGTCAATACTTCCTACCGGATCTGTATGGGGGAAATAAGGCTTCACTTCACTTCACCTCTGCTGTTCCTTTATCTACCCTCCTGACAACCGGGCTGTAGAGTCATTCTCGAAGAACCGAACCATGGCTGGCAGAGAGGGAAAGGAAGAGAGATTGCAAAGCTATAGTTAGCTTTGGTTCATGTGCGTGTAATCAATCCCCTTAAGACGGAAGAGGGATGACTTGACACGGTGGACTCTGGACCTGGGGGTGGTTTGTTTCATTATACATGCCATTCCGCCTCTACTGGTGGATTAATACTCCTGGCGAGTACCTCGACCTCGGCCTCACCAAGAACGCCCCCCTCAATCCACCCACGCTTCCAAACGCAGTTTCAAGACTTTTGTCGTCGGACAACGGCGTAGACCACCACAAACGACTCGTCTTCGCTCGACCGAGTATCCTAAACTTCCGTCTCGGTCTGCGGACTCGCCTCTTCCTCTTGTTCTTCCTCGTCCACGCCGTTCTCCGCTTCAACAGGCGCTGCATCGGCCTCAGCAGCTACAGGTACGTCATCCGCGGTACCGTTGATGTCGATCAAATCACCGTGCGAGCCGCCCTCGCTTTCCAATCGCAAGTATTCTTGCCATTCAGGGAACATCTCCTCGTCCTCGCCAGGAACTCCGAGCAGTCGACTCACTTTGCCCTTGCCTGATTTATCCAGACCTTGCTTCCACTGCACAGCAATATCTTTGCATCGGCTGGGCTTGTACGTCTGCGCAAAGAGCACCGCCTCGGCCGTTCGGTTCGTCTTGAGCAGAACATCCAGGCACGAGTCCACATCGCGCAGTTGCCAGAAACAGGTGAAGGCTACGTTGTGCTGACCCGCTTCTTGCGCCTTTCCCGCAAGATCCCGGAGACCATCCTCATCGCACGATGAAGTGTATAGGAGTAGTAAGCTACCGAGGTCCTTGCCGTTGCGGAAGCATTCTTCCGCGAGCTTGATGTCCCAGCCGGTGAGGGCAGCATCACCTACAGTCTTCCACTTGTGCTCGACATCGGCCTCTCGTGCTAGCTCGAGCGCCACGTCAAGCTGACCGAGACCAAGAGCCAGTTCAAATCGATGCTCGCTGTCCGTTGACACCTCAAGGGCTTGTTCCTTGTAGCCCTGCCCTTCGAGGAAACGTGCGATCTTGTTTTTCTGGTCTTCTGGAATCTCCCCTTGGCTAAGCATTTCCATGGCTGCTTCCAAATCGCCACGCAGTACTAGAGTCTGGAACTCGATGACGCTTACTGAAAGAGCAAAGGAGGTGACAGCGACATCCTTGTCGCAGACGTAGACTCTGCCATCCCTTGGAAGATAGCCGAGAACGTAGTAAGGTTGGTCGAAGTGCGAGACGGTGTATGTTTGGTCGCCGACGAGGTAGTTCAGGCGATTTGTGCTGTTCGTGTAGACGAAGCAGTCACCGACCCACTGACCGGTGCGCACGCTCTCGTTGATGTCGCATACGACCTCGAAAGCCTCCTCAACGCCATCCTCGTCAGCGATGCCGGACTGAAGAGCAGCAATGTATTGCTCTCTTGAGTATCGGAGCACGTAGTATGTGTCTTCGCAAGCCAAGCAGACCAGCTCGCCTGACTCGGACCAATATACATTGCGTGGTTCGACCTCGATTCGGCGTACGAGCTTGCCGCTCTCCCAATCGAAGAAACCGATACCACCCTGTCCCTTCACACCAAGCAGAACACCGCCGCTCAGTCCATCTGCGGTGTATCCCACATTGACGGTGCCGTCTCCCGACTTGGGCTTGAAATTTCGGTAGATTTGGACAGAATATTGCGATTCTCGAATGGCGTAATCTTTGTCGTTTTCCTTCGAAGCCCACACGAAATCCAGCGCGGAGCCAAAAGCCTGATTACGCAGGGCAAGAGCGGTATAGATGATGTATTCGCCATCTCCACACACAGCGACGAAACGGCCATTGGGCGAGTGGATGAGCGTTTGTGGGTAAATCTCAGTGCTTCCCAGGTCCTTCGAAGGGAGAGTAATGGCTTCGCCATCCTTGATAGTCCGGTCGCCGCCCTTGATGACCGAGGTGAGAATCTCGGAGTGCCTTGCCCAGATGATCTTTCCGGAGCCATCCATGGAGACCGCTGGCTCCTCTCGACCCATTTTCACGACTACTGCACCATCGTCGAAACCCATCGCAATCCCCTGTCTGCCACGCTGATAGGAAACACACCAGGCTCGCTCCAGGCCATATGAAAGAGATTGTTCAAGACGGTATGTGTTCGCGTGCCAGATCTTGACTGTGCCATCTTCCGATCCAGAGATGATCACAGGCAGTTCCGGGTGGTAGCAAGCAAAAGACACGTTAGAAGTGTGGCCCTCCAATGTCGCAATCAATGCCTTGGTTGTGTAGTCCCAAATCTTTACTGTCCGGTCGTCTGATGTTGTGAGAAGGTACGGCTTGTCGGACTGCGGGTAGTAATCCACATGGTTCACGCCCTTCGTCTCGTGCGCCTCCAGGGTGAAATTGGGTGTGCCCGATCCCAGGCTCCAGATCTTGACCGTCCGATCCAGACATGCCGATGCGAACGTGTTGGTATCTTTAGGGTTGATCGCAAGACCCATGACATAGTGACTGTGCCCCTCAAACACCTGGACGCACTTCCAGCCCTTGTCCCAATCCCACAGCTTGATCGTCATGTCATCACTCGCGGTGAGCACAAAGGGTTGGCTCGGGTGTACCACAATCGCTCGAATGTAATCTGGGTGTGCTTCGAAGGAGGTAATCTTCTCGGAGGTGTTGTAGTTGTAGACTCGCAGTTGGAAGTCATCGCTTCCGCATACGATCCAATTCTTGCGGGCGACGAAGCGTCCGGCTCGTACAGGGACATCGGTGAGCTCGAAAGTCTTGATGATGGATTGCGTCTCGTATGACCAGATGTACACGTGGCCGCTGTAGAGGGTGGTGAGGATCCATGGCTCGGTAGGGTGGAAATCGATGCCCTTCACTCGCTCGCTGCGGGCGAAGAGCTGGCGCTGCAGGTCGAGGTTAACCGAAGCCCCCATTGTCGCGGTTGTGCTCAATTGCGAGAATTTGCACTGTACGATGCGCCTACCTTGACGTCGAGTCTCATGGTGCTGGCTGGCCCAATGGCGCTCAGCGACGCAAGGGATTGCTATTGCTTGTCTCGTCCTCCTGTCGCTTTCGGCACCCGATTTAGAAATCGTCCGTGAAGTGTACAACCAGGACCGCGAGCTCGATTTCAATCAAGCGATATGGTTAAGGATTGGGGAGGAGTGCTGCATGTGAGAGGTGAGGTCGTGAATGTACACCACTTGTCCTTACTCCTACGAAGCTTCCCAGAAAGCCAATAATTCCGCCCTCCACCGACCCTGTCCTGTCTCAAGACGGGTACAGCCGACGCTACGCCGCATCGGCTTCGGCTGGCGCATGTGACGTCTGGCTAGCCAACTAGCCACCACCACGCACTTCTTGCCAGGTTCCTCTCCTCCCAGCTCCACATATCACCCAAACAACAGCACCACACACATACGGGCGGAGTATCTGCAGCGAACAGCATGAAGTTCCTCTCCGTCGCTCTCCCGGCGATTCTCGCCACCTCCGTCACCGCCAGAGTAACATCCTTCTTCAGCAGCTCCGACGTTTCCCTGCGCGACGACAAGGAAGCACTCAAGGTACCTGGCGAGAACCCACTGGTGCACTGCGAGGACCCAGAGAAGGACATCCTCGCCATCAAGAAGGTGGACTTGACCCCCAACCCGCCGGCAGCGTTCGTCACTCCATTCCTGTTCCATCTGCGTCGCAAGCTCTAATCATGATCTAGTGGCCAAACCCTCACCTTCACCGCCGCTGGTATTCTAGCAGAAGACGTCGATGAAGGCGCCACGGTGCACCTTAGCGTCAAGTACGGATTGATCAAGATCATCAACCAAAATGCAGACCTCTGCGATACCGTCAAGAATGTCGATCTCGAATGCCCGCTCAAGAAGGGCGACCTGACGCTCACGAAAGATGTGGACTTGCCGGCACAGATTCCTCCAGGGAAGTACACTGTGGAGGCGGACGTCAAGAGCAAGGACGGCGACAAGATCACATGCTTGCAAGCTACTGTTGAGTTCCACAGAGGTGGTGGCGCCTCGCTCTTCAAGCAGGACATGTAAGAGCGTGGAGCGCCGTCTTCACGGATAGGTGACGCAGGATCAGTAGGAGCAAGAGGAGAGAGATTGTTCAGAGCATATTTTGTTCGAGTATTATCATGGCGAGCAGAGCGGGCGTTGAAATTCCATTCTTCTACGAAGACGACGGGTGACGAGAGACGTAATGTATCTTTTGGGGTGTCTCTGCATTCGCGCGCATACCCCAAGTAGCGCTTTGTTTGCGTAGACCTTTTGCATGTGGGTATCCTGTCCATAACATCAAGAGATGAAGCTTGACTTCTCGTTCCTTGTAGCCATTCTTCCGCCCTTTGCACCGTAGCTTCGTGCTCATGTTCTTTGCCATGTCCTTTCATCACTCTCCAAACAGCTTCCTCACCCTCTTCATCACACTGTCCTTCTCAGGATCATATGGATGGTCCTTGCTCGGGATCTCCAGCACGGAGGGGAAAGCATCCGAAAACGCATCGACTTGCCCTCGTATCCGGTCGGCAATCTATATGACCACCACCAGTCAGCAGTCCATCCCCTGAATAGAAACCCTGATCTTGCTCACGTGTTGATTTATCAACAGAATCGCAATATCCTTCCTCTGTTTCGTAAACTGCTCGAATGCGCCTTCGATGGTGGAGTTTTCGGTTTTCGAATCGACGACGAGGTAGTTCTTTTGCGAATCGGGTGGAGCTGTGACATGCTATAGGGACCCTGTAAGCTTGAGGTGCTGAAGAAAGGGATCATAGGGAGACCGTACGCCCACGCCTGCAAGCAGAATGCCGGTCACTGAGTCCTGAGGAGGTGTATGTTAGTTGGAGAGCGGAGAGAAGGGTGGGATGCACTCGCTTCGTCGCCTATGACGGCTAGGAATTCTCGATCCTTGTACGCGGAAGCCGGTAGTGCCATGTTCAGGACGATACGACAGCGAAGGGGAAAGTGGTGCAGCACGGTAGGTTATTCACGTGCAAGGCAGCTTGGAGGAGCTCTCGCGGGTTCGCCAGCTGGTCCGAGCTTTGAAGACGTCAGGATACACGACTTCGATGTTCGACTTCAGCATTTCTACCCTACCCTTCAACCAACAAATTCAGGAATCTTCTCATATCTCACTTCATTCCATACATCAGTTCATGCAGTCTTCGAATCCCTCCTCATCTCCTCCAGCGCCTTTTCCGCCGCACCAACACAATCAAACTTGAAGCACCAGTGATTAACTCCCGGCCTCGTCAACGGATCCGGCCAGTCCTCCTCACTGATAAACTCCCTCGCCATCTGCTGTATCTCCTCCGGAATCGTATACCACAGGGAATCCGACTGAGAAAGCAATTGCATCGCACTCGCCCTCGGTCGTCTCAGAGCATTGTACATCCTCAAGCGCTCCTCCACCAGGTTTGTATCTTGCACATCTCGAAGGAGAATCCCCAACGTTGCGGCATCTTCGAAGGCGGCCGCCGCTCCTGCTCCGAGAGTCGGATGCATCGGATGCGCGGCGTCTCCGAGGAGAACCAGGCGGTGCTTGTGGAAGGAAGGTAAGGGCAGACGTTCGTTGACATGCCAGAGATACATGTCTTTCTCATCTGTTCTGCGGACAATCTCCCGGACTGAGTCGTTATACCCTTCCAGCAAGGCCAGAGCAATCTCCTTGGGACTGTCATTCTTCCACCGCTCTTGACTAGCCGCATCTCCATCCGAGAACTCATAGAGGCCAAAGTTCTGCAACGCACCCCTATACCCCCCAGCGTCAGTAGCGAGCCAGGATGGAGGAATGGAAACCACTCACCCTCGACAACTATACCTCAGAAGCAACACATCCCTCCTCTCCGCAGCATAGACCACACTCATCCCCGCCGCCTTCTCCCCCTCCGCTCCCGTCAACCCCCAGATCCCCCGAAACCTCTCCGTGTCCATGGTAAACCTCACATTCCTCAACCCGCTCCTCCTCACCGGCCTCTCCTCCCCCACCACCCACCGATGCGCCCGCGAATGCACCCCATCCGCCGCAATAACCACATCCCCCCGGAACACCTCCCCGCCCTCCACTTCCACCCTCCCTTCCCCCGCATCATACCTCACCACCCGCTCCCGCTCCCGAATCTCCACCCCCAACTCCACGCACATCTCCCGCAGAGCGTCGTGCAAATCCACCCGGTGCGCCGCCAGCGAGGGCGCGCCGTACCTCTCCTCCGCCCGCCCCAAGATCTCCCTCTCCGCCGCATTCCTGCCCTCGGATGATGACAATTCCATCATCGCCTCCCCCTCTCGCGCCCGGATGAAATCTAACCCCGTCCACGGCGATAAGCCCGCCCGTTCGAATGGTAAGCCGAGGAATTTCAGGACCTATTCATTTGAACAAAAAGGTATCCTTTTGGTCAGTAAATTAAAATCATTCATTCATTCAAATTGGAATGGAAGAGAAAACCTCCTCCGGTGGAATTTGGGTTTCTCCTGAATCGAAACGAAAATTTTTACCTACCTTTACACAATTCGGCGTCAGCGACACGGCAAAGCCAATCTCCGTCTGCGCGGCGTGCTTTTCCAAGATTCGAATGTTATGATGGCCGCCGCCGCATTTCCGCAGGGCGAGCGCGGTCGCGAGTCCGCCGAGGCCGGCGCCGACGATGAGGATTTGGAGCGGGGGGCATTTTTCTCGCATGCGGTCGGGTGGAATGGGATGGAATGGGATGGAATGGGATGGAAGGGAATGGGAATGGGAAGGAAGTGCAGTGCAGTGCAGTTTTGGGAGAATTTGATCAGGAGGAGGAGGAGAGGAGAGGAGAATGGAAAAAAGTACTGCTGGGATTCCTTCCCTTCTTATTTCTTTCTTCTTTCTTCTTTCTTCTTGGGCTGGGGTTGGGGGTTGGGGGTTGGGTTGGGTTGGGTTGGGGGTTGGAGTTGAGTGAAGAGATCGAGCGGTTTACACATACATCAGCTGCCGTGCCAAGCAAGGCCTCGCTGATGATGATGATGTGGTGCTGTGTGTGTACATGGGACCTTGTAAGAACAACAACAACAACAGGGAAGCATGGAAGCATGGAAGCATGGAAGCATGGAAGCATGGAAGCATGGAAGCATGGAAGCATGGAACGTGGAAGCCTGCGCATGGAAGCCTGCGCATGGGAGGCATGCATGCTGATGAGGAAAAAGTTATTTCTCGGGTGGGTATGATATATCTCGATCAACACCCCAAAAAACGAATGGCAATGCCGCCTCCACTTCATATGTGGTGAGAAAAACAATCATCCGGAAAGTTGTTCTGTTCATACAAGTTATACATAATGGATCCGATAAAAAGAGACTCTTTACCGAACCCATCCCATCCCATCTGTCGATATAGTTTTCCCGCCCTATCCTATCCTATGCCAGTCCCGCCCGTCCCGTGCACCCGAATCATCCGCTCCACATCCTCCTCCACCCCCATGACGCCAATCGCCCACTTGAGTCTCACGACGGGCTTCGAGCCCACCAGTCTCCGATCATCATCGTTATTGAGATCGTCCGGCGGCAGGTTCGGATCCAGATGCTCCCAGCTGCCATTCAGGCGCGGGTCGTCGCGGTGTTCCGCCGGCCGGGCGATGCGTTCCCACGGAGGCCCACGCCCGGCCGCGGCGGCCTTGACCCACGCCGTCTCGCAGCCGTTGGCGATGAGCTCGGCGCTGCCCCAGCCGGTGCGCTGCGCGATGCTCCAGATGCGCGTGACGGTCGCGCGACGCTGTTCGTAGTCGCGGTACTGCACCGCGGCGAAGAAGGAGGGCATGCAGCTCTCGCAGAGAGCGGCGCCGAGACTCGGGTTGAGGGGTTGATTCTCTGGCCCGGGGACGATTCCGGCGGCAATCCGTCCGATCTGATTCGCGTAGGACGCCGTTTCGCGGGCAGCGATGGCCGCCGCCAGATGTGCAGCAGGGGGCATGTGGGGATGTGCTCGGAGAGCGATGAGCTGTGCCATGTTGTACAAAGCCCAGAGACATCCGATATCGTACGAACGGTAGAAGAGCGCGGTTCCGAAGGGAGTGTCCATCGGCGGTTGATACTCCGACTTGAGCGGCTCAAACGCTTCGCCGAGGCTCTGTTCGAAGAGATTTAGCGCGGCGCGGATCCGTCCGTACTCTTGCAGCGCAGCTGCCGTTTCCTTCTCCAAATCGTAGTCGAATGCGGACGGCGGATGGGCGCTCTGTGGTGTTGGTATCGAAACCGATGGTGTGTAGGACGAAGGCATATGGACGTTGGATCGTGGTGCTGGCGCCATACCGTAGAATTGCGGCATTGCTGGGACTTGGCCGGGCGTTGGTTGACCAGCTTGCGGGAATGCTTGTCCAGGCATTCCGTTGCTCGTTGTCGACATGGGGGTCGGCGGTGGAGCCTGCTGTTGGTTCGGCGGGCGTGGTATGTTCATTCCCGGAGCAGGTCTCCACTGCCCGCCGTTCAACTCCATCTGTTTCAGCTTCCGCTCTCGGTCTCGAGAGGAGAAGTCTGCGATTCGTCCGAGCAGCAAAACAAGATGATCGAATGTCCCATACACGGCATCGCCCTTGCCCAGAGGTGCTCGAGGAGGGCAATTGGCCCATCGACTAAAGTCCATGCTATGGATTCGTTAGTGCACGTCCGTACATCGGAAATCGTCGGCACTTACAGCAGAGGATTGCCGCTGACGATACTCTGGATCACATCTTGCTTGCAGTACCACCAGTACAGATCTTTCAAGATCTCAAACCTCGCCAAGTCCAGAGCTGGAGGAATGCCGGAGTAGGAAGCCCCAACAGAGCCGTGGTCATCGTATCGTACTTCTTTCCCCGTCAGCCGGCTGATCACCCGTTCGTCCACGTCAGCTATCTGGTCCAACAGATCGTCCTGCGAGAAGAGCTCCTCGGAACTGTGCCTCCGCCTTCTGCCCGCCTGATGCCTCATCATCTTCTCATGCCTCTCGCGCTTCAACCTGCGAAAGCCTTTGGTCATCTTGACGAAATCCGTCTCCACGAAGAGCTGCTTCGAGCCCGCAAGATGCATGTTCCACTTCAGATGGTCTGCTGTCATGATCTCGTAGAAGCCCAGCAGCATCGTCGCCGCGATTGTCGTGACCTGCAGTCGTCTCTCGGGCTTCCCGACCGACGCATGTATGCGCCGCAAAGCCCACGCATAGTGCTGCATCGACGGGGTTACCGACGCGTTCTGGAGTCTCGCGATGTGCAGGCTCGCCATGGCTAGCATCGCATGTAGCAATCCCTGGTTGCGCAGAGCCGCCCGGGGCATGCGGTACGTCCACAATCCTTGCTGCGACAGTGGGATCGATCCCTCGGTGAACAGGACGGAAGTGTTCCTCGGATGTCGCTCGAAGATGGAGAGACTCGGTCCGGTCGCGGAGATGAAGTGAGCAAACACGCGCGCCGTCGCTGGGTTCTTGAGAGGACTCGCGACCTCTTCCACTCGATAATGATTGAGGATTCCCTCGTAGAGGAAGGTATCGTAGCGTCGTGACAGGAGTCCTTGGCTGCTGATGTGGTTCGCAGCCAGAATCCTCCTCAGAGTCTGTTGTTGTTGTTGTTGTTGTTGTTCGTGGCCCTGCTGCTCATCGGCGTACGCATCGCCCTCCACCTCTTCATCCGAGCCCACATCGTAGTATTCATCGTCCTGAGCCTCCACAGCTGCCGCGGTAAGCATATATGTCGGAGTGTGATTGGGCGTCGCGTGGCTCTCGTGCTCGTAATATTCCGGAGTGGTGTGATCCGCCGGAGCTGGTTGACTCGATCCCGGCGCATGCGGTTGTGGCCAGCCTCCGTATGTGCTCTCCACGGGACGTGCGTATTCCGCGGGAGCGGTCTGGCCGTGCTGTTGCATCTGGCCGCTTGCCGCCCATTGCTGCTGCGATGCTGTCACTGGAGTCTGGGAGAAGGACAGAGTGCGCGAGGATTTGCAAGAGACGGGAGTCGGGAAGAAGTCATGCTCTGCTTTGACTGCAGGTTTGGTGTCGGACCAAGCCTGATCTTGTAATTGGAAGTGGCCGTGGACGGAGTCGCGATGTTCCTGGGGTTGCGGCGGCTGGCTGGGATGCTGCTGGTAGATGTGCGCGAGTGAGGTGACCGGTGGCATGCCCTCCCGAGGTGGGAAGGGCTTCTGCTCGTCGTGGTGCAGGACCGCGGGGCCTTGCCGCAAGCCATCACCCCGCGGCCCGGGAGCATCGAGATGTTGCTGGGGCGTATCTGGCGCTCGCGGAGGCTGATAGACGTGCTGGGCTTGCGTGTAGAGATTGGGACCTGGGTATGAGACGGGTTGATGGGATGGTGCGAAGTGGAAAGGCTGCGACATGGACTCGTATGCAGGATCTGCGAAATGGTCATGCTGGAATGCTGGCTGCGCACGGCCCAAGCCAGCGAAGTGCGGCGGTTGGTGCCGGGGAAGGTCATACACATTCACATGCCCGTCCTCGAAAGCATGTGGTTGGAGCGGGGCAGATGCTGAGGGGTCGATGGAAGCGGCATGGCTGTCGTGGTAGGGAGGGGGTTGTTGTGCACCGGGGATGGGTGCAGCAGCTTGAAAGGTGATGTGAGCGCCGCCATTGGGGGCGGGATGGTATTCGAAGGTCGGGGGTCTGAAGACGACGCGCTGATTGTAGCCGTCGCAGTGTCGTTTGCTCTTGATGCAGTTCTTGCAGACGGGACGCTCCTCACCACACTTGATGCGGCGCTTGCGGCAGGTGAGGCATCCGGTCTTGGTCCTCTTGCGCGACAGCTTGGCCTTCAATGCCGCCTCGGCGGCCGAGATGTCGCCGAAGCGTGACTCTGCGTGGGCATCGTCGTCGTCGTCGTAGGGATGATCCGCGTCGAAGTTGAGCCGTGATGCCATGCGGTGAGCGTGAGCGTGAGCGTGAGCGTGAGCGTGGGGAGGAGATGTCGATGTGCAAGACTCGATGGTGCGAATTCGCGCATCGTCTCCCGTGGGTGTGGTGTGGTGGTGGTGGTGGCGGAAGGCTTTGGCCTGCGAGCAGTGCTGTGCTGGGTCGCGCCGGGAGGGTCGAGTCGCTCAGTCGCAATGCGCTGGAGGGTGACGGGCCCGGGATGCAGTCATGGAAGGGGAGAGAGGTGTGGATATGTCGGCGGGCGAAGAAGACAGGCAGGCCAGGGACGCGGATTCGTCCCGTCCAGAATGATGAGGGTCCCGATGGGATTAAGCGAGGTGGTGTGGGTGTGGGTGTGGGTGTGGGTGTGGGCGGCGAGCTCGTCCGAGCAGCGAGGAAGCGAATGCGCTGTGCGAAGAAGAGCGGGTGGACGGACACGTGCGGAGGAGAAGGCGAGAGGGTGAGAGGAGCGAGGCTATTCAGACGACACGGATGGGAATGTCTCAGGGGAGAGCGGAGCGGCACAGGCACCGAGCAGATGTGAGAGAGCAATAATGTGTGGGAGGAAGAAGAAGTCAAGCGAGCTGCCGGCGCCACGGTGACGGGATGGGGATGGGGATGCAAATGCAGAAGAGAGGAGGTGGTGCTGCTGCTGCTGCAGGGCGGAGGTCCACGCACTACGCACTACGCACTACGCACTGCGCACTGGCTACTTGTATGGGGCGGCGGCGGCGGGAGATTGTGCAGTGGGATGATGGGGAGTAATAAGGAATAATGAATAATTACGGTGATGGGGGGCGTGCGACCGCGTTGCTCCAGAGGCAGTGGAGAGCGGAGGCAGGCAGGCAGACCAACAGGGTAGTAGGATACGGTAGGGTAGAGTACATTACAGTATTATTAGATGATTCATGCAGAATGCAGATGAGTGGAAGCTTCAATACCGACCGCAACGGAGTTCGCGCCAGGATGGGATGACGACCACGCGCACGCGGAGTCGACACGACGGACAACGTGGGAGGAAAAAAGCACAAAGCTTCCACCGGATGGAATCCGCACGCACGCACGCACGCACCGCACAGCAGCACGAGTCACTGAGATACACCACCTCACACTTCTTTCCTGCTACTGCTTTGCTGCCGCCGCCGCCGCCACCACGGCCAAATCCGAGAGTCCAGCTCGACGCCCATCGTCCATCGTCCATCGTCCATCCATCTGCACCGTCCACCACGCCTGCCTCCGCCATCCAAGCCATCCAAGCCATCCAAGCCTCAAAGATCTCTCCCGAAGAATCGTCTGCCGGGGATGTCTGGGAAGATGACGTGCTGGGCGTGATGAGACGCGCATCCTGTCCAGCCCGTCCATCGTTCATCGTCCGTCCATCGTCCATCGTCCATGGCGGCTGCCGTGGCTGTGGCTGCATGAAACATGGCAACTCTCTCGTCTCTCCATTGCATGCACCCCGATCCCGACCGCCCTCTTAGCGCCCTCGACACTGCATTGTGCATGCGTCCACACGTCGGTCGTGGCCCGCAGCGTGAAGAAAAATCACAATGCGGCAATTCGAGCACACTGCATGCGGCAAGCGCACACATCCCCATCGTCACTTCCTTATCTTTATTACCCCAACCAGCCAGCCGGAGGAAGGGGTACGGTACGGTACGCATCTACCACCATCTCACGCCTCTCAGGCAGCTTCATTCCACCTCATACCTACTAGGTAGTCCAGTCAGTCCCCTGGAAGAAGCAATCCATTAAACTCTCTCCCTCACACACGTCACTACAATAGCCCGCGCCCAGTAGTAAGTATCATACATACCAAATCAATCGCAATGACGAAAGACTCTTGACGCCAAGAACCCCAAAAAAAGCCACATGAAATGCCCATCCGCGCCATTATGATTGCAGTGTACACCTTCACCACAGCAGCAGCCACCCTCTCATGCACCCACCCGCTACATGGTCCCCTCATTCTTAGCAGAGCAGAGCAGAGCAGAGCAGAGCAGAGCAGAGCTGTTCCGCCCTACGATGCCGCAGCCGGGCCGCTGAGCGCGACGTGGTAAAGACGGGATGCTCCGGAGGATCAGTCAGCATCTCGACCCGTTGTGCGTCGGCCGCTACTACAATAATAATAATGCCTCGCCACGTCAGTTGAAAAGACGTCGTCGTGCGGTGGTGCAACGTATGTAAAGTCAGGTAGAAATTGCAGAGAGAGAGAAAGCATCATCATCATCCCCCGCCCACCCGCTCCGTATCACGCTCTCCTACCCCATCCATGGCTGGCTGGCTGGATAAGCTACCTAAGCTACAGTCGTGGCCTCGAAAAAAGATGAATCTCGTTGCTGTCAGCGTGAGACGGATGCCTTCCTACCTCCCACCTCCCACCTGCGAAGACGGGAGGGGCCGAATGGAAGGCGAGAGAAGGAAGATGGGGAAAAAGGCACGAGTACATGTAGTGAGATTCTGAATTTATACGCTTCTTCTTCTTCTTCTTCTTCTTCGTCATACATACAGAAAGTAGGGAGGCAGTGACTAGCTCATCGTATATAGCATCATCCATCATTGCAGATATCAATCATTGCTCCTTAGCAGACTTCCCACAGAGTATTCCATTCTACGCATCTACTCGGTTCTGGCTTTTTGGATACTGTTTTCATAAAGTACTGTCTGTCTGTCGGTCTGTCTGTCTGTCTGTCTGTCGGTCTGTCTGTCTGTCTGTCGGTCTGTTGGTCTCATAAACAAATTCCCATCGTCAATCTCGGGGCATCATCACTCTCCGGGTATCATAACTTTCGTATCCTTCACGCATAGGATTAGAATCACTCAATCAATCAATCTCGCATGCAAATCCTCATCGCCATCAGTGAGAGTGCTGCGACTCATTCGGCCTGGCCATCGCCGTCGACGGCAGTCCCGCGACGGAAAGCTGCAGTTTCAGAGTCCCCTCCGCATCAGCATTCTGTGAAACGAATCCCACCAACGCATCTCCCGACAGGGGCCGCTCGAACCCGAGAGTGCGGTGGTACTTGCTGAGCAAGGCATTCTCGGGCCGCAAGAACCCTTGCAAGCCGAGGACTCGGATGACGTGGTGGATGAGAGCCGCGGGGTGGGTGTCGTTGGTGAGAGCAGTGACGTCTACTTCGCGGAAAGACTGCTTGTCGTAAGTCACCATGATGAATCTCTCCGGAGGCGCACTGGTCGCGTCTGGAGAGGAGAAAGAGACGGGAGAGGTGATGAGACCGTGGTCGTTGTCCTCTTGACATTTGGTCCGCAGGTGGAGCTTTCGGAACATGAGCAGAGTCTTGGTCAACAATCCCATCGAAGCTTTCCTCGAAGCTACCGTCGGGCTGATTGGTTCCGTAGCAGGCAACCAAGTCTTGTGCACCTGCAACATGTGTCTCCTGACATCCTTTGGCCAGCAGAATCGCACGAAGCAGTCCGCCTTCTTGCACTCGTAGGGACGGTACCGCTTGGCGGTGTGCTTATGCTTCTGATGCTTTTCCAGATCGCATTGCCGGTCAAAGCTCTTGTCGCAGTCGCCCAGCTGGCACGGGAAACCGCCGATTGCTTTCTTGTTGCGTTTGGTCTTTACTTTTTCCTCAGTCTTGTCGCCGCGCTCGCGCTGACGTTTGGAGGAGGTGCGCTGGAATGGCGCTTCGAGTGGGGATTCGACAAACTCGTCGGTGGTGCAACCGGCTGTCGGCGTTAAGCCTTGGGTGGTCCAAGGTTGAGACTGGGTCTTGCAGTCGGTTGCGACATGAAGGGCCGGCTTAGTCTCTTCCGTCTTGTTTTCCAAGATGTCGCGCACGTTGGTCTGAGTTGGAGCGTGCGAGTCGATGAGGTAGGACGCATCGTACAGTGCCAAGGCCAGCTCATCGTAAATGGCATCCGCAAAGTGCTGCGGTTCTGGCAAAAATACGTCCAAAGGCCCTAGCAGGGCTGGCTCGGGGGTGTACAGAGAAGGTACTCTTGTCAATTCTTCATGCGGACTCCAGGCGTTGTTATCAATGAATGATGGCTGGTCGTCGAAGCTCAGCTGAGGAGCTCCGGCAGCTGCATGAGCTTGTTGTGTCTGCTGATCCATGTTTGCCATCGCGCTCAGACTTCTTGGACAACAAGGGGCGACGCGGCAACAATGCAGACGGGCTTATCGTGGAACAACAGGTGGCCAAACCGGAGAAAGAATTTCATGAAGGGGAGTCCTCAGGTTTTGCATGATTCTGGCAGCTGAACAAGGCTGTGAGGCCGCCAGCTGAGTGCAGCTCCGCCCCATTCATCACGGGATGTTCATCCACTTACCTCAGCTATCATCACACACATGCCATAGCGGGCAACATGATGGTGTTGATGAGCTTTTGGAAAGTGCGAGAGAGCAGAGGTGTTTGATATTTTGACATATTGAGAGTGCCGGCAGTGAAAGAAGGGGAAGTCGCGTGTGCTGATGCAAGCACGGGCTTGGGCCTTGGCAGATCAGCATCACGTGTACGTATGCCAAGCATCACGTGCACATATGCCAAGACCATCGACAACATCCATTCAGGAAAAGACCGCGTTCACATGACAGTGTCCCATACATCCAGGGTACAAAAAGCTCGAAGTATCGCAGGGCATCGATCGAGTAGTTGGTCTGCGGTACGAAGAGGCATGGCCCAATATCTTCGGCTAACCAGGACGGGGTGTGCTACAAAAAAGCCTCAAAAATCAAAAAACAGGTCTGGATGCGAGCGTTTGTTCACAAACCGTTCCGTAGAGCGTTTGTACTGCTCGCCGGACTTGAACCGGCGGCCTTCAGTGCACACAGAAGTGTTAGACTGACGTGATAACCAACTACACCAGAGCAGCGACCAGATACACATCTCCTGATTGAATCCGTCGATGTGATTGGTCAACACGTCAAGTATATCGTATATGACTGCTAGGTCTTGTAGCCGCAGATTCCACGAGATTGACCCACGACTCTCCAGGAGCAGCAGCTTGAAGTTTTTTTCTCCCTTCGAAATGACCACCCTATGTCCAAGCAACGATTCAAACGAACTTTCGGACTACACTGCCGTCCCCTGTGCTATCAAGGAGAAGTCCCTTCCGCCATTCTCATTCGCTCGGCAAGCGTGCAGACTAGCCCGGTTTCAGATGTCTACTGCAACTTCAGCTCCCGACAAATCGGATTCCCGCAAGACCATCTCTCATGACAAGCACAAACGCCGTCCATCGAAGCAGTCCAAACGCAACACGGCCGAGGCGCCCACAAGCAGCATCGATACCGTCTGCCAGCAGAGCAGATCGTCCGTCACAGGCTTGCATCCCGAGTATCCCACGTCTCCTGAAGAATTCAAGCGCTCCCCATTCGAAACCTTACGAGATCTCGCGCCGTGACTGGATCACTGCTCATGGGACTAGAGAGATCTTGTAACACGCTTCGACTGCCAGATTCGGCCTCGACCTCGACCTTGAGCTGTTTGCTTGCTTGCTTGCCTGCCTACATGCGCGGGAGGCAGGAGAATTTCAGCGAACGGGTCGTGGACACGCAGGCGGGACGAGTGACTTCCGCCGAATCGAAGGCAGACGGGAAACTTGCAATGAGGTAAAACGACGCAGGGAGAAGGTGAATCTCCACTATGGGGTTCGACGCGCCAGACCGTAGAGGCCGCGGCCGCGATGGCAAGCTCTCTGGAGAGTTCTTAACTCAGGCGTCGGTAGGTAGACAATGTCGTTTCTTGAATCTGTTCTCTGCTGCCGCTACTCTCACTTCCTTGCTGCTTCTTTGCTCTTTGCGTTCTTACGATTCGTGCGTTGACCGCACATCCACTCATTACCCATGCATTTCTCTACGCTCCTTAACACCGGCATCGCCATTACGCTCTTCAGCACCTCTGGCCGTGCCGGCTACGTCTTGCAAGACGACTACTTCTCCGGCAACTTCTTCGACAACTTCGACTTCTTCGATTCTCCTGACCCGACGCATGGATTCGTAGAATACCAATCTCAAAACGATGCTTCCTCGGCCGGATTGATTAGCAGCTCCAGCAACAATGCCAAGATGCTCGTCGACAGCAGCAATGTCACGCCCGATGGACGTCCTAGCGTGAGACTTACGAGCAAGAAGTCGTACAGTTCCGGTCTCGTGGTTCTCGATGTCGATCACATGCCCGGTGGTATCTGCGGCACCTGGTACGTCGTCTCACCCCCCCCCCTCCCCATCACCATCTTCCCATTTCCACGCTAATGTTTCCACCTTCCAGGCCAGCCTTCTGGACCGTCGGCCCCAACTGGCCCCTCGGCGGCGAAATCGACATCATCGAAGGCGTGAACGAGCAGACCCAAAACGACATGACCCTGCACACCGGCCCCGGCTGCGCCGTCAGCAACACCGGCCTCTTCTCCGGCGTCCTCAAGACCCTCACCTGCGACTCCTCCGCCGGGAACAACCAAGGCTGCCAGATCGCCGACGGCAACCCCGGCGGCTACGGCGCCGCCTTCAACGCCCACGGCGGAGGCGTCTACGCCATGGAATGGACCCCATCCGCCATCAGCGTGTACTTCTTCCCCCGCGCTTCCATCCCCGCCGACGCCCTCGGCGCTTCTCCCAACCCTTCCACCTGGGGCACTCCCGTTGCCCAATTCTCCGGCGGCTGCGATTTCGCTTCCGCTTTCACGGACCAGCAGCTCGTCTTCGACACGACTTTCTGCGGCGATTGGGCGGGCAGTCCCGACGTCTGGTCGAGCAGTTCCTGCTCCCAGCAGGCTTCCTCTTGTACGGACTTTGTCGCAAATCACCCGTCCGCTTTCCAGGACGCGTATTGGTCGATTAACGCGTTGAAGGTCTACTCGACTGGTGGTGGTGGGGCGAGTGAGGCTTCGAGTCCTTCGCCTACTTCTGCTGCCGTCTCGACTGCGGCTCCGGCGTCGGTTTCTACCAGCGAGCCGAGCCCTTCTAGCCCCTCGGAGTCTGGAAGCAGTGGCAGTGGGGTCGTGCCGTGGGTTGGTCCGGATGGGACTGTGAATTGGGGGGAGGAATCTACCGCCGCTGCGACGCCGACGCCGACGCCGACGGGTGGAAGTGGGTGGTACAACAGTCCGGGTGGGTTTGCACAATGGGGAGGAAAGAAGAGGGATGAGGAGGACGTGCTTACTGCGGAGCTTTTGAAAGAAAGGGCTGCGAAGCATTTGAGGATACATAAGAGGCATGGAAGTGGGAGGTTGTGAGGGAGTGTGTGTGACAGTGTGGCTGGCTGGTTGCTTGATTGATGGGATGACTCAGTGTCTCTCTTCTTGATTCGTTTCTACTTAGAATCCTTTTATAGACAGACTTGAGTCGTAGCATGCCGGAACAAACAACTTCCTGCTCTCGGCGCATTTCTCTCCCGCGATGTCCATTTCCGTGCTCGCATACGGGGCCTCAGACGCATAGGTTTCCTCCCGGCATGGTGACAGAAAGCTCTACGGCCACCCGATAGGGTGAAGGTGAAAGGTGCGTGGTACTTTGTCCGATAGCACTTTTCTTCTCCCTCCTCATGCTCGTGGAACTCGCAGCGCGCTACTGCGTGAGACGAGCTTTTCCAGTCCGGGAGCGAATTTCTATTCTCAAAGAGGAACTTCGCAAGATCCGCGAGATATGAGGGTATCTCTTCTCCACTGATAACTTCGTGGACATTGTTCAAAGACGAGACCAGGAAAATGAGAAGTTTGCGGAGCTTCGAAGTTGATGCGGTCCTCTCGTACAAGTCCTTGATATCCTCCGAGTGCGGCATCCAACGAGTGTTGTCTTCTGGGGTGATGAAGTGGACTGAGAAGGCATCCGTAACAGCGTCCTTGAAGTCGGCGTCCATCAGCGAATCCCCGAGAGTGTATGCTTCAATGAGACGAGGGTAGGTGTCGTGATCGTCCCGCTTCGGTGTATCGGCATCGATGTCGGTGAATAGCCGACGACTGTACAGCCAATTGACCCAGATATTGAATGTCTCAGGATCTGCCTTGGGAAGTTCCACCTTGCGCCGCTGACCCTCGGCCCAGTCCTTCTTAAGCGCAGCATCAAAGAAGGCCGAGTTCTTGCGTAACAGGCCCTCATCAACATGGAATGTAGCCACAGATGTGCCAACTTTGACGATGACTGATTTCGCCGAGAAACTAGGAGGTCCTTCGGTCAGCAGAATACTCGGAACAAAGAATGTTGCATACGCACTCGATAGCTCCGGTGTGTGGCAAGACTGCATGCATGAGGACGGGGTCCTTATTCTTTGCTCTCGCCATGTCGAGCGTGGATGAAGAGCTGTCTTGCCCTTCGGTGGTGGTGTCGAAGGTGATGGAGAGGAGATGTGCGAGAAGGAATCTTGTCGTGAGCTCGAAGCTTCACATGCAAACGGAGCTTAATGGTCGGCAACTCAAATTAAGCGAGATGTGCTTCCGACTCCCGACTCGCGCCCGGGAACCTCTCTTCTCGAGCAGTCGCTACATGTAACATGCAGCGGACATCCCCTCTGAAGGCGTTGTGTGAACCGTCACAAGCTCGAGTACTTTTGAGTCGTTCCTAGCACGCCGTCTCGTCCAGGTTCACACTTTCAAGATGGCAGAGTAGCAGGCCAGTATTTGTCCAAGGAATGGAGAATCAAATCAACCAGAATAGGTGAACTTCCAAATGGGTATCAACATTAAATGTATTATATTTGGCTCGTTCCAGCTCCAAGATCAATCCATGTCCATGGCATCCGGGTCGTCTTCCACCGCATCTGCCCCTTCGTATCCCGTGCTATATCCATGGGCTGTCTCAATCACCTCGTTTTGCTCGCTCTTGGCGTATTTGCAGTTCATATCATGATGTCTCGCCTCCTCAGCTGCCTTTTGCCTGGCCCTCTGCCGCGTCTCCAGTATCGCCTTCCTCACCGAATCATGCCCTTCGTCCATTGTCAGAGACTTGGGCACATTATATAGCACGAGCTCTTGGCCTTCATGATCATCATCTTTGCGACCCGTGAGCAGCTGCTGTGGTATTCGGCTCAAGCGCTTCTCGATGTCCGGGAGGAAGATGAGCTTCTCCTCGTCGGATTCGATGCCGGCGAGCTCGTCGTCCAGGTTGTGGATGTACACGCGATCGCGGGTCTCGTCTACCTGCATCAACTCATCGTCGCCTGTTGCCGGCGATTCCAAGCTGGTGGTCGCGTCGGTCGCATTGGCCGGCGCTTTGGCCAGAGGATCCGGCTTCGACAGCGGGATGTAGTAGTTACTGTTGCCATTCGGCTCTGTAGGATGATGGTCAGAGACATTCCGGACAATGTGCGATATGTTGATAGACTCACCGAGACTCAAGAGGTTGAATCTTTTGGTGAAACGATCGGAGTCGTGGAGACTTGACTCATCCGCCCTTCGCTTGGTGCCGGCGTGAGCAGCTCCACGATTGGCCATGCACGTCTTCATCAGGTTCGCCGTCTGCATCGTCACATAACTCTCCCACTTTCACCGCGCGCCAATCGTCCGTCTTCCGGAAGATATCATCGCCCGACCTCGAGGAATATCAAAGGTTTTTGTTGTGCTGACTAGCTGTGAGACGAAAGAGGTTTTATTAGGTTGCATGCGAAGCTTCCTCCACCTTCGCGCAGCACCGCCGAAAGCGTGGAATTCTAGAAGCTCACTGAAAGGTCTGCACCCGCCGCGTCTGCCCTCGCTGTCGCGCAACATCACCTGCCCGCGCAACATGGCCTCCACCACGGGCCACGAGCCTGAGTGGAGCGCCGTCAAGGTCCGGCAGACCTTCATCGAGTGAGTCTCCACGGCCATCCCTACCCCATCGCTCATATCCATCCCTCGACTATGGAGAGAAGAGAAGCACGTGAGCCGGACTCGCAGCAACAAATAAATAATTATCCGAGATACGCCACAGCCACACGGAGCCTTGCAGTCAGCGCACATGCAGACACGCTAATCCTGCCAATAGCTACTTCCAGCAGAATGGCCACACGTTCGTCCCGAGCAGCAGCGTTGTCCCGCTTTCGGACCCCACCCTTCTCTTCACCAATGCTGGCATGAACCAGTACAAGTCCATCTTCCTGGGAACTGTAGATCCAAACTCGGACTTCGCGAAGCTCAAGCGCGCAGCCAATTCGCAGAAATGCATTCGTGCCGGTGGCAAGCACAACGACCTGGACGATGTCGGCAAGGACTCATATCACCACACCTTCTTCGAGATGCTGGGGAATTGGTCCTTTGGCGATTACTTCAAGAAAGAAGCCATCACCTACTCCTGGGAACTTCTCACCAGGGTCTACGGTCTTCAGCCTGATCGACTGTATGTCACCTACTTCGAGGGCAAGAAGGATGCTGGACTCGAGCCGGACCTGGAAGCCAAGGAGTTTTGGAAAGCGGTGGGCGTCCCCGAAGACCACCTCCTGACCGGCGACATGAAAGACAACTTCTGGGAGATGGGCGATCAAGGCCCATGCGGTCCCTGCTCAGAAGTCCACTACGACCGCATCGGCGGTCGCAATGCTTCAGATCTCGTGAACAAGGATGATCCCAACGTCATTGAGATCTGGAACGTGGTGTTCATCCAGTACAACAGGGAGCCGGATAAGTCGCTCAAGTCCCTACCCGCCAAGCATATCGACACTGGAATGGGTTTTGAGAGATTAGTGTCGATTCTGCAGAACAAGTCGTCTAATTACGACACAGACGTCTTCACGCCTCTGTTCGAGCGCATACAGGAAGTGACGGGCGCAAGGGAGTACCGCGGCAAGTTTGGCGACGAGGACCCGGATGGAATCGACACCGCATACAGAGTTGTTGCCGACCACGTTCGACTGCTCACATTTGCTATCTCGGACGGCGCACCACCGGATGCCACTGGTAGAGGATACGTTGTCCGCCGCGTGCTCCGACGAGGCGTTCGATATGCCAGGAAATACTTCAACACCGAGATTGGCGACTTCTTCTCCAAGATCTTGGCTACACTGGTCGACCAGATGGGCGGCATGTTTCCCGAGATCAAGAAGAAGTACGCCGAGGTTAAGGAGATTCTGGATGAGGAGGAGGTCAGCTTTGCCAAGACATTGGACAGAGGAGAGGCCATGTTCGAGAAGTATGCCCAGCAATGCAAGGTCAACGATTCCAAAGTCCTCGCTGGGGCCGATGTGTGGCGACTGTACGATACATATGGTTTCCCTGTGGATCTCACCAAGCTTATGGCAGAAGAGCGTGGACTTGACATCAACGAAGCTGATGTAGAAGAGGCGCGACTGAAAGCTCGGGAAGCCTCCAAGGGCGAGAAGAAGGCTGGTGCTGATATTGTCAAGCTCACTGTGCACGACATCAACGCTCTCGAGAAGATGCCTGGTGTGCCGAAGACGGATGACTCTTCCAAATTCGAGAAGGGCAACATTCACGCCAAGATTAAGGCAATCTACCACGGCGGCAATTTCCTCCAATCAACGAAGGAAGTACCTGAGGGCGAGCAATTCGGAGTCGTCCTGGACCGCACCAACTTCTACGCTGAGCAGGGTGGACAAGAAGCCGACACGGGTCGCATCCTCATCGACGGCGAGGCCGAAATCGATGTGCAGAATGTCATGAGCTATGCTGGCTACGTCATGCACACTGGATACATGAATTACGGTAGCCTTGACTTGGAGACCGAAGTACTCTGCCAATACAGCGAGGAGCGGAGACAGCCGATCCGCAACAACCACACTGGAACGCACATTCTCAACTTTGCGCTGAGAGAAGTGCTGGGTGAGGATGTCAACCAGAAGGGCTCGCTGGTCGCAGAAGAGAAGTTGCGCTTTGACTTCAGCCATAAGGCGGGTTGCTCTGACAAGGAGCTGGTCGAGATCGAAGACAAGAGCACGAGCTACATCCGGCAGAACAGTGATGTCTTCTCGAAGGAAGTGCCCCTGGCTACGGCAAGGCAGATCGAAGGCGTGCGCGCTGTCTTTGGCGAGACATACCCCGACCCTGTCCGCGTCGTCTCTATTGGCGTACCGGTCGAGGACCTGCTGGAAGATGTCAAGCGGAAAGACTGGCGAGACGTCTCGATCGAATTCTGCGGCGGAACACACGTCAAGAACACGACCGAGATCAAAGAACTCGTCATCCTGGAAGAGAGCGGCATCGCAAAGGGCATCCGTCGCATTGTCGCCGTGACAGGAAACGCCGCGCACGAAGTGCAAATCGAAGGCAAGAACTGGGAAGAGCGCGTCAAACACCTCGAGGGCATGACATACACTGCCGAAAGAGAAGCGCGAACCAAGGAATGCCAGCACGAACTCGGCAAGGCGGAAATCAGCTCCATCGTCAAGAGCAAGCTTCGGGACCGCGTCGCCAAGGTTGTCAAGGAGAACCTAGACCACCAGAAGCGAGCGCAGAAAGAGGAGAACACACGCGTGCTGAATGCCATCCACGAGCATTTCGAGAAGCATCAGGAAACCAAGACGCTTGTTCTCAGCGTTCCGGTCTCCGCCGGTTCCAAGGCCGTCCAGGAGGCCATCAAGACCGTGTCTTCCAAGCAGAAGGACAAGACGGTCTACCTCCTGGGCAAGTCCGACGAGGGCAAGGTTTTGCACGGATGCCACGTCTCCGCGGAGGCGCAGGGCAAGGGCGCCGATGCCGCCGCGTGGTCGAACGAGGTCGCCGGCGTTGTCGGGGGCAAGGCGGGGGGTAAGGGCGCTACGAGTCTCGGACAGGGCACGCATGTGGACAAGGTGGACGAGGCCGTGGAGGCTGCGAGGAAGTATCTGCAAGGGTTGAGTCTGTAGGCAGGCAGGCTACATACGGTATGTTTTTGTTTTTGCTGAGGGCGAGATTTTCTTTTTTTTTGGCCCATGGATGGGGTCGAGGGATGAGGGGTACTAGATGAGGTGAGGTATGTATGAATCGAATCGAACAAGCTCCATCGAACAGAAAGGAAATAAAAAACAAGAGTCCCTTCTTCTTCTTCTTCTTCTTCTTCTTCTTCTTCTTCTTCTTCTTCTTCTTCTTCTTCTTCTTCTTCTTCTTCTTCTTCTTCTTCTTCTTCTTCTTCTTCTAGTCCCTTCGAGATCATCTAGATCCTCTCATACATCAAGCGATAGCTACGCTGTGAACGTATCAGCACGTTTGCACATTTGCTACAGTGGTAGCGACTCACTCACAATCCATGTATTCCTTCGCATTTGCTGAACCGGTCACAAAGGATTCAAGTAAGGTTGACTCGACAACATAAAAGGCCCAACACCCTTGTAATCGTTCTTATCCACATCAACGCTGATGTAGTACTACGGCTCGCGCATTAGAATTCTCCGCTGAATCGAACAAAGAGGGAAGGGAAGATACAATCTCACCTCGAATGTTCCATTACTGCCCAAGCTTCCGATCTCCACGGTGCCCTCCCAGTTCAGAGTTCCATCCGTAGAATTGCTTTCGACAAATCTGCTTGTAAGGAGTTCGTATCCCTTGGTGGCGGTCGGGTAGTACTCCGTTTCGTTGAGAAGACCATTGCGCATGCCCGCGAAGAGCCCGTACGTGAACATTGCGCTTGCGCTGCTCTCGATGTAGTTTCCTTCCATGGCCGGGTAGGGTGCGTTCATTACGAGCCACCAGCCTCCTGAGGTGTCCTGGTGAGCCTTGACAGCGGAAGCCAGAGTGGTGTAGTAGCTTGTAAGCTTCTCTTTGCCCGGGTGAGTCGATGGGATGTATGGGATCACCTCCAACAGGGAGATGAGATACCACCCTACAGCTCGTGACCAGACATTGGGTGCGGCGCCGGTGACAGGATTGGCCCAGACCGCGGTCTTGCTTTCGTCGTAGCCATGCACAAGCAACCCAGTTGTTTGATTGCGGCAATGTCTCTCGATAAGGTCGTACTGCTTCACGATGTGATCCCAAGCAGTCGTGTTGCCGTTGTCGAAGAGCGCCGTCCATTGCGCGTAGAATGAATCGGCCATGAAGATTCCGTCGAGCCACATCTGCCACGCATAGATCGGGCTGCGGTGGAAAAAGCCACCCTCACGGTTTCTCGGATGGCGGTTCAGTTGTTCGCGAATAATATCGGCAGCGGACTTGTACTTCTCCTCGCCGGTGCGGTTGTACCACCAGAGGAAGTCGGTGCCAATGCGATAGTCATCTAAAGAGTAGTAGGTGTAGTTCCAATCTGCGATGGTTCCATTGTCCAGAACAATGCCGTCAATTTGGGACTGGTACCAATCAACGTAGGTTTGGTTTGAGGTGAGGTTGATCGCGGCTTGGTAGCCGTAGTAGAGGACAGAAGTTTGGTAGCTGAAGTCCTTGTCGACACCCCGCTGAACGAAAGAGTCGGCGGCCCAAGTCAGATACTCTCCCGGTGTCAGTGCTGCGGCGGTGGCGCTGATGGATGCGAGAATTGACAGCTTCATCTTGGCGGGTGGCTGTGTGGGACAGAGACTGAAGTTCAGGCAGTCGCAACAGAAAGATTGTTATACCTTTCAGACAGCTTTAATATCGATCCAGGTAATCTCTCTCGATGAAGAATTGACCCACCGTCCATATTGACGTTGCGAAGATTGGCGGAAATTCCATTGGCCTTTAGCAGATCGTCCGAAGCGGAAGAAGTGAACACGTTCGTGCCAAGAGGTGTATAGCTGTTGACTTGTACTCTAGCAAAGTCGCTTCGCCTTAGCGATGCTTGGCAGCATGCTCGATGTCGCAGTGTCTTGCTGTACAGATCCTTGCACATAGACCACATATTTGTCTCCTATAAGAATGTATGTTCGGCCAACGGAGATTCCAGCAGGCTTGACATTCTGCTGGACCGTCTTGAGAGCTCTACGTTATGTCAGGCTATTTGACAACGACGCTCAGTGTTGTGTTCGAGAATAGTACTGTGCAAGGGATGATGCAGTGGTGTGAGCCTCTCACATTTCATCCTCAGGCAGCAATCTGCTCCAACTCGGCACTTCCCGATTCCTTCTTTCTTCCCTTTCTTCTTCCATCCGCCATCAACATCAACTCTCAAGGCTTCGTCATTTCATCACTAAACAAGCAGAATTTCATCTGCGTTCACGCACTTCTATGGTTGAACCTTTGCGTCCTTCATTCCGCCCCAGGAAAGCCGGGACTTCTGAAGGATTCGCTGACTGCACAAGGCATCTCTTGCCGGCGGCTGAGAAGGCATGCATGTCAGTCTTGTGCAGTGATACCATACATCCGATGCACAGCATACGCATGCTCTATCAAAGGGCGACCCAATCGAACCCATGGAGCAAAGCCGAAGTTGTTTACCCTGCGCAAGGCTAGCTGTCGAAGGAGGCGCAGCGCGAAGGGCGAACCTCCTCGTAAGCTACTCTTTGCCTGAACCTCGCGTCAGAAGTCTGGTTGTGGTCTAGCGAAGCTGTGACTTCGGGGCGTAGCCCACAATTCGGCGTCATGTTGTCAGAGGGCGGCCTCATATCTGGTATGCAAGGCAGTCACATTTCAGCCTAGTGATACTCCACTAACTTTGAACCTTGTGCAGCGCTGAGGCCGCATGGCTGGATATAGCTGCATACTCGGCGACACAATTCGGCGTCATGTTGAGGGCGGCCTCATTTCTACACACCATATTTGGTACGCAAGCCAGCCAAGTGGTACTAAGAACTCCTGCTCCATTGGTCACCAATAGTAAGAGGCCGCCTGAAGGATCAAAACTAACCTCGTACCGCAGCATGTCCACGCCGCAGAGCGTATGGATCACCAGCAAAGGTCGTTCCGCCCACGTGGATCACCATCAAAGGTGCCGAGCTGCGCTTATATCATCAGCAAAGGAGCCGCTCTGCGCACTCTACCATGCGACTATATATGATGGGACGTTTGCCATCTTTCTCCTCTCCCTTTCAGACCCTAGCAAGAAAACGCAATACCTAACGTTCATTCGAGAGCGCCTTGTCCTACTTCTGCATCACGTCAGAATCATTCAGAATGAATGCTGATCGACCGACGACGAGCACCTGAATACTCTCGACCTCTGTTCACGACCGGTGGAAGGCCGTCTTCGACTCCGGCGCAGTGTCTCCAACCGTCTTGGGACCATCTTTGGAGGCTCTCATTCAAGAGCCCGCCCTTGCACATGAGGGTGGCATGTTCGCGGCCCTAACATTGCTTTGAAGGGAGGATGAAGCGTGCATACGCATGCAGTTCTCAACCTACTGCCTCGGAACTCGGCCTGTTGCCTTCGACAGATTCTGGCTGTACCACGACCTTTGCCGCAGCTTCCGTCTGCAAGTCGCGAAAACCTCGCGCTCATAGCGCAGGCGGCCTCTTGCCAAGTCCAGTGCGACCCTCATCAGCACGGGAGAGCTCTCCCCTTTCACGTGACGAGACTGGCTTGGCGTGGTTGCCTTCTTGATACCTGAGGTATGAGGCCTCACGTGCGGCCTCAAGCACAGCCCGCCTCTCAACAGTGGCCGCGCATGGAAACTCAACGTGATTCGTCGGTTTCCTCTCAACCCATTGCCTTGCAACCTCGATGTGAACAAGAGCGAACAGTGTGGGACACAGGGCGCTGTATTTCCAGCTTGGACCGTGCGTACAAGCCCGGCTTAAAAGCATTCCTCCTTCACTCTGTAACATCACTTCACATCAGAATTTCAAGCATTCCAATTGCACTATACCAGATGTCTCTGCCACCAAATTCTCCTTCCTTCTATGACCCTTCTGTCGGCTCAGACACTCCGTCTAGTAGCCAAGGAACAGCCGACATGAGTGTGTCTACTTTTCCAAGGTACGTTCTGGGACGGCTCATGCTGTGCTGGGCGCAAGGTCTGTAGATAACAAGTCGGTGTGGTTCTTCAAGCACCTCCTTCGACACCTCAAACACCTCGTATGCCAGCACCCCAGTGCATGCCAACAATCACCATGTCGAAGACCTGAGCTGCTCCCTAGGCTTCGATACTGCTGCAGGCTGCTTCGACAACTTCAACGATTCGGGCAACCTCGACGCTTTCACAGGCTTTGGTACATCAGAAAACGAATATATTCCCGCCGACGTACAAGGTGAGCGAGAACCGCATGCCGAGAGAATCACGCGGTTCCAGTCTCGCATGCTAAGCCCATGTAGCTCCCGAAGGCTTAGGATGGCTTTACGAAGATTTCCCGCTGTATCCTTTCAGTGACACCCATGATCAACAGACAGCGAATAGCGATTTTCACCCTGATCTGCACGATTCCATGATATTTGAGGAGATAGTCGTTCCAGTCTCAGAGGCCGCCCTCGCAGCTGGCGGACTGCTGCCTGGTAGCTACACCGCTCCCGATCACAGCTCTTCGGGGCGACCTCAGAAGGCCAAACAAGGAAGCCGTCCAGCGAGACCGTCTATTTCCAAAGCTCGCGTAGCAAAGCCCCCAAAGGACGCGAAGCGATACTTTTGCAAGAAACCAGGCTGCACCATTTCGTTCACGCGGCTTTCCGATCTTGCACGCCATCACAAAGACGTACATGAGCTCAGCAAGGAATCGTTTGAATGTCTGGAGCATTCATGTCCACGCCGTACAAGACGCAAGGACAAAATGATGGAGCATTGTCGAACGGTGCATGGGCATGTGAAGCGGGAGGAGAGATTCCAGACTGTCCATAGAGTTTGCCCTGATATGCCCGGAGAGGCAGGTATTTCGAGGCAATGACAATCCGTATCAGCCGGATCTGTAAAGTACTTCGTGTGCAGAATCACAAATGTCCGTTGTGAAGGAAAGATACGAGCTGGGCGAGCAACCTGAAGTGACATCGATCTCTAGCGGCGGCTGTTGCCGGAGGGCGGCGGCTCTCAACCTTTCAACGTCTTCGACTTCACCTCCTCCTTCAACACGACGCGTCTTACCATCGACCATCCACTTACTGCCTTTGGTCGCCCTCATCAAGGATATAAACCTGCATCTCCTGAATACAATTTAATCGCGCACGAACACGTCACGAAGAAGAGGGCCGCTTATTACATGGTGGCCGCCCTTTCTTCACCGGTCTCCATGCACAAGGCCATCTCATCCCGTTCGTTTGCGACGGCTGAAATCGCCTCAGCCTATGGACCGGTGAGACCTGAGCAAATCAAGAGACTGAGATTTCTTGAGCTTGCAACACTACTGCGCTTGTTTCGGTCGCAGGCTGCGAGCTGAAAAAGTTCAGCTGGAAGAGAGAGGAGAGTATAAAAGCAGACGACAACAACGCTTCGCGTAGAGCCTCATTGCTAATGAACAACTCCTCACTCTGTCGTTGTTCTCTCCTGGTGCACGCATAGACGACCATTATGAAAGACGCGGCTGGAAGGGCGCATCTGGTACCGGCAGGCGCATGCCATCACGCACACGCGCCCAAGAGAACCTTTTGCCGTTTTGAGATGCTCTTCGCGTTTGTGCACCCTAGGGCTCGACGACGGAAAGCTCTGTGGCGAAGCTGCAAGTCACCAGAGGCCAGCGACAGATCCGACTCACAACCGCCGGCCTTCAAAAGTACCAGAAGTACATCAACCACGAGACGGTTGCCCTGCGCATGGGAACCCACCATTCTCGGAGGCCGCCATGGTGCATGACCTTGCCCTACGATTTTGCGGCTTTGCTGGCCATTCTCGTGGCTTGCCGTTCGCCACTGCTATCCTCAGGAATCCAAAAGGTGGCGAGGTCTGGACAACCCCATGTGCCTTTCGTTGCTGATGCGGCATGCGAACCCAACCAGATAGTAGTTATTGCCTGCTGCCAGGGCACACTTCCATCTCATTGGCTGCCCCCTGATCCAAGGAAGAAATCATTGTGGTCCTACCCGACTGCCGTTGCTCGCCCTTGAATGCATCCCTCAAGGATGATGATGCTGCGCCTGTGCTCTACCAGCTCAGTAAATTCGTTGGACGAAGGCGTTGCTGAATGCCGCGCTGGTTTCGCCGCAAACCCGCTGCAGCCAACCTTTCGAGTCCTGTTGCGAGCGTGGCAACGCAATCTGGTAGGTTGCCCTCTTGAGGGCGTGAAGCCGAAAGGCTATACAACGGAGGTCTGTATGGCTCTCGCAACCCCGACCAACTTATTACTCTCGCAGCTTCAGATATTACAGTGGCTTTGGCCATGACACACCGACCAAGGTACACGCCCCAGTTCCAAGACCATACCTCGTCGCAAAGTACGTCGAAACTCAACGAACCTGACCCATTCATCTGGAGTCCTGCCGCTCCTGGCAACTCTCCCTTCTCGTCGGACATCACTTCAAGCCTCTCGCACGAGATCGATCTCAGCTTGCAATATCAAGATGACAACGACTCGCTCAACACCGCAAGCGCTCCCTCGTCTTATCATCAAGTCGGCTCCCAGTTCGACGGCCCCAGCGATGTCGAATTCGAATGGCCGGGTTGGAATATCACACACGACCACTCTCAAACGGCTAGGTCGGGAATCACGGGATCCGCAACCCAGAGTAGGTTGACCAGTGCTTCCACACGCATGTGTGCTCATATAGAACAGGAACCGCCCGGCGCTTAGATTATTGTTCAAGCCTTGAGCAGCCAGTCGACAGTCCGCCCTATTCCGACCGCTTGATCGGCTCAGTCGGGCCTGCCAATAGTCACACGCACTTTCGACATGACCAGAGACTTTCACCGATAAATTCACAAGCACACATAGCGTCAGCTTCCACCGTTTCATCTCAGACGCATCACGCTCCGGCCAAAGTCCAAATTGAAAGGCTGTCCAGCACATCTTCGAGCAGGTCAGAGGCATCGGAACTTTATCGTTGCGACCGATGTGGCACGGGATGCAAGCGAGTTGGGGATCTCAAGCGACATGTAGACACCATTCATGGCGTTGCTAAGAAGTATTGGCGATGCAAGTTTCCTGGTTGTATTGCGGTTAACATCAGGGAGGACAAGATGAAGGAACATTGTCGGAAGAGACACAAACAGCTGCGAGGCCAAGAAGATTACCGCGGAGTGCTGCGATAGAGCGACCGCATCGGCAAAGTGAATCTAGATGCACCTCCCTCCGCATGTTATCGGCGATGCTGTCGCGCTGCTTCGGCTTCGCAAGAGCTCCAGTCGACTGATCGACCTCACCCTAATTAGCCGGGGATCGACGCCGAGGCCACGAATATCCTCCAAGATTCAGCTAAAGTTGCGGCATTGTCGGACTTCTTCTATCGAACAAATCTGTTTCTCATATGTTGGATTGGCGTCTGGACATAGAGTAAAGGGTCTAGATCGGCGAGTAGAAAAGGGAGACAAGCAGAGCAAGCCCTCGCTCCAAAGCAATACCTACAGGATGAAATGTAAAAGTGGGAAAGCAAAGTCTTCTTCGTACAGAGCACACGAACAGATGTCATGCAAACAACGGACGTCGGCTCAAAGCGCCGTCTACCTCGCCTCGTCCGCGACAGCTGATCCCAGTCCACAGGCACGAGCGGCTGGCACAGCACCACAGCACAGCCAATGAAACCCCTCCTCGCCACACTCAAAATATATTCATCATATCAAGTGACTTGTCGTGTGTCCACAACATCATACATTCTCCCCCAAACGGTTTGTGCACTTCAAGCTTCACGTACACCCCTTAGTTCCCTCCCGAAACAAACAAATCAGATGCTACATGCATGTTACTATATGACTTTTTCTGGAAATTGCATGCACATGCCCTAGCGGCGCTCCCCATCCTTGTAGGAGGAACAACTATATACGAAACCCTAGCAGTAACATGAGCTAATAGTTTCTCCGTTGTATTCGACAGTGGAGAATCTCTCTCTCTGTCTTTCTGTCTTCATCTTGTACTGCCTTACGATTATCAACTACATTAAAGATCGTGTAGAGGCAAAGCTACCTTAGGGCATCGAATCGTTCATTTGCAGTTTTGGGTAGTAAGGCAGTTAGAGTTTGTGCCATGCTTTCGGGGTCCAAGCGTGGCGTAGCTGCTTGGATTGCCGTCTTCGGTAAGGTAGGCTCGATGAGGCGCGGTCCCTCCGGAGCGGCCTACAATCTCTGCATCGTACACATATCACTTTGGAAGGCATGAGATTCACGCCGGCTTGCTGAGTTCAGCGTGGGATCGTTGTGTGAAGATGGAAGATAACATCACCTTTGGTGATGAGATCGGACTGCATTCCCCCGAGACGAGGCTTGAGTTCAGGTTGAAGAGCTCGGTGATCATGGACTGATGGAGTTGAGAGGGTTCGCCTTGCAGAGCGAGGCCTCTTCCCTCCTTCCTAGCTAGGCACGCATTTCAGCTGCACATCCCTCCCGACGTGAATCGATCCTCCATGCGTTGGGCGCGGAAAAGAAGGTAGTGGCTTGTGTCACTGTATGCTTTTCCGATGCCGAATCGGAAAAGCCGTGCGCGCAGGGGAAGATGATATGTCGCTGCGTGGTACGGTCCCGTCCCCGTCGCCACCACACCCATGCAGTCGGCCTGTCAGCGATTTGTGTACATTCCAGATTCGATCTCCTCAGTTGCTGCAGAATGACGGAAGCTAGTGGGTGTCTCCGCGACCGCGAAAACTCCTTCCAAGGCTGGCTGAGAGGCGGGACAAGGGGGAGCTGAACATTTATGGGAGTGGCAATGATGATCTGGAGCGCATTCGCGCCCATCGCGTTACATCTTCGCTTTGGCAGCTTCTCGCATGACCTCTCTGGTCAATATTTCCCCTTCTTTCTTCTTCTCGCCGAGTCGTCCGATGCTTAAAAGCCGAGCAATCATGTCCTCATCTCCAAAGTGGCTATTGTGCTCGTATTCGGGCTCCCGACTGTATGCTACCCTCGCCGCATCGACTAGTATTCGAGCTGTCATTCCAAAGACTCTATATCTAGGCTGCTCCAGTGCATTGTTTGAATTGGTATAGAACTTCCTTGGAAGCGGTGGCTGCAAGGACGACTTATTCGAACCTGAAGCGGGGCTTTTGGAGCCTGTCGTGGTCGGTCTCTTCTGATCCGGTGGTCGTGGATCGGTGTAGGACTTCGGCTTTCTTGCGAGATATACGGTGGACGGAGTGACGGGTACGAAGAATTGATGCATTCGCCATGCGGTCTCATGCCAAGAGTGCCAACTACCCTCATACCACTGGCCGGGCACCTTCTCACGGATTTCCGGGTCTACATCTTTCACAAAGAGGAAGTTCTGGAAAGGCGCTGTGAAGACGGCGGCGACTTCTCGCGCATCCAACTTAGGTAGGATGTCCCTCGCGACATCCGGATTCTGATTGTGCGAGGAAGGAGACGGTGTCTTCAAGTAAGCGACGCATGGCCTCACACCAAGCTCTGTCATGGCTAGGTTCGAGGGTAGCTCTGTGAGGTGTTCTACTGTATAGCCATGTGGGAGCTTGTGATCGCTCATGGGCAATCCGATCTCTTCAAAGGCTTCTCTCCTTGCAACCGCGAATGGTGTCTCCGCGAGAGCATCGGACTTCCCGCCTGGAAGAGCTGCTTGGCCGGCATCTTATGAATATCAGCATCGACCCGTATACTGAGCCCCGAAGGTCCTCACAGTTTCTCAACCCTGTACTCCTTATCGTCAAGACCACTCTGAGATCACCTCTTCTATCTGCAAACAGCAGTATGAGCACAGCGGCTCGCCGTGTAAGCGGACATCGATACCAGTTGGTGGGTTGGGAGGTGAAGGAACGGAGGTTTGCTAGCGCCCTCTACGGCCTAATCAGTAGCTGCACATTGTGAGTCGCTTTCGATAGTACTGACCGTCGACGCGGGTGTAAGAGCGGCCATGTTGTCGCCATGGTCACTCAAACACTGTCAAGATTGTCGAAGTCGTAGGTGGACGTCAACCACCTGCAGTAAAGGGACCTCGGTTGCAGATCCGGAAAGCGGATCCGAGATCAGATTAGATGTAACCCAAGCGAGTCGCAGATGGAGGAGTGAGATAATCTTCCTGCATTCGCTCTACAGAGAGCACCACTTGCAGCGCAAGCATGCTTATGACTGTTGTCCGTTGGAAACATCTTTGTAACATCAGAACAGTAATAGCATCGAACTCCTTCCCGCTCGCTTGCATGAATCTGCCATGCAGACCGTCCAACCCTTTTCCAAACGCGAGACCATAGGTGATGTGGAGCACTCAAACATTTGGATCGTGATATAGGAAGTTGATGTCTCTCGGCCGTTGGCGATTGGATTTGACGAATTCCGCATCTCCAGGCGGCCCTAGATCAACTGTTAGAGTGAGCACTAAGTCCTGTCTGGAGCCCTCTACTCACTCTCGTTCTTGGTGTTACTTGCGAGCATGCTCTGGAGACTGATGCATATGCTCTCAACATTGTGAACGGGACTCCACCCCTGATTGTCCAAGAGGTCCAGACATATGATACCGTTGCTGTAGACGTGGGGATGCACAGGTATCCGCCGCGGAGGAGACGCTTGTTGAATGAAGACGACTTCGGGAGCTTCAATCGGGTACGATTGTGAGAAGGTGAGCCGTAACCGATAGTCCTCCTCCGGGCTGTATAATGGATTGTCGAGCACACGTATGTCCATCTCCCATTGCTTCAGGTCTGGAGCTGAAACCAGTGAAATGCCAGGCGGCAGTGCGCCTTGAATCTTCGTCAGCTCTTTGCCCAGCCTCTTGCTGGCCATTGCCGCCATCTTGCAATCCTCCCCGTCTCTTCCTGTATCTTTCTGGAGTGTGTGATCTGTAGGTCTGGAGGAGCAAGTTGTTCGAGGGAGACGGTGTTGTCAATGAAAGGCGGCTGATTGTGTGAGTGACCGCGAGCAATCTGGATACGTGGCTGGGAGAGAGGAGGACTGAAGCTGGTTGTCGTGGAAGCGATTGTGAATAAAACGAATGTCCATGCAGAGGGCTGGACCTTCACATGCGAGCAGCCCAATATGTGTTTCCAAAGTAGACTAGCTTGAGTGGGGCTGGCACGCGCAGACCGTAGGTGTATCTTTTCCTGGACGACAACAATGAAGGCGTCTAAATTCAGCTTGTCGGATTACGACCAAGGCGCTAGACCGCGTGACTACCGTGACGATGTCAACGCCGGGTAGACACGTCGTAAAAGCGGGCAGAACAAGAAGAGTATATTTCGACCCCTGTCGTAGCTGCGGACCCTTTCTTTCTCTCCGTTTGGAGAGATCGACGGTGAGCACAGCCCCACTACTACTACGCGTGCTCATACAGCTCTCTGCCTTTCTCACGCTACACAAAGCAGGGCACTCAGCTCGACAGCTCTCCGGCTTCTCACATATACCTGATCCCACGCGACCAACCACACTCGCTACTTTTCGCCAACACATCCTACCGCTTACCGCCTACACGTCGTTTCAGGGCCATTGAGCAGCCGCCAGCGTCCCAGCAGCGAAAGAGTGAACCAAGAGCTGAGATCGATCGCATCGCGCGGGAAGGAACAGCAGAAAGGGCGGCCTCAAGCCTGCCTCATGAGCATACTACAACATGGCCTGTGAGTCTTTCCCAGCGCCAGTTTCGTTCCCATACCTCTACGACCCAACCCATCAAATTACAGTCAACACCAATTTCTCCGCTCAGCTGTACCTGAACCTGTTTTGCGACCCTACACCCTACATTCTTGTTTCAAGCACGAGCACAGCGTTTCATCTGCCTATTTGACACCATAGCTTGCGCGCTCGCCATCTACCAAAATGGTCCCCCACGGACGCTCTCCCTCACCTAATCCATCCTGTAGACGACAACCTCTTCACTCATGGGCACCTCCAAGAAGACATGGCTGACCGCTCCTGCAGTTCAAGGAATGCTGAACAAGCTACACGGCCAGCCCGAGAGCTATGACAAAAAGACCAAGTATCGCATGGGCAGGACACTGGGTGCCGGCACCTATGGTATCGTCAAGGAAGCCGATGGGCCATCGGGAAAAGTCGCAGTCAAGATTATCCTCAAGAAAAACGTCAAGGGCAATGACCAAATGGTGTACGACGAGCTGGAGATGCTGCAGACACTACGACATCCCAACATAGTGCGATTCGTCGACTGGTTCGAGTCTCGCGACAAGTACTATATCATCACAGAGCTTGCACAAGGTGGAGAGCTTTTCGACCGCATTTGCGACAAGGGCAAATTCACCGAGAAGGACGCCTCTGCAACGATAAGACAAGTGCTGGGTGCAGTCCACTACTTGCACTCAAAAGATGTCGTCCATCGCGACCTAAAACCGGAGAACTTGCTCTACATGACCCGCGCCCAGGATTCAGACCTTGTCCTTGCGGATTTCGGAATTGCGAAGCATCTTGACAGTCCAGAAGGTGTGCTCAAGACAATGGCAGGCTCATTCGGCTACGCCGCTCCAGAAGTCATGATGAAGAAAGGGCATAGTAAGCCGGTCGACATGTGGTCTCTCGGAGTCATCACTTATACACTACTCTGCGGTTACTCTCCTTTCCGTTCGGAATCACTCCAGGACCTCATTGACGAGACGAAGAATGGACGCGTCGTGTTCCACGAGCGCTACTGGAAGGATGTTTCGAAAGAGGCGAAGAACTTCATCCTATCATTGCTGAAGCCCGACCCGCATGCACGAGCATCAAGTCAGCAGGCTCTGGATGACCCATGGATTGCTGGCAAGGGTGCTACCGACCACAACTTGTTGCCCGAAATCAAGGCCTACATGGCAAAGGCGCGCCTGAAGAGAGGAGTGGAGCTTGTCAAACTTGCCAACCGCATCGAAGCTCTCAAGATGCAAGAAGACGAGGAAGACGACGTGCCACAAGAAGCAGATGTCCCGGCTGACGCTAAGGCCGCTGCTGAGCAGGCTGTTGGTGGTAGCAAATCCGCAGGCAGCTCGGAGAGGAAACGAGCTTGGTCCAGAGCGGCGAAGAGTGCGATTTTCAGAGAAGTAAGTCAGCGGTCATACTCTCCACGGAAGCACCACTGACGTTGCATTGCAGGTTGTCCTTGCCAAGGTGCGCGAGATGAAGGCCGAGGAGGAGAAGCAAAGAACCATTTCCGCCGCAACGTCGTCCACAGATAAGTCCCGATGAGCCATGGGCAAGCTGAGTCCGGGTTGCACTGTTTCTTCGGGGGAAGCTCTTGGCGGGGTTGCATACGACGGACCGGAACGGAGCAAGATGAATCCAGATACCAGAGGTGGAGCGAAATGGCTGTAGTCGTCCTTACATGCTCAAATACCACCTCGCAGATCCAGGGAAACTGTTTAATCGATAGCTTCCAGAAACTGCCCATACGATCTCTCCGTCGTTGAAGAAATGTCCAGTTCCAAACGTAAATATCATACAAACGTTATTGAAGCTGCATATCCCCCTCGCTCGCTGTTCCCGTATGTTCCAAGCTTTCCCTTTTTACTTTTGCTTATTGACAAAAGCCATGCCAAACTGCAGCAATCCCACAGTCGCCAGAACACTGAGACCCGTCGGGAGGGGCTTGAAGCTTGTCTTTATGGCTCGTGGGTAGGAAGAGCCGGCCAGGACGACGGAAGCCACGAGGGCGAGTTCGAGGCCGTAGGTTTGCTTCTGCTGTAGACGGTAGCCGCCTAGGAGGTAGAGGATTCCGACGGAGCAGCCTGCTGCGAGGGAGGGGATGGAGCCGGCGCGGATGTAGCCTGTGATTCCGCCGGTTGCGGTTAGGGCGCCGAGGAGGAGGGCGGTGGTGCTGTGGTGTAGTGCGTTAGGAGGTGGTGGAGGAGGAGGAGGGGAGGAGGAGGGGCATTGGGATACCTGAGAGACTGTGTGTGTGAACTGGTTAGTTGATGGTATACATATATTGGAGGGAGGGAGGGAGGGAGAGAGGTAAGACGTACCATTGGTAAGAATGGTTTTGGCTGAGTCTGGGGAAGAATTGGTTTGTTTGACATTGGATTGGAATCAAAGCTGTTGGGAAGTCGCGCTGCGCTGGGGTATATATCGGTATCGGATCGGTAGTATCGTCTCTAGTCGAAGTCTTTAGAAATGATGTTCGACAAGGATCGCTGGAGTCCGGTCGGCTGGTTGGAAGCTCCCCTTGGGAGCCTCGGTTCGGCGCGCGCCGCCAGACCCGATACTTATTCACACGTGATCTCAAGCTAGCTAGCTCCACGTCTCTCCAGAGATGAAGTGAACACCTCAGCTTCAAGGTTCCCAACTCGTTTGCTTGGCATATCCCGAGCCAACAACAACCACAACAACCCACCCACCACCACTACGAACACCAACAAACCCAACGATCGAAACAACGAACAATGGCACCCAGAAAAAACGCCGCTGCAGCAGCAGCAGCACCACCACCCTACAGCACCCCCCAATCCAACATCCAACCCTCCAAAGTCTCCTCGAAATCCACCACGACACCGCAAACCTCCACCCCGCGAAACGCCCAAGACGCCCAGCAGATCCTCCTGGGAATCTACCGAAACTACACCAACCATACCGCGCAACGCGTCAAACTGCTCGATGCGTTTATGGCTTTCTTGGTAGTCGTGGGGGTGCTGCAGTTCGTGTACTGCGTGTTGGCGGGGAATTATGTACGTTTTGAAAACCCACCCACACACACCCCTCATGAATCATCTCGAGAGAAAGAAAGAGAGAAAGAAAAAAGAGAGAAGAGGAGAGGAAGAAGGAAAACAAACTTTACTGACGCATTTTCTTTCCAGCCTTTCAACGCTTTCCTCGCCGGTTTCTCGGCCACCGTAGGCCAATTCGTCCTCACGGCTAGCCTGCGCATCCAGACGAACCCGGAAAACAAGGCGGATTTCGAGAGGATATCACACGAGAGGTACGTATATCGTCTACAACGTACACTCCAGGTCAGAGGAATGAGCACACAGAAGGGCTGACGTGTCTTCTTCATGACACAGGGCATTCGCCGATTTCGTCTTCGGCAGCATGATTCTACATTTCTTCTGCGTCAACTTCATCAACTAGTGCTCGAATTCGATGATCATCAGATATCAAAAGAGGCGTTCAGTAGGCTGTATATTTGCGGGAGCATGAGTCACAGCGGGAGCCGAGAGCATAACACCGAAAAGCACTGTATAACAGTCTCAAAACCCATTGAGCCATTTGGCAAGAGCAGAGATGCGTGAATCGAAAAGCTTCTTGTTCATGCACGGTTGATCTATACATTTCTGTCTCGTATCTCTAGACGTCCACTTCGTCTCGTCGGGTGCTGCATTGGCAAGATGGAGAGTGCTCTCACCTTCAGTAAACGCATCGAGAGGTGGTTCACGGCTTGGGACGCGTAGAGTCTCGCTCGCCATGTTCTGTCAAACCTCCTCTTTCTGCAGGTACGATTCCACTGCAGGCATCTTAGGCGGAAGCTCCAGAGATGTAGAACCACTTGTCGATGCTTGGGTCGATCGGGGCTGGGGTCTTCTCCTCGTTTGGTGAGATGCTGAGCTTGCCGGGGTCGACGCGGTCTGCGCTGTGTGGAACCGTCACGTTGGTGCTGCAAGTTGATTAGCCATGTACTACCAGAAAACTTCCAAAGATACCCACAGGTTGATATCGCCCTTTGGAGTCTTGCCGGTGATGAGCTTCTCCCAAGCCTCGGCGCACTCGCGGACAATGTCCATGGCGTACTTGCGGTTCTTGCACTCGCCGGAGAAAGCGAACTGGTTCTCTGGCTTGCCATCTGGGATCTTGTAGATGCGGAACCACTCGTTGGTGGCGCGGAGAAGGCCTGGGAGATGACGCTCGACGTCCTCAATGTCGTTCAGGCGAGGAGCGAGAGGGTCGTTGACATCGATCACGATGATCTTCCAGTCGGTCTCGCCCTCGTCAAGGAGTGCCATGACACCAAGGACCTTGACTTGCTTGACCTCGCCTGGCTTGGCGACGAGCTCACCAATCTCGCAAACGTCGAGTGGGTCGTTGTCACCCTTCTGCTTGGTCTCTGGGTGGCTGACGTTGGGGTCCTCCCATGTCTGGGGGAAGGCGCCGTAGTTCCAGAGGTAGCCCTTGTGGGGGAAGCAGTTGCGGACGAATCGAAGCTTGCCCTTCTTGGTGTCCTGCTTGATGGGGTTGAGCTCCTCATCCTTGGAGATCTGCCGGTTCGCGATCGTCAATCAATGGCTCATGCAATGGCACACGGTGCACGAGAGGATTGGGCGGTGAAGACATTGGCTGCTGCTGTACGCACCTCCTGCTTTGCATTGGTCCAGCGAGGAATCTCGACGACCATGTTCAAGACGGTCTGCTGCTCGTTGGCGTAGAGCGGAATGTCGTGCCATGGCGAGACTGGGACGCCATCCTTCTCGATGTAGATGCGGTGCTCGAGCGTATGAGGGGCTCCGTTCTTTCGGGGGGTGTAGACGGAGGCGGCCTTGGGGTCGAAGCCGCCGCGGGTGGGCAAAGCAGTCTGCGCCATGGTGCTTGCGGGCTCGCGTGTAGCTGCTGCGGCGGTGGTGTATGAATTGGTGGGTTGGTTTGCAGAAGGAGCGAGGTGGTGGGAGAGCTGTTTTGAACGAGACTGTGCAATTTTGTTGACGTTTCTAGTGGGGCAGGAGGCACCCTTGTCAGGGTCCGTCCGGGCTGCACCTGCCGCCATCGAGAAGTGCTGCAGCGTGGAAGCAGTCACGGTCTGCGTCGTCGGCCTCGTGCTGCTGCTGCTGCTGTTGCCGCCGCTGCCACTGCCACAAGCGACAATGCCTCGCCTCAGCACCTTGGACACCGAGAGAGCGGTGTGCGGGCGTAGCCGGAACATATGCAGCTCGAGAAGATGATCCTACAGTGACTGACAGACGGACGATGACAGACCTCGGAAGACACGCGCAGTCGAAGTTCCGCATCCGCAGCAAGCCGTTGATAACTCGGCTCATTCTCGGCCATCTCCACGACACACTTCACCTCAACATCAACATGAAACGATGCATAGATAATGGGAGTTGTGATGTGGACCGTGGGAGCACGCTTGGACGAGGCCACCGATATCGACTGACGGACCTGATCCCGCACCAAAGAGACGAATTTGTAGGTTTTAACGGGACCGCGTTTCCTCGTTGTTTCTTTCTCGACTACCTCTGTAGCAAGGAGCTATCTATACCGCAATCACAAGCACTTCAGTACAACACGTTGGGCCTCCAAAAGTTGGGCATATCAACCGCAGCCCTACTTCCATTCCTCACGCCTCTATCGCTGCCAGGTCGCTCATCAATCGATTCGGCGCGGACCGAGGGAAATTCTGCCATATAGCCCTCGACTTGCTCGCGTCCATGATACGAGAAATCATCGCCGCGTTGATTTAGGTCTGTGGCATCGTACTCGCCAGGACCTGAGACGCTGTCGAGTAGCTCACTCGAACGGAGTGGCAAGCCTTGCTCGTGATCAGAGGCAAGTTGCCGCACAAGTTCCTCCGCTTGCCGCCCGTTCGCGTACGTGAAATGTCTCTGAGCCGGGTAGGATGATGCTCGTCGCGTCTCTGCCAAGTTTTCATTCTCTCCGGGACGCTGCCAGGTACTTTGCGCAACTGGCTGGCGAGAGCGCCAAGTGTCGTTACTAATGAATAGGATCTGGCGGAGCGACCTACTGCCTTGATGCCGCAGAACTTCTCTGGAGCGGCTGGGCCCTCTTTCGGGCAAAGTGGAACCACGTGGCTCTTGAGTTTGTCCCTTTCCGGGTCCAATGCCAGGCACCACATGATCAGAAGGGCCAAAATAGTGCCCAGTGGTCGCAGGCGTCTTGCTGGAATGATGACCGGTTTGCACCATTCGTCCATCAGATACAATGTCCGGGTGCGTAACCGCCCCAAAGGCATGCCGCAATAGTTTGCTTGTTGGAGTCGATGTGGACGAGTCGACGTTCTCTTTGCCATCGTTGACTTCTGATCTTTGGGGCAGTGTCGCAAGGGAGGGCGAGCGTTCCACTGCGCGATACCTGTTCCGAATCCTTAATATGTCAGATGTGTGATTGCTCGGAGGCTCGCGCTGACTGCTGCGGGCCACAGACTGGGCATCCTCCGGGACAGCAGTTTTCGGCAGCCGGGGGGAGTATCCGGTCTCGTCCAAGAGCTCTTCCTCACCAACTCCAGGCCGAACAGCAGTGACAGGCTGGTATACTTCCACAAGGCTCGGTCCCTTCGCTCGCTTGGTCTGCAACCAACGACCTGCAGCCGGAGTCTGACCATGTGCCTCTTCATTCTCGACTTTACTGCCCCGACGTCTGTGCTTTTGTTGACGGGATGATGGCGCACCGGGAAATCCGTCAGATCTCGTGCGTTTTGGTGCAGTAGGGCGTTGCGACGGCTTTCGTTGCTGTTGCCCAAGCTGATCCGGTGCTACTGACTCTGACCATGTGAAGTAGCTGTTGCTTGTTGCTTGCGCACCGCCGCTCTTCTCTGGTGCTGGCCCTCGACTACCAAACCCTAGAAATGCCTTTTCGGTGAGCTCCACCGCAGCTTTCGGTGCTTCTTGTGATTGACCTCGTACTCGGTGAGAACCATGGTCAGGGGAATTGCTCTTTCTGTTGTGTGGCTCCGCCTGAGTCGGCGGTCGGCTTTGCCGTGAGGCGATAGCTGGTTGTCCCGATGTTGGTTTCTTCACAAAGTAAGTGGACACTTCTTCTTCCTGCAGCTGCTTGCGACTCTTCTTGGTCTGTTGTCGAGCAGAGTCATCCACCGGTAGCTCATCTTGGTGCTCCTTTGGTCTCTGAAGGAACTTCATTTCGTTGAAAACCAAATCAGGTACTACTTCCTCGTCAGTCAACTCACCGTGCGCACGCAAGAGTACCTCTTGGACTTACATCCAGGGCCATTTGGTACCATTGGCGCTGAGGCTCGGCCATGCCTGAAGATTCCGGCGCTCACATCTGGTCGAAGCTGCAAGCTTAGCCAGGCGTGAGATTTAGACAGGAAGAATATGAGCTTACAGTCAAACGATTGTTCCTAGGCCCATTCTTGAGCTGAAAGCCTTGGACCAGACCGCTGGTACGCGCTCCATCTGCGCTTCGATGCGATTTGCGCCTCTTCGACTTGGACTTCTTCTCATCTCTAGACCCATGCTCTTTTCTCTGCTTCCTCGGTTTCGGATCATAGCGGTCTGGTTTGGTCTTGTGTCGCGCACGCCTCTCAAAGGGTTTGACAGGTTCTCTCTCCTGTGGACGAGCTTGACCGCGTCCGCTACGCGAGCTCTGCGAGGTCTGCGAACTGGTGGATAGCGTCCGGACATGGCGCTGCTGTTTCGGGCTCGAAGAACGAGCTGCCACTTGCCTGTGCCTTCTCGGTGCGTGTCGCCCGCGCGACTCTGGTTCGCTCGGAGCTCGCTTCCTCTCGTGGTGATGTCGTGGCGCTGGCTGCTGCTCCGGATGTGTGTCACGATGTGGTTGGAAGAAGTCTAGTAAGACGTGGTCGTCGGGCTGATCAGGCGGCTCCCTGTCGGCCGTGTTCTGGAGCCACGCCCGAATGTCCATGGACAGGTGAGCGCGTACATGCAGCTGAGACGGGGATGCCTTGGTGAATGGAAGATTTGGAGCGTGAGGTACGATGTCGCCGAGGAAGGAGCTTTGCGGCCTCCGAGGCTAGACGCTTCACCGACACTCAGAACCAGACATTGGTGTCGCACAGCGGTATGAGGATGTCCCATCAAGATGCACGTCGTCAGTCTGTCGCGTGGTGGAGCTAAGTTGACAGCTGGAGGTCGAAAGGTGGCACGATAGGAAGGCACGCCCCAGTGATGGACCTTGGCATGATCGGGGCGTGTTTCTGCCCTCCGTCGTAGGATGGACCACAATTCACCTACCAATTGCTGCGCGCATACACAGATGCTCGTTATTCCTCGTAAGCCTTTCTATCGGCCCATGAACACAAATTCTGCTTGCACCTCCAGATGGAGTTGGTTCTGGGCATCAGGCAGAGCCAGCGAATGTAGCGGAGAGCGAGGAAAAGCGCCATGCGTTGCACAAACGCCCTACATCTACGACTCAACCAAAGAGTGATGATGCTTGCAGCGTGCTGATAATAATATAGCTGGCTCCCGCGGCTCGTCGTCCAAGTGGTGGTACGCCAAACCGGGGATGCTTAGCTGCAGCGGCCGGCGCAGCCCAACACGAGGAGGTCCCTTCAGCAGAGTGCCGGGATGGCCGAGGGCGATCCGGATACTGAGTGTACAAGCGGCATTGGAGGTAGCTACAAGATACCACCGGAGAATACGTATACTTTATTGTCGCTCTGGGATCCCAAGAGGGAGGGCGCCTTAGTCTCGCCAATGGGATGGTGGGTTGACTCGTCTTGGTGACTGGAGGTGCTGGCGGCGAGCTGGCCCGCAAGTGCTGCTGCAGCTGTCTGTCGTGAAGGCGGAATGCATCCATCATATGAAAACGACGGGCGGGAGGTGAGGAGGTGGAGAGTGGGTCTCTATCTTCGGCGGCGCCTGTTTGCCCACAGACTCGTCGTCGCTCGTGATCAGACCTGCAGCTCACCGCGCTGCACTGCACTGCACTGCACTGCACTGCGCTGCCTGTCTTCGGCTGGTCTTGTCTTGCGAAGTTGGTTGTGCTGTGCTGGTCGCTTGCCGCCGGCCCAGCACCAGGGTCCCAACCTTCTGTTCTGGCTTCTCATCCGGCGAGGTGGGAGAGTCCGAAAGCCGAGAAACCGCTGCCTCTTCCATTTCTCCAGCCGTGCAGCCCAACGGCCGCCGCTCGACCACGTTTGAGATCTGTCTCACTTCCTCAGCCGTCTCGTGTCGATCCCAATGCGGATGCTACACTCGGCCTTGCGCGCCGATCGTTTGACTGTACCTCTCTGCATTCCTTTTGCGCGCTGCCCGTCGATTTGTCGCGCACGCGCTGATAAGACGTGCGCTGGTGACGCGCAACAATATACATCTGCTGCTGCATGCGGCTCATCCTTGACCTAGCCAATGCCCTGCCGAACCCGAGCCCAATAAGCTGTGAAGCTGGGGCCCTAGCTGCATATCAGTCTTGCGAGCATGGCCAACCACAGTGTCGACGCCCGCTTGCAGCAAATCGCGGCTGCCTGATGAGATGCAGCGTACCAAACGCCTCGCGACGCCTTCGCAGCGGAGCGTTGCAGCAGGCACGGGAAGCAGGCGTCCGGTCGGTTGGCAGAGGGGCTTGCCTCAGGTTGAGCTGCGCACCGCTCCCACCGTCCTCCACACTCTTCTCAGCTGCCTGCTGCCCCTCCATCCCTCCATCATCCGCTGCGCTGCGCTGCGCTGCGCTGCTGTGCCGTCGAAGCCGTACATTGCTTGTGCTGCGATTGCCTGCTGACAGAGCAGCTTGACGCCCATCTCCCACCTCCCTGATCCCCGTCCGTCGTCGCCTCCCTCCACGCCCGCCTGAGAGCTTGAAACCCGCCGAGCAGCAATTCTCCCTCACCACTTCAAAGCCGCTCACTGCACTCGCACCTCACTTGCGCCTGCCACTCTCAGTTCGGTTCTACCGCACACTCACGTGCAACGCTTGGCACCTGAGCCGCAAAAAAAGCTTCGGCCTAAAACTGCATCATCATCATCTCACTTGCTCACACCCACCCACCCACACACACACACACATCTACCCCACCACTGACTCTTCGACAACCCACCCACACAATTTCCATCGTGCACCAACCGACCGACCAAGCGCGCGCGACCGTCATCCATATCACCTCACTGAGCCTGGGCACATTGATTCGGTCCTTACCTGCCGTGACGATCTGAGATGTCTAAACTATTCATCGGGTACGTCCTGCCACGCTCATCTGCCCGTGGCCCCAGAGCACACTGACATTACGCGACAGCGGCCTAGCATGGCACACCGACGACCAGACCCTGCGCACCAAGTTCGAGGAGTTCGGCCAGGTCGATGAAGCGGTCAGTCCATTCCCATGATGCGCATCGCGTCTCTGTCGATGCGCTCGGCGACTGACACAGGCCAGATTGTCGTCAAGGACCGCGACACAGGCCGTAGTCGCGGCTTCGGCTTCGTTCGATTCCAGGACGACTCGGCTGCCGAAGCGGCCATCCAGGCCATGAACAACGTTGAGTCAGTTTCATCGCTTCATTGGCTCCGGCTTCGTCGCACTGACCGCGTCGCACAGGTTCGACGGACGCACCATCCGCGTCGACAAAGCTTCCGATCGTGGCAGCGGTGGTGGCAGTGGCGGAGGAGGCTTCGGCGGAGGACGTGGTACGCCGACCAATTCTAATCCTGGGAAGGATCCTAGCGACGAGGCTGACCGAATCCCAGGTGGTTACGGAGGTGGCCGCGGCGGCTACGGCGGTGGCGGTGGTGGTGGTGGCTACAGCGGAGGCCAGGGCTACGGCGGTGGTGGTGAGTGAGCAGCCGGGTCTTCGAACTTCCAGGGACTGATGAGTGCAGGTTACGGTGGACAACAAGGCGGCAACAACTGGCGCCAGGGCGGAGGCTATGGTGGCCAGCAAGGCTACGGCGGAGGTCAGTAGCAGCGATGCACCATGGTGACCATTCTTGCTGACATATGATAGGCGGCTACCAACAGCAAGCCAACGGCGGAGGCTATCCACCACAGCAAGGAGGAGGCTGGTAGACGGCGAAAGACGAATGGCTTCTCCTCTTCGACTCTCTGCTCAAAAAGTTGCCGCAAGGATACTCTCGCGTCTTTGAGAGAACCAGATTGGTGCATGGGTCTTGGAACTGGATGCATTCCCTCGTTATGATGAGTCCGGCGTATATGACTGCATGACTGCGGTCGCTATGGCTCGGTTTTGGAATCTGCTTTGCAGAAGGTTTCAAATGATACCCGATACTTCGGCAGACGGCAGGCAGAATGGCATGGTTTTTTCTATTTCCTCTTGTGTATCGGTTCCCACAGTGATTCGTTTGCCCATTCGTCCCCGAGGTGAAGTAGGGAGTAAAAGCCGGTGTGAAGAAATATCCAACGCTCCTGATCCCGCGGCAACGGTTCTCGCGTGGCAAGGCGCTTTAACTTTAAAATCTGCCGATGTGCGCACGGTGCTGAAGCTAGGCCGTGCTGGGGCTGCTTGGACCATCTTTTCGATATTACTTTTCCGCAGATTCGAACTACTTCCGTTCGCATGGCCGCTATATCGTCTTCTGCACGATAGCTTTCGCCCGCCAGTGCGCCAGCGCACACCTCAAATATGACGACAGCTTCTGGACCCGCGCCCTTGAAATTCACGGGATCGAAATATCTAATCCAGAGGCTCTGCTTAGCCACGCTGCTCGGTCGACCAGTACGCATTTCCCAGATCAGAGCTTCGTCCCATACCGCTCCTGGGCTTGCACCGCATGAGGTATCGTTTCTGCGCCTTCTGGACGCCATTACGAACGGATCGGTCATCGAGTTCTCCTACACCGGCACCACGGTGCTGTACAAGCCAGGTCTCATCACCGGTAGTGCCACTGGTCATGGAGCGGCGGGAGGCGTGATACGACATGAGCTGCCTGCAGATTGCGCGAGAGGTGTGGGCTTCTTCATAATTCCGCTCTGCTTGCTTGCACCCTTCTCCAAAGCTCAAGTCAATGTGCTCTTCACTGGACCAGGCGTGATCACATCCGCGACACCGACTGGCGATGTTTCGGTTGATACTGTGCGAACCGCCATACTACCGCTCTTCAAGAACTTTGGCATCGAGAGAAATCTCGAACTACGAATACTGAAGCGATCGAATCCTGGACCGGGAGGCAAGGGTGGAGGAGGAGAAGTGCAATTGGTCTTTGGGCACCAAGTGAGACTACCAAAAACAATACACATATTGGATGGAGGGAGGATAAAGCGGATAAGAGGGGTGGCATATGCGACAGGTGTCGCGGGAGTGAACAATGCGCGCATGATTGAAGCAGCAAGAGGTGTACTGAATGAGTTTGCGCCGGATACATACATCTACTCGGACGTGAGTTCTGCGCCTCTCATTGCTGCACCTGAGAAGAACAATGCAAACGCGAAGAAGAAGATTGGGCTAGGTTTCGGGTTAAGCCTGGTTGCGGAGTCGAATACTGGTGCACTTTATTCGGCGGATATTGCAAGCGCGCCAAGCGGCGGTGAGGTGCCTGAAGATTTAGGCAAGGGGTGTGCGTATCAGTTGCTTGAGTCTGTGGCCCAAGGCGGCAGCGTCTCTAATGTGGCAGCACCCATGATGCTGACAATGATGGCAATGGGCAGCGAGGATGTAGGCAGGCTAGCGATTGGAAAGGAGATACTGGGCACCGAGCAAGTCGTGCAACTTGCGAGGGACTTGCGGACTTTTGGAATGAATGGCTGGGGCTTGAAGGATGGTGACGAGCAGGGAGAAGCTATAGTGAGTATCGTTGGCCAGGGCGTAGGCAACGTCGGAAGAAAAATTGCATGAGGAAGGTACGAACCACCCATTTCAAAAGAACATCTGTGTGCCAGTCCACTGCTTGCGGCTCCCAGCGGCCCAAATATGAAGTGGCGACAGCATGTGAACTTGCGCCACTCCTGCGTGGTTGCCTGCCTGAGCTGGTTGCCTGGGAGATGCTGCGTGCGCCCCATTCACTCGCAGGTGAGCTTTCATGTGACTTCACATGCGCCAATGCAGAATTAATAAGCGCCGTAGCAACACTTCACCGCCGCCGCCGCCGCGACAACAAACAACAAATCAACATCACCTACAACATCGCACTCAAGCCTCTCTCTCTCCAGGACACCTACAACATCAGTGCCAACACACCTACGCATTGGCAGACAGCATGACCACGGTCGACGGAGACGACATGATGTTAGATGTCGGAGAGCGCGCTACGCCGCGGCCTTCCAACGGAGATGGCGCGCCGCAGGAGTCGGCGACCGAGTTAAACCCCTTGCCCTTGAACACAAACATTGCGGGATTTTCACTCACAGTGCGCGACAGCACAATAAGATGCCATTGCCCTAAGGGAACGAAGCGCTATGCCAAGGATCTCCTATTCACTGGCATGACCGAGGAAGGTCCAGTCTGGATCCACCAGACTTGTCAGTCAAAGGACCAGGCCAAGAAAGACTTCGCACAGATGATGAAAATGATGGACGAGGGAAAGCTGAACAACTTCATCAAAGAGGATGACCCGGCTAGGCTGCGCTTGATGGCGAGGAACTTCAACTCCAAGTTCCATTGCGACGGACCATGCAACGGCTCGGAGAATCTCAAAGACTATTTCCTATGCACGAAGTGCCACGCCTGGCAGCATAAGCCTTGCATGCTGTACGGGGAGAAGGGCGACGCAAACGGTCCAGTCTGCAACCGCTGCTTTATGAGCTTCCTTCTGCATCGTGAAGAGATAATGGAGTGGCAGCGCAAGCGACTACTGGAAGCAGTACGTGAAGCCTGGAAGTTTCTAAAATTGACAAAGGAAATCGGCTGGGGGAATCACCCTCGCAAGGACTGGGCGCGGAACTTCCTGACGAGGTTCTTCTACCATGTAAGTCTTCCAGCCTAAGTATACACTACCTCACGCTGACATCGATCATAGCACCAAGGAGAGTTCATCAAGTTCATCAAAGAGCGAGACAAGGCTGCGGGAGGACAAATCGCCCCAGCGCCGGCTCCCACTTCAGCTAGCAAGGACGAGTCTCAGAAGATGGCGGAGCCCGACTCTCGAAAGAGAAAGCGCACCGAGACTGTGAAACCAACGCCTTCGAAGATACAACCGGATGTCGAAAAGAAGCCTGGTGATGTCGCTCCACCAGCAGTCGGAGACGACGACAATGCAGGCACTGACGACGAAATCATTGTCACTCAGGTGATCAAGAAGCCGAAGATGGGAGAGAAAAAGTCAGCGAAGAAAGCCACCTTCGCGCCTCTTCCTCCTCCTCAGGCTCCGTCTTTTGGCGGTCAGTCAGAGAAGCCCGTCAAGCGCGAGTCTCCATCTCCATCGCCAGCGTTTACCCCCGCCTCCTCAAACGGACGCAGAAATCCTCTCCGTCAATCTAGTCGGCTGTCTGGAACGCGCCGCAAGACATACACCGTCGACCAGAAGTTGAGTGACGAGGAAGACGAAGGCCAACCAGAAGGTCAAGAAGAGGATCAAACAGAGGACCTCGACATCAAGGTCGAGCCGCTGCGCTTGGAAGCTGCCCAGGCTAATCCAAAGGGCCTCAAGGGACCTGATGAGAGGACCTCCTGCATATGCGTCAATTATCTACCTGCAGCAAGGAACTGTTTCGACTGCAAGAACTGCTCTTACCGCCAACACATCGCATGTGCGGAAGATGGCAGAGGCGAAGAGGAGGATCCGCAAATTTGCAACATATGCTTCCGCAAGGCCGCAAAGCAGAACGCTCCGCAGAGGAAGTCTTTCCGGCCAGAACTTCCACGCCAATCTCTCGGTTACGACGTACCCCAGCCTGCCAAGGCCACCTCTGCAGAGCTTGAGGCTAGTCTTCGCGACGAAGTCCCGATTCTGTGCTCATCTGTCTTGTGGAAGGAGTGGGTCGCTCTGCATTCCCCTGAGCGCAGAGAGGCGCTAGCCCAAGCCGCCGCGCCAGCCGAGTGGCACGCTGAGATGCAGAAGCGCATGCTCTGGCTCATCAAGAAAGCCGGCGCCGAGTCCACGATCCGATACCTGAAGCCCGTGCTGCAAACCTGGCCCCGCCGGAATCACGAAATCTTGAGAGCGATTACCGATCTCGTCCACGAATTCGTTCACAGGGAAGAGGCGAGGCGGATCAAGCGCAAGAAGCTTGGTCTTCTTTTGGAGGTCATTGGCTGGGAGAATCTCTACACGTACACGCGTTGGAAGGGAGGTGCCTGAGCCGCTTTCGGCTTTTCCGCCTCGCAGGCGATCTGGCATTAATTTGCGATGCCCTTTTCTTGATGGTGAGTCGTTTTCTCTGTTTTTCTCCTTTTCTCCACTCTTCTTTCTGCAGCGAGCAGAGAGCAGAGAGCATGGGGCAATGGGCAGTGAGCAGCAAGTATGGGTAAGCGAGCAGTCAATTCGTGCAAACATTGGACGCACATTGGATGTTCTGGGTGTACTTATACTCTTGGATGGAATCAAGGTATGCGAGAGGCTTCTTGGTAAGTGCGAGGCATGCTTTCTCTCCACGGCAGTGAGGATCGAAGGGGTGTGGATGGATTTGAGGTGAGAGCAGATGGCCATGGACGCCATCGAGACTACTGAGCGGAATGCTTGAACGGGCCGCAAGCGTGGCCGACTTGGGTCGCGAAAGAATGAAAGCGTTGTTTTTCTTAGAATTCGATCCGAGTCTCCAACGTCGTTCTGCCTGCGAGCATGTGAACGTGGAAGTCGTTTGGTGTCTCACTCCACACAAAGCACGGACCACCAGTTTGCATTGAGGATTCAGGACATCTGGCCTCGAGCAATTGTAGGTAGTTCCCATGCAGAATAGTGTTTTTTCTTGCGCCGAATACGTGATTGAACGAGCGATTCCTTAACCCTTGCTCTCAAACCTTCCGCAAATGACTGCGGTCAATGGAACACCAGCTGTCGACGCATTAGACGCTGGTAATCATACCTCCATCTGCAGCTTTCGCTCGAGTACGACTTGATGTTGACCATTTGGTAGTGGACTATGACCCCATCGACCATCTGAATGCGCTATTCTCCCATCCGTCGACATTATCCTCCGTCCGAAGCATCTCTACATCCCTCCAGCGACACCAAGATGCCTTGGACTTGGACATCTCTACCCTTGTCACGGCCCAGACGACATCGGATTCGGACAGCGTGCGACGGATACAAGATGCAAAGGCAGAACTGGCAGAGCTCTTTGCGAAGATTGAGGGAGTGCGAGAGCGGGCACTGGAGACCGAAAGAGCAATCACAGAGATGACAGCGGACATCAAGAGGCTGGATAGCACGAAGAAGAATCTCACGCTCTCAATGACTGCGCTGAAGAGGCTGCAAATGTTGACGACGGCGTACGAGCAGCTGCGAGGACTCAGTCAGACCAGGCAATATCGAGAATGCGCGCATTTGCTGCAGGCTGTCATTCAGCTTATGGCGCATTTCAAGAGCTACAGGAGTATAGACCAGATCGCGGGATTGAGCAAGAAGGTGGCGGATGTACAGCGCGAACTACTGGAGCAGGTTTGCGAAGACTTCGAGGTCACGTTTGCGAAGGGAGAGGTTCAGCAGAAGAGGGGCATGTTGAGCGAAGCCTGCCAGGTCATGGACGCTTTGGGAGATCATGCGAGATCGAGACTCATTACATGGTATTGTAATACGCAGCTCAGAGAGTACAGGCAAGTGTTCTGGGGAAACGACGAGGCCGGATCCCTGGACAACATCTCAAGGAGATACTCTTGGTTCAACCGCATGTTGAAGACGTACGATACCGAGCACGCCGCGCTTTTCCCGCCGCACTGGAAGGTCAACGAGATGCTTGCAAACGCGTTTTGCGAGAACACGCGAGACGACTACAAAGGCATTCTTCAAAAGTCCATGCGCAGAGCAGATGGCCAGCCGCCGGATGTCAATCTGCTACTGTCTTGTCTCCAGGAGACCCTGGACTTTGAACATAGCCTGGAACGACGCTTTTCTGCTGGCGAATCGAGATCATCCCTCGACACGATCACATCTGGAGAGGTAACGCGACATGGCTTTAGTCAGGCAATTTCGGAAGCCTTCGAACCGTACCTCAGCATTTGGGTTGAATCACAGGACAAACAATTATCCACGCTCATACCGAAATACCGACAACAGCCGATCCGAAACGTGGAGGAAGAGTTCCATCCACAGCTGGTCATACACTCTTCCACCGAGCTGTTCCACAGCTATCGAGTTACGCTTGCACAGTGCGCCAAGCTTTCGACTGGTGGCCGACTACTGGAGTTATCCAAGACATTCGCAAAGTATCTTGATGCATACGCACAGCAAGTACTCTTCTACTTCCTGTCCGAGAAGACCGGCGGACCAAGCGTAGAAGACGCGGTCATCATATTGAATACCGCTGATTACTGCTACACGACTACCAACCAGCTGGAGGAGAGGATCAAGTCGCGAATCGACGAAGACCTCCGGGAGAAGGTGGACTTGCAACCTCAGTCGGACACTTTCATGGGCGTTGCCTCGGCGGCTGTTCGAGGGCTGGTCCACAAGACCGAGGCCGACTGCCAGCCTGCTTGGCGAAGCATGCGTGCGGTACCCTGGAGTAAAATGGACAGCGTAGGCGACCAGAGCGCATTCATTTCCACGCTTCTTCAGCGCGTGAAAGACAGAAGCAGAGAAATATTGCGATACTTGCACAAGCCGCAATACGCGAGAGCGTACTGCGACAACATGGTAGACGCCTTGACGAATTCATATATTACTAACATTGTTGCTTGCAGGCCAGTTTCCGAGACTGGAGCCGAGCAGATGCTACTGGATTCGTATGTACTCAAGAAAGGTCTTGCTGAGCTGGCCACGCTAGATGCTGAACCTGGCACACCGCCCAGTGCCGCTTTTGTCAAGCGTGTCAATCAGAGCACGTGCAAACTGGATCCGATATTGAAGACCTTGCAAGTTCGATCTTCTCCGCCAGAAGGCCTTGTTCAAGCGTATCTCATCCATATTCGAGACCGCTCTGAGCCCAACTTCCGCAAGATTCTGGAACTCAAAGGCATTACCAGGAGGCAGGACCAGAGCCATCTCATCGAACTCTTCAATGCACACAAAGCTAGTCCCGCGAACGAGAACTTGCAAGTCAGCAACCCCCTTATCGGAGGGCTACAGCTTACGGCACAACCTCCTGTGAGCACATCAGCCGGTCTAGGGCTCGCATCGCTGAAAGACAACGGTGCATCTCATTCGACGCCTTCACTGCCCGCACGATTTGATCCATCCAATTTCGGCACGGCGCTCATGAACGCTGCTCGGGACGCTGGTGATCGCTTCGCGTCTGGATCGCCCAATCTGGGAATACCTGGTCGAGACGGAACGATGTCGAACAGCGCTGCAAGTCGCACGACTTCGCCGCCGCCTGCTGGATCGGAGGGTGACAGAGATATCACGCCTAGCTTGAACGAGAACCTCAAGAAGCTGGGAAGTCTGTTCCGCAAGGACGGCGGTGGATTTGGTGGGTTTGGCAGGCGAGATGGGTAGACCCCCAATTGCCCGACGATCTCTGGCGGCGTCTTCATCCCTGTAAGAGTACTCGCTGCTACCTTGGACCGATCTCGTGGGACTTCTGTGCCGTATACTACCTGCAACTTCTGCAAGGCAAGTCGAGGGCGATTAGGACGCACGAATCTGCCGCTTCCAATTCGAATCACTTCTTGCCCTCCGGCTCCAATCTCTTCTCATCGCTTGGTAAGGTAGTTCGGCCCTCGGCGCGTCCTTCGTGTACAATTCCACCGCAGCATCTTTCCTCAAAGCTAACTCCATTACGGGGACCACTAGCTTCCAACTCCACGGCCGCTTGCTTATGCGTCTCCTGCAATTCCCCCAGAGAGAGAACCATCGTCATCCTCACTCTGCTCGTGAAATTCTGGGATACTCTTGTCTTGTATACCCAGCGGCAACTCCACATTATTTATCCATCAAATTTATTTCTCAGAATTCGCGATGAAGCTCTGAATCATCTGCTTCATCGTCTCGAATCTACAATGAGGAACACCATTCACCGCCGTGAAAGCGGCCCCATGCTCGTATCCTTTCCTGAACTTGGTTGTATGTGACCCCAGTGGCGTATTCTAGACATAGTCCACTCCTTAAAGCACACTGGTGGAAATTCGACGAATGCTGATTTAGCCGTTCCCTGAAGTCGGCATCATAGCGTGTGCCTTCTCCGCAGATGATGATGGGTATATTCTACAGCCACCACTTCGTACGGAGGACTCAGGACGATCTTGTGGATCCATCTTCCAGGGTCGCTGCGCCTCAGTCTTTTTCGCCCAGGAGGGTTGGAGCGTTCAGCTCAAGGGTTACTGCCGCATGGCAATGGTGCAGGTGCAGGTGCAGCTGCCAGGGACCGCTGGAATGCTTGAAATCGAAGTCGATGATAGGTCCCAGGCGATGATTGCTGAGAATAGTGCAGAGTCGTTTAGGACAGTACTACTTACTGGCGGGTGGAACGGGTTTTTTGTGGAGTGTGTCCGGCAACGGGTCTGATAGCACCCGTGAGATGTCGTACACCCTTTTGCCAGTGGCTGAGTGCATGGCAGACGGAGACGCTGGAACTGGACAGGTATGCGAACGGCCTGACGCACGTCTCTGGCTTCATCTACCTCACCGAATTACTCTATAGAGGTAGTTGTCCACGTCCTTCCTCGGGGAACACCTCGCTCGAACGCTGCAGATCAAAGCAAGGAAAAGGCACCATCTGGTGCCGCAGTACGGCCAATCCTGTAGTCTGCCATCAAATAGTACTGCTTCTGGACTCGCCTCAATACCTCTTCCTAAACCCTCTTCCACCACGGCCACGGAATCCTCCTCTGAAGTTCCACCGCCCAGGCCCGCGCTCTCCGCGGTCGAATTCGCTGCGTATACGCTCTTGCTCCTGGAAGTATTCCTCTTCTCGCTGCTCTTGCTCTGCGCGCTCTTGTTCGGGATCTTTCGTTTTCCTCACTTCCGGCTTCTTGGGATTCATGTCCTCGTCTTTGACCCATCGTGCGTGCGCGCCATGCTCGCAGCTGACCACCTTATCTGAGTCCGGAGGATGCGCGCGTCCATTGGGACAGAAGCCCGCGAGGTAGAACGGACACAGGTGAGGGTGTTTGACGTGTCTTAATCCGCAATCCGGTCCCAAGGGACAGAATCCTCGCGCGTAATGTGGACATGCTTGTCGTCGCAGCTCGGATGTCGGGGGGATGTGGAGGTAGGTGCAGTCGTCGCCTTGAGGACAGATCCCGTAGCGCGAGAATTCCTTGCATTCTCGCTCGTCTCGGAGGTTGAAGGTGTGTGCGAATTCGCAGTTCTCGGCTTTCTTGCAGAGGCCGCGTTGGTAGTGTTTGCAGATGAGGTGGGGCACGCCGGAGCGTTCGCTCTGAGGGAGATAGTGTCGGTCTGGACATGAGGCGCCACGAGGGCATGTCTTGCCTTTGGACTCGACGAAGTCCTGGCATAATGGGCGGGTGACTTTGGATGGCACGCCGAGGGTTGGCAGTGAAGTTCGGAGGTAGCTGTCGAAGGTGAAAGATGGTGGTGTATATGTCTGAGGATTCAGGATCTGCTGGGTCAGAGAGGGTCGTGTCTCTGTCGCTGCCATGGTGTTGGTGGTGGTGGAGGTGGTGGAGTGTGAGAGGCGATGTTTCGAAATGGCGCTTGGAGGTACAGTGGTGGATGTGGAGAGAAAAGCAGGCGCAGGGACACCTCAGAAGCTTGGACCGGGTAAGTGAATGAGCTCGCCTTCCCTGCTCTCGGTACTGATCCCGCACAACTCAATCTGGTTCCCCTGGAGCGCCGCATCACATTCAAGACATTGTGGCATCATTCCGGGAATCGACTCTCCCATCTCGCTGCATCCGACGAGATCATCTCCCCGTTGCCTTTCTTTCTACTGCCTCCCGAGTCGTGCACAGTGGACGACGTCGGCCAGCCACCCGGGCTGCTGATTGGGCGCACAAGCGACCGCGCAGGCTTCGTACTAGCGGGCAGCAGCACCACCTTCCCACTTCCATTACCATCTTCCTCCACGGCTCCAGTCTCCCTCCCATTTCACGTCCCGCCTCCCGCCTCATCATCCCGCCCAAAGGCGCATGCTCATCACCGGTACGCCGCCTGCCTAACTCCTTCTGCGAACGTCCATAAGCGGCAACGGCGCCCGCTTAGTACTACTTCCATCACCTTCCACCGATCATGCGAGGCCGCATACCGACACCTCTCCACCCGTCACCACAATAGTTACACACCACCGTCGCAGGCTTCACGACACCGCCCTGCCATAATTCCCCATCGTCGACATGGTTTCCGAAAGGATCTATGATCTATGCCGTCCCATCCTGGACAATGAAGAGCTGGGAGAGGAGAGCAAGACTGATGCCCTGGAGGAGCTGCTGAGCAGCGAGCCTTCATCTTTGAAAGGCAAGGCGCTCGAGGATGCCGTCCTAGGAGTTCTCTGGCAGTGGAAATACTCCAGCGACAGCAAGTCCTCGCCGCCTCCGCCTCGGAGCACCAACGTGATCCGTTCGCGCTCTCCTGCCCCGTGGATACAGAGAGCTGCCACACCAATCTCAGGCTCCAACTCGCCGCGACCTTCAGCATCTACGCCTTCGGTACCTCCTGGCTTCGGCCCGACACCGCCTGCGCTTGCGAGGACAAAGTCCCAGACGGTTGGATCACCCTTCTCCTCCCCCAAGCCTTCGCCGCGACTACCTCTGGCGACTCCGATCATACCACACAGCCCACGATTGAGCGCCTACCAGTTCAGCGACTCTTCGCCAAACACCGAAAACTATGGCGACTATGGCAGCGACACCGTCGACTGGTTGCTCAACGATGACACCAGCAGCCAGACCAGCTTTGGCGACTCAGGCTTCATGAGCTCGGGCGAATCCATGCAACCTTACACCTCCGACATGAGCCCGTATGATATGCTGCGATCGATTTTGCAAGATAACAAGACAGATGAAGAGCTCGAGCAAATACTCGAGGCCAACGGTTGGGATCTCAGCCAGACCATCAACTCACTGATGGAAGCGCAAGGTGTGGATTTGGCGGCAGCAGCGATGCAGCAGCAGCAGAAGCGGACGTATCTCATTGGCAAGAGCATGTCGCCATCTTCGCGACCAGTGACTCCGGCTGGACAGCAGAGATCCCCAACTGTGTGTCGATACTGGCTGGCCAGCGGACACTGTGCTCGCGCCGATTGTCGCTTTGCTCACGAGGTCCAGAACCATATCTGCAAGTACTGGCTGCAAGGAAATTGCATTGCAGGCAACTCGTGCCTCTTCTCCCACGATCCGGCTGTCCTGATGCAGCAACTCAACATTGCCAACAGCGGCGCAAACACCCCACGGCAACTACCACCTAATTTTCAGCTCTCTGACTTCGACAGCTTCCCAGCCTTACAACCTACGACTAGTAATCCCTACGAAGAGGGCGAGAGTGTGGAATCGAGCAGCCTGAACTCGAATCAAGCCGGATTTGCACAGGCGCCGCCGGGACTGTTTCCGACCTTCGTTCCAACCGGCCCTCGACTTGGCAGTGGCCCGGGCTCAAGACCAGGAAGTAGACACAACTCGCGCGCTCCAACGCCTAGTCAACAGGTAAATTTCCAAGACGATGATGCATTTCCTTCCCTCGGCTCAGCAGCCTCGAAGCCGGGTGGTAAGAGACATCATGGCAAGCGCGGAGGTCATGGGCATCACAATCACGGACCGCCTGTCCAACAGCCAGGTAGTCTTGCTGACGTGGTGCGCATGTCTCCATCCCCAGGTCCTAATGCGAGTAGGGATGCCATGCGTCGCGGTCTAAGGAACAATCGATCGTTCACCTCAACTCGCGAGAACTCAACAGCAGCCATGGATATTCCTGCTCCCAAAGAAATTCCTTGGCTCGAGACTGGCGACAAAGTCAATGGCGCCTATATGAAAGCGAGGCAGGAGGCCTTCAAGCACGGTGGATTGCGCAACAAGTTTCTGCAATCCGCTGCACAAGCATGGAATCGCAACGACGCCCGAGGAGCCAAGGCTTTGTCCCTGCGCGGCCAGAACGAAAACGCACTGATGCGCGAAAAGCACCGTGAAGCAGCCAGGGCATTGTACGAAGAACGCAACAAGAATCTCGCAACGGGCACCGGTAGCAAAGAACTCTACGTCGACCTGCACGGTCTCCACCCGGAAGAAGCAGTCCAGTACCTCTCCGATTGTCTCCGCGAACAAAAGACCAGCTCTCGCCCCGTCTACGCCATCTGCGGCACCGGCCATCACAGCAAGAACGGCAAAGACAAGGTGGGCAAGGCGATTCGACAGTTTCTCAACGAGTGGCGCTATGCGTTTCGGGAGTTCAGCGTCCCAGGAGATCGCAATAACGTGGGTGGCATCCTGGGCATCAACCCGGCGAGCTTTGATCGCAAAGTCACCTCTGTGAGTGTAGGGGGTAGCGATAGCGGGGTGAGTCTGGATGATCGGAAGGATACGAAGATTATGCTGGTCAAGGAGGATCCACGCAAGGTTACCGCGATGCCTTTGGCGGCGGCGGCTGCTACTGCTGACGATGACGAGGGGGAGAGCTAGTAGAGTTCTGCTGCTCAAATGAAAATAATAAACCAAATTTCTAATCATCTCTCTTTTTTCCCCCTTGACTTCTCTTCGTCGTCGCGGCAAAGTTGAGTGAGGAAGAACGTATTCTTTTGGAGTACATCCACTCATCCTCATCATATCTACCCATAGTATTCCTACACGATTCAAGCCAACAGAAGCTTGAACGTCGCAACCTCAAAAGCCCTCAATTCAATCTCAATTCCTTTGACTTCTCCGCCTCCCTGCTCGTTCGTAACAACAGCAACAACATCGACCTCGTCAATCTCATCCTCCAACAGATTCGCCTTCCACGCCCGCTTCACATCCACCGGCCCAAACCCAATCGTGCCCCGACTCGTGCCCCCCAGAGAATCATAGACCCGCAGGATGACATGCCTTCCCTTTTTCCGCGGGGGCATGTCGCCGTTACTCGCGTCCTCGTCGTCTTCGCCACGCTTGATCGTGTCGACGATGAGCGAGGGCGACGAGTCCGGGGTGAGTTTGAAAGCGCTCAAGAGGGGAGCGAGGCTTTCGGGATCCGGATGGCGGTGGACCTGCATGGGGTGGTTGAAGTTGAAGCCCGCCCGGACGGTGCGTTGGTCGAGCGGACCGGCGTGGGGAAGGATGGCCCATTTGATGTGGTGGCGGCCCATGTCGGCGTGTGCATCTGGTGCCTTGGGGGCGCGTAAGAGGGAGAGACGCATGAGATTGCCGACGGTGGCGAAACCATACTTGCTGTCGTTGAGAACGCTGACGCCATATCCATGCTCGGACAAGTCGGCCCATTTATGACAGCAAACTTCGAATTTGGCCATGTCCCAGTTGGTATTGTAGTGTGTCGGTCTCTTGACAATGCCGAACTGCGTCTCGTACGAAGCCTCGGTGTTCTTGATGTTGGTGGGGAATTCCACCTTCAAGAACTTCATCGTCTCGTGCCATTCGACTTCCGCTTCGGTCTCAACGTACGAGGTTTGGTTGTCATCCGTGAGAGCGGACAGGGCAGTCGTAGTCTTGATCCAAGATTTGTCAGAGATCTTGGTCGTCGTGGTGACAGCCACACGGAAAGGTGAGTTCTCGGTGATTTCGGTGCTGCTACTTGGCTTGAGGTCCCTTCGCGAATTGAGATGGAAGACTTCGACATCCCAGGCTTGCCAGTAGAGTGGCTTGTCGTCGAAGATGACCAGCTGATTGGCCTTTTCGCCTGTAGGAACCACTTCACGCCGAGCTTCTTTGTCGTACAGGGAGACGATGACGCCTTCAGAGACCTTGACCCGCAGTTTGGAGTTCTCCAGTGAAAAGGCGCCATCATCGAGCTGTCTCACAGAGGCAACATGGAGGTCATCGGTAGCATTCGCCATAACATGGTCTGGTTGTCCGAGGATGTCAACTCTGTGGATAAGCTCGGCCTCATTCTTATGCATGGTCAACTCATCTCGTCGCCAGCCAAGCGTGTTGAGGGCAACAGGTTTGGCATCCTTCTTGTCTCTAAAACCAAGAGCGTCTAGAGCCTCCTTGAGAACCTTCTTGCCAACTTCAAAGACTTTGGCATAGCATTCGTCAGAATCGTCGTAGCACATCTCGATGGCAGAACCAGGCAGGCAGTCATGGAATTGGCAGAGTAACACGTTCTCCCACATCAGGTCGATCTCCTTCTTGGGGTACTTGTAGCCGGCGTCGCCCTTGATCGTGGCCAAGGTAGCCAGGTACTCAATGTCATGAAGCAAGATTTCCGAGAGTCTGTTGTTGCGCTTGTTGTTTGCCTGAGTAGTGTAGGTTCCACGATGGAGTTCGAAGTACAGCTCACCGTACCAGGTTACAAACTCGGTAACTCCTGTCGCTGCATTCTTTTCTAGACGGTCGAAGAAATCTTCCACGCTAAAGCCCATCTGCACGCGAGGGAGAAGGCCGACTTTGTCGCTGATGCCACGACAACGCCGAAGCTTCTCAATGTGTCCAAAGGTGGGTCCACCGCCGCCGTCTCCTTTACCAAACACAAGTAGAGATGTGGGGTCTTGGTCCATGGACTTGTGTTGAGTCACGGATCTTTTGACATCTCCGAAATGTGCCTCTGCTGTGTAGGTCTCTGAGGGAGCCATGTGGCAAAGGACTTGGCTGCCATCCAAGCTGACCCAGTTGAAAGTCGTGTGCGGGAAGTTGTTGATGTTGTTCCAGCTCAATTTTTGTGTGAAGAAACGATTCATGCCGGCCAATCTGCACAGCTGAGGGATCTGCGAAGAGTATCCGAAGGTATCTGGCAGCCAGAAGGTACGGCAGCGCTCGCCGAAGCGCGATTCGAAGTACCGTTGACCGTAGACAAATTGGCGAACAAGCGACTCTCCTGAGGGCAGATTGGTGTCATGCTCGACCCAGCTACCACCAATAGGTTGAAATGTACCCTTCTTGACATGATCCTTGACACGATCGTAGGCGTACGGGTAGAACTTCTCAAGCCATTTGTACTGCTGAGCTTGGGATGCGCAGAAGCGATGCTCCGGGTATCGATCCAATAGATCACACTGATTCGACCAACTGCGGGCAATCTTGCGTTTGGTCTCAGCCCAGGGCCAGAGCCAACACGTATCAATGTGGCAGTGACCGATACCGGCAATCAAGATATCCTTGTCCTTGCTCAAATCGTAGACATCGGACGAGTCGATCTTCTCCCCAAGATATCTCTTCGCGATGGCTCTGCACTCTTTCAAGCAGGCATTCGAGCCCTCGCCGGCAATAAAGCAGTCCATGATCTCGTTGCACACTTGGAGAGCATAGTGCTCTTCCCAGCTGTCTGTGGGGAACTCCCTCGCAGCGTCTCCAATGATCCAGAAGTCGTAGTAGAGCGCCCGCGCATCGACATTGACACTGACGAGGTCGGCCTGCGTCAGTTGGAAATACTTGTCAGGCGCTGGAGCTTGGATGGTATCGCCGCCCGGAGGGTTGCCAAACATGCCGTTGCATGCTGCTTCAATATAGATTGTCTGCTCTTTGCCATTCCTGTATGATTGTGGAACTATCCATTCAATCCTCTCGCCATTGCCGGTAAGGCCCTGGAGAGGCTTTCCATCCGATGTCCAGACCATGCCCTCGCAGCTGGCATCCCAATGCAGCTCGACGAGAGCCTTGTAGCTCCAGTCGTGAGGTACTGTGAATTGCACCTTGAACCAGTGTGTGCTCCAACTTGGACCGATCCACATGCCTTTCTCGGCCTTCTTGTATTCATTGTCGCTGCGCGTGGCTTCGTCGAAGGTAGGGCGGGAGAGGTGAGGAGCGTCCCAGACCGACAGCTTCACGTGAGGCTCGCCGGCCAGACGTGCGTCGTATAGCTTCGCCAGCAAGCCTTGCTGTTTGTACTGGCCATTATCTGTGAATTGCTTGAGGCGATCTTTGTATATGTCGTGGATAAGCTTCCCTTTAGGCCTCAGGGCAAGCTGGGGATAGGATGGAGTTGCAGTAGCCATGGTAGGCTTTGTTTCGCCTCCCATATTTGATGAGAGAGAGAGAGCAGTAGTAGTGAGGGAGTGTCAGCTTACGAGATGGGAGAGTGGAGAGAGATGAGATGGACAAGCTGCAGGAACCGAGTCCGTTTCAGCCCAGCACAGCAGCTTACCCCACGACGCCCAGCTTCCCCAGGGGCGGGGCCAGCTTGATGCCTGTGATGCCTGATGCCCGGAACCCACCGCCCACTAACTTGACTAAGTTAACTTACATTAAGTTAACCCAACGTAGCCCACCAACACGACACGACGGACCTGGAGCCGCTCGGGATCGTCGTCGGTGAATACAAAACTCCGCCCGACCTCTCCTCCTCCTTCCATTCTCCTTCACTTCCTCCTCCTCCTCCCCATCGTCCAATGCCTCTTCTGCGAGCTCTTGACCGTCTCGCCCGCACGAGCAAACGCAGAGTGCGTCTTCTGCTCGCTTATCCACCTGATGCGATGCGATGCGATGCAGTGGGAACGGATAGATCCGGTGACACGAGCGTGTTTGCAGCGCTGGCAGCCAACGCGATACTGGACAACGAGGCGGATGAGCATTAGGAGGCAAGTATAGCTGATGTCGTTTTGAGTAAGATTCGAGTGCTATTGGGTGAGGTGAGATGAGGTGAACGGACTGTTACGGACGACTGTGGACGGACCGGACACTTCACACTTGCCACTCTCGATGCCTGCTGCCTTCCTCGATTCCAACGCATCAGTGTCAGATCCCTGCACCTTTTCCTGAACTTCACCCAACCCATCCGTCCTTCATTCCTCGCTCACCTCCCAAAACTGCATCATCCGACCCTTCTATACCCCCCTTCAATTCTCATTGTGCAAAGCCGTGCGGTAGGCCCGCCTTGTGCCCATTGTGCTGCGGAGGACTCTGGTTTGAAAACGCCGACTCGCCGCATACCTCGCCAATCTCCTCGCGCCGCCCTCTGAACTGGTACGAACACCTCCACCACCACTCCCACCAGCGCGGCCATCGCTGCGCCATGGCGATGATCAAGGCCAGCTTCACCGAACACTATCCCATCGAGCTGCACTACGTCAAAGCCCTCTTCGGCCAGGGCCAATATCGACAGTGCATCCAGGCATGTCGCGACATCATCCAGCTCCAGCCGCTGCACGAGAACGTCCAGGAACAGCCGCTGCGCGCAACTTTCATCAGCTTCTACCTCGGCCTCTGCCATGATCAGATTGCTCGTGTCATGCATCATCACTCGGTCGCCAAGCTGCCTGCCTTCACCGCAGCAGAGCAGTTCTACCTCGAGGCTATAGGCGCCCTACCAACAGCGGAGCACGTTCAATCTCTCTGCACACGCCTAGCCGCCATCAGAGAAAATGATCCTTTCCGGGACCACAGCTCTCAAAACTCTCCGGCAGAGCCACCAGATCGTCTCCCTCGACCGCCGTCATTTCCGGCTTCATCCCTGGCAAGCTCGTCACCGCTCTCTCCGCCGTCTCTGCCGAAAGACAGACGCTCAATGCTGTCGCCCAAGAGTTGCCAGTCCGATTTGGAGGACCTCGAGAGCCATGCTAGCTTCTCCGAAATCATGACGCCGAGCCGCATGCCACCGAGACAGTCCTCGAGGATCTCCTTTCTCGGCCGCCCAGATTCGAGCCGACAACTTCCACGAGACATCTCCCGCATGTCACTACTTGAGGATACCAGTGCTCCAAAGCGCTTGTCACGCGACATCTCCCGAATGTCATTGCTGGGACCACATCCAGAGCCGAGACGGATGCAGAGAGAAGCTTCCATGACTCAAGGCCTCTTGCGCCCCATCAGACCAGGTTCGCCGACCCGACAACCCTCCTCACACTCCTACTCACGGACAGTAGCAAAGCCGCAGCCCAAGCTACCAAAGATTGCCACGCGGGCAAAGACAGCACCGCACCTGGGAGCTGTATTCGAGAACAGCCCTCCCAATAACTGGCGCACTTCACCAGTCTCTCCCGTCTCACCCACCAACTGGCGCACCTCGCCAGTCTCTCCCGTCTCACGTGCCGACTCACCCCTCCACTTCTCAGACGCGTCCACAACCTCGGCGCTTTCCCCTCAGACACCAGTCAAGAACTCTCCCTCCCGCCCTGCATCCCCGACCTTCTCCGACATCGACGGTAACGACACCAACAGCTTCGACGAAAGCAAGTGCCTCCGGATCCTCGACCACACCCGAGACTTACGCCTTCAACTTCATTTCCACGTCGCGTGCGTGCAGCAAATCATCGCCCAACTCCAGGCCGAGCAAGCCGACCGCATGGGCAATCGCCTCGCTGCACCCACAGACAAGCACTTCAGCAGCCCGATTCAGCCGGCATCCGCCCCCGCCGCGAAGCCACCGGGTGGCATCCAACAAGCCAGAAGCTACTGGTCCTTCGTCCCGGAAGATCTCAAAGTCACCGCGAAGCAGATTCGAATCTACGAGGGTAGGACTCGGCGGTGGGAGAGGAAGAGATTCGATCCGACGAGGTATCGGGATCTGTGTGAGAAGGCTCTGGCGGAGTTGTAAGAGGAGGTCTTTTTTTCTCTCCTCCCTTTTCACGCTGGTATAGATACAGATACGGATACGGATACAGAGCAGGAGTTGGAGTCTCTTTTGGGAGTCAAGGACGAGATACCCCACGGTTATGAAGTGAGTTTCTGCGTTCACGAGTACTTGTACCGGAGAGGCGATTGTCCACAAGTACTTAATTCGGAAGCGCAATTGTATTGGTAAAAGATTAATGTCTAGTCAGCTCAGTGTAGGAGGATCATAGACAGAGACAGAGACAGACCGGGACAGGGATATGACGAGACAGGAATAATGCATGCATGCAATGATCCCGTCCGTTTCATTAGACCAAGGAACCTCCTGCTTGTTGCAGCAATTTGCCCAAACCGCCAAGAAACATGGAAAACAGAAAGAAGAACAAAGGCGTTTCGGAAACAAAATCTCAAACCCCCGCTCCCCCGAATTATAATAAGCGCTATACACACACACGCACGTGTAACACGCTGGAAATAGCCCACTCACTCTCTCTGTGCACTCCTATCCTCTGCCGAATGCCTGCCCCGCCCGCCTGTCCGCCCGCCCGCCCGCCGTTGTCAGGTGAGGTAGGCTCTTTCTTCTCGGCCCACCGTCACGTGGCTAGCTAGAGGAAGGTCTTGAAAGGCGTCATGTAATGTGATGGAAACGCAAGACCAACAAGACGTGGCGATCCCTTGTGTGGGTGGGAGGGGCAGAAACAAAAACGCGAAACTTTCTCTCGCAGAACTTGAAAAACAAACAGTTGTGATGAATTCCATCCGTTATGCCATGATCTCGTCAGAAACGGAACGCGCCGTATCGCCGCTGGAATGCAAGTGCAATTGCAATGATGATGAAGATGTAGAGAATCGCTCGCTTGTTCGTGCTACTGTTGGGTGGGGACGAAGTTGATGGGTCGCCTGAGGAAGGGAGAGAGAGAGAAGGTTAGTCAGCGCGCGCGGAATTGTGTGCTGAGGCTTTCGACTTACTTGAAAAGCAGGATATGTGGTTCCGGCTCGTGGACTTCGTAGTGTTCCCATCCTAAGCTCTGTTGTGTGGGAAAAAAGGGTTCCCCAAGTCAGCAAGAATTCCAAATCTCCATGAGGTGGGGGAGGGGGGGGAGTTTTTGTTTACCTGCGTGATGCCCAGACCTCTCCATTCGTCCTCCCACAGCAACTTCAGCGTCCCCCGGGCCCCGTCAAAGTAGTCCTTCGGTATGGCTTTGAGCATCTGCTTCGGGAGCTGCACGTGGCGGTATTCGAAGTGGTCATCGCTGTATCTGTACACCACACACACTCCCCGAATCAGCAATTTTCAATCTTTTCCGCGTGTCCCGTGTCCCGTCCCTGCTTTGAAGGTGGTGGTGGTGGGGTCTTGTGTGGTGGTTGGTGCGTACCGTGAAGAGTAATGTATCGAATCGATAAACTCATCCAGCTTGTCCCTCTCCGAATCCGTGAGGAGGCGCGGCTTCTTGTTGCGTCGCGTGTAGTCGATATCCAGAGGTGCCGCCATTGTGTTTGTTTTCCCTATGTCCTGTCCTCGTTTCCTCGTGTCTCCTCTTTTCGCTTTCTTCTTTCGAACTCTGGTCGGTTTTGGTGGGGTAAAGGCAGTAGCGGGAACTTCGGAGCGCGCGCGCCGCGGGTGTGCTTCTCGAGGGGACGTGGTCTTGTAGCGTGGAGCGAGACCTTCCGCCGTAGCCGCGATCGAACGACGAAGGCGTGGTGGAAGAAGAAGAAGCAGCAGCAGCAGCAGAGGAAGGGCAGTCGTTGTTCTGTGTCTGTCGGTCTCTTCGTTTGTCTCTCTCTGAATCTATCCGCGCGAGTGGGGTGCCAGAAGCCGTGCCTGCATAAGCGGTGAACGGAGCGCAGAAACGTGACGCGACGCGAATGTGATCCGGTTGCGGTAGGTAGCAAGTCGCGCAAGTGGACGGCGTTGATCGGGAAAGACGCGAGGGAAGGAGGATGAGGAAGGGGTGGAAAAAAATTCGCAAATCGAATGTCAGGCACGACCTTTCGAATGGACGATCTTGATGATCAAAACAATCAAGACAATTCACGGTTAGGTTGTCCACGTGCTCACGCCGAGGTAGCCACGAGCCGAACCACGCGCCGTCAAACTCTAAGTCTTGACATCTCACGCGCTCGAATGATGCGCACAGGATCCATACCTACAGCATTCACCTGCCCAATGACGGCTCGATTTGGTCTTCAGAAAGTCGATGAACCATGTGGCTATGGCGTGTTTGAGTCACGTAACATGGCCCTGCGCAGGAAGAGAGAAGCGAATGCATCGAGCAACGGCGATCTTGTGACGTCTCACCAACCACTCACCTTGACAGCGATCTTCACATGGGTCTCTATCCGATCGCGCCATCGGTTGCCTCAGCAATAACAACACTTCAGATAGTTGGATTGAAAATGAAACGTCTATTGATGTTTGAACTTTTGTTCACTGCAACATGTACAAAGACGTGAGAGCAAAGAATTCTAGGAAATAGACCCCTCAAATTCCAGCCCAACAAGATAAGTTGTGTCCATCCGAGGCACATACCAAACAGCTGCTGGTATAAGAAGTCAAATGATGAGGAAGATCCCTCGTAAGAAAAACACGTGTCTCGTAACAGATTGCTCCTCCAGATATAACGAGTGGACGGCAGGTCCTCCTCCAAGATCGTCAGCCAAAAGAAGGGTAAAATAAATCGTGTCGGTCGTAAAAGAGGATCTGCCAGAGATGAAAAAGCTCGGGTGTTTGTTGACGGTAGAGAGAGTGTGATCGGCCGGGCGCGACGGTTCCAGCGAATGGAAGGTTGCCCTTCGCCTGCTGCTTCGGCACTGAGATGCTTCTCCATTGATGTTCAGTGGGCAGTTGGATTGATGGAGACAGACAGCATCGCATCTGCAACCTCTCGATATCCTGACCGAGATGGTTCGATTGTGCGCCCGCAGTGAATGTGGAATCTTCTAGATCCAGGCCGGCTCCTCGGCCAGAAGGACATCGTACAGGAGGCTGTGGATCTCCGTCAGATAGTCCGAGGCACCGAAGTAGGCGAGTCCATGCGACTCCATGTAGTGAGCATCGGCGTTGGCTTCGGCATCGCGCACCGCGTGACTGAATTCCTCCGCAACCTCGTCAAGCTGTGCGAGCTCGTTACCAAACATGTTCTCCCGTGGCACATCCACCGGTGGAGCTTGGAACATTTCGAGTGACTGGCGACGGCTGCCGCCTGCGTGCGGCGACATGATACGCTGCACCGATCGCTTCCGATGTACACGTTCGTGGGCTTTCTTCGAATGCGAGGGAATTCGTTGTGGGATCTGAGGCGCATCCACCAACGACGTCCGAGTGGATACGCTCGGTGAAGATCCAGGCGACGAAGATCCAACGTTGGGCTTGAAATAGCAGCTCAAGTGGTTTGGCTCCGGTTCCGGCATGACTGGTGAGCTGGCCTCAACGGAAGATGCGTCAGTGTGACTGTTGATGCTGAGTGTGCTCGCATCACTATCCTCTGCCGAATGCGAAGATCCGGATGACGACGGTACGTGATGGTAGGGCTCGAATTTCTTGGTGCCAGCGATGTCTGGAGCTTCGTAGGAAAGCGGGTTGGTCGTCGACACGAGCGCCACCGGGGATGAGATGTCGAGACCGCGAACTAATCTGCCGCCTCGTTGGCTTGCGGCGCGACCCATGTGGACGTTGGTGAGGTGGTCCGGCTTGTTGCGCTTAGTAGTGAACGCACGAACGAGCGCCATGGCTGGGGAATGCTGTCGCTTTCAAGGCGCAGTGGTGGCAACAAGTTCTTGGGGCCGATATGGTGTCCAAAACTGTCGGCGTCGGAGAGCGGCGTGATTGCTGTTGCTGATTGTTCGAGGGTTGACTCGTTTGTTCCAGGTCACAGGTGGGAGTGTCTCAGACTTGAGATGGAAGGCGAGGGTTGCTTCGCAAGGTGGGCTTTAGTCTGACGACAGATGTCGCTTGCAGTGCAGCTCGCTCAGAGTATGGATGGAAGGGATTCCGGGCGACACGGTGCCGTGGTGAGTGCGCGCAATAGGTATGGGTATACGTCGATGGGGTGTTGCAAGGAATGTGTTGTGAAGTCGTCGCAGGAAGCTAGGCCGCGCTTAATGAGAGTGGTTTCCTGTCCTGTCTGGGGAAGTGAGGGAGTGTCACACGCCACAGGCGCGTAGTTGCAGGGGAAAGAACGACAGGAAAAGAAGGAGCGAAGAAGGAGTAGTAGTAGTAGTATGTACAGCACAAGTGCTGTGTCGGGCGCTTGTGGGTGGGTGGGTGGTGGTGAAGGAGAGACCGAGGGAAGGACAAGACCGGGAAGGACGAGACCGCGCAGGACAAGAAGAAGTTTCCCGCAGGCCTGGAACAGCAAGGCAGCTTAGTAGGCGGGAGGAGCAGGCGTTCCAACCGAAGTCAAACGGGACGTTGAACAAGGCGTGGCCCCGTCCGAACCAATCGACGACGCCTGAGCGTCCGGTGCGGGCGGTCCCGTGGCAAGCCCTCAGCGCCCCGCACCAGTCGCTGATGCCAGCGCCGCCAGTTAGCGCCCCGTGAACGGCCGGCTTGAGCGTTTCACCGTTGTCGTTCCGGATCTGCCGACGCTGATTCGCCCGACCGCAGCGCCTCGTGCTGCCCCACCCGTGCGCCTGCTCCCTCCTCACATCTCCCAAGATGTTCCTTGCGTTTCACACACATTCGAAAGCCCTCCAACCGAGGCCCTCCCTCGAGTCGCACTCAATACCAGCCGGCGACCGCAATAGATCTCGAATCTCCCGTCGACTCCCTCACCGTCGGCGGTGCAACCACCAAACGGCACGCAGACTGGTAGCATTTTACAGTTTCACCGAAGCCACGGCAGACAGAACTCTCACTGACACGTCAGCCTCTCGCGAGCGAACGAATTTAGAACCATCGGACAGAGCGTCGGTTCGACCAAGACAGCTCTATTGTTTTTCTAGTGAGAGTAACCAAACGGCACGCCTCTCATACGTCCATACGCCGTTGGGCGTATCTTTCCCGAGCCCTCCCGCCCGGTGCTAACGCTATATATCCCTCGCTATGCAGTATTAACAAATGTACATCATGCAGTATGTAATCTCATAACTCGTCGTCCTTGCGGAAAAGGTCTTCCTTGCTTGGGAACTGGACCTTCCACGTCCGCGGCCGTACCGGTCGGCCAAGCCAGAAATCGTACAGTCGTGTGAGCTCAGAGGCCAGAATGCTGGGCACGCTCAGCGGGATCATGATCCAGCTCTTCAGCACGAACTTGTACGCTCGGAAGATGAGATCAAGCTCCTCCCAAAACGCATCGGATATGCTCTCCGAGTACTCCGTCTCAGGCCACTGGTGATCTTCAAAGTCGTCCAGCTCGTCTAAATCTTCAAAGTTCGGTACCGCTTCCCGCGCAGGCGATGATGATGGGGGTGTGACATCGGCCGTCTCCACTAGCTTGCCTGCCATCTCAGCCGCAACCATGACTCGGAAGTGCTGCAGCGCTTTCAAAGCCGAGCTGATCTTGTCGAGTGTGTTGATCAGCGCCACGAGCTCCGTCCGCCGAAGAAGTGGCTTCTCCTGACCCTCCTGACCATTGCCGAACTCGAAAAGCACCTTGAGCGCCGTTCCAAAGCCATTGGTCTGCAGCTTTCCCCAGAGTCGGCACTTGTCGCAGCCAACACAGTCCATGATCCTACTCACGTTGCGGAATCGGTTGCGGAAGTCCTCCTTCAGGCTGAGGCCGTCGTATGTCGGGTCTTGGAACATGACGCTTTCATCGAAGATTTTCGGTCCAGGTGGAATGGCGTCCGCTAGCCTGGTAATCATTTTCTTAGTCTTCACGTCCTGTGGCGGATCGCCAGTGCAGAAGGTGTAGTCCTGGACGTAGTCTCGTAGCTTTCCAACCGCCCGCAAAAGCAGCGCATAGTTGAAGTAGAGATTCGAGATCCGTTCTGGATGCGTATGCAGTCGTTCCTTGTAGCACTCAACATTCGGACCCCACTCGCCTGTGGTTTGATTGAGGTAATCGTAACACAGATGCGTCGAGATCGATGCATGCATGCCAGATATAACCCGGTAGAATACTCTCTTCTCCAAGCACTCGTCCTCAAAATCCAGAGTTTCAGGGGCCATACCGGATTTGATTGCCTGTTGCTTCTCGTGCGACTTCATCACCTGCTTGAATTGTTGGGCTGCCTGCACCTGGTCCGTTGATAAGTCGAACGGCGTTGAAGAGAACCCCGGCGAGTTACCTCCTCCTTCGCCATTCGAGGGGCGAGAGAAGCAATTCTCATGGTAAATGGCCTCCCAGACCTGGTGCGCTCCGTCTCCAGAATACCCAGTGAACCGCTCCGGATTGTCCAATAGACTGACATAGTCTCCCTTCGCGCTTGCGCTTTCGTCCTCCGGAACGCAATAATCGCGGTCGTCGCACTCGTCGTCGTATTCCACCACACAGCTTTCCCCAACACTGTCACCCAGCTCCCCCAACAACGGTCTTTGCAGTTCTCGTTGCTGCTTCTTCCCAGGATGTTGTGCCTTCGGTCCTTCCAGCTTACTGAGCTCCCGGGCACGCCATACGGGTGGTATGTCTTCCTCATTCTCCAACGTATTCACAGCACATGCCCTGTTCCCGCACATGCCATTTTCGTCGTCCCAGAACGGACATTTCTTGTTGTAGAGATTCAATCGATAGTATGAGAAGAAATCGGTATTGTTCGCGAGGTTCCGCACGTAGGGATGTAAACGATTGTTCAGACCGTCGAGGTCGGCGTATGATGCGCAGGCGTCCGAGACCTTGGCCCTGGGCTCAAGCTGGAAAGCGTTATAAGTTGGTTTTGCAATGTATTTGGTATTACGACAAGTACTCACTGCGCAGACATCTGGGCTTGAAAGTGGGGCTTCCGTAGCACGTACTTGACAGTCGCCGCCGAAGAGGGCAAAGACTGCAAGGTAGAAGGCGTGTGCTAGCGGTCGCCGCATCGCGGGCTGCTGTATTCTCTTTCAAGCCAAATGTCAGCGCATGGTCGCGTCGCTGAGTACTGCTCCACATCACTTACTCTCGACAAGACTCTTATATCTCTCCCGTTCTCCCAGATTCCCGTGCTATTGAGGTTCGCATACGGTCTGTGAAGGTTGGTGTGAAAGAGGTAAGAACAAAGGCGTAGTTGAGGGTCGACAGCTGGCCGAGTACTGTGGGTGTTGGAGTCGAGGTGGGTTTGTACAAGAGATGGAGAGGACAGAAGAACGTTCACTTCTACTCGGATGTTACTTACCAACTGGCCTCATCTGTGCATAATAGTTGGCATGCTCAGGCCATGCATCATGATACTCGATTTGTGAGAGACCAGCTGGCATTGATGCCAGGAACGGCGGCTCGGCTCAGGGTCCAGATTGCGGGAAGCACGGCCCGCTCGCGTGGTGCGCCTGCTCTTTGTGCGATTTCGTACCGACACAAATCTTTTCTTCCCAACAGCATTGCATCAAAAACGGCGATGATGTCGTTCGCGATCATTCTTCTACACATTGGTAAGTCCCAAACCTGCCCTTCCATGTCAACACCCCACAATGATGAGTTCTCTTCACCCGATTAGCTTCAGGAAGAGCCGGAAAAGGCATGGCTGTATCGTCAAATACGGCCGTCGATGCTTAGAAAAGGGATTCTGATATCGACAGCAATACAGACTGAATATCAAGATCACATCTACTCGCTCGATCGTGCTAATTTGGCGGTCATAGATCTCGTAAACCCATAGCCATTTGGCTGAGGCGCCCCCAGCCATCGTCCAGGAGGAATTTTCACACGTGCTCCAGGCACTCACTCCAAGCACCCGCTCCAAATGCTCGACTCAGCCCATCTGCTCTCTCTCTCTTCCTGGCCGGATCTCGTGTAATTGTCTGCTTTGACGGTCAGCTACTGGGCTCCAATTGATCTTTCTTCCGCGGCTGGCCGGAAATGACGCACCACATGGGCTCACCAAATCACTCTTCTCGACCAAGATAGTTCTGGAGCTGCTCGTCGTATATCCTTCCAAGCGCTTCATCCGAGAGCTTCTCTCGGATCGCGGCTTGACTCGCCTGCCGCTCGTGGATCTCACGTAACGAGCACCCGGTAGGCGACGGCATCCTTCTTAGTGACCTCCTTCTGTCGACTGGTGGAAGTGCCCTGATACTGGCTCGATAAGTCACTCGCGCGTTCACGTCGTCCATTCTGGTGGTTGCGTGACGCGCGTCAATAATGGGACGGGCTCGACTGGGTTTTGCTGGCAAAATGAGTTTACGCCTCTGGATGCCTGTGTATCTCATTCCTGCTGACTTACTACTAAGCGTGGCTTGACAGAAGCTGAACTTCTTGTCAGCAAATGCCGTGGCACTCAAGTCCGACCTACCACTTGAAAGCTTGACCATCCATAACATGACTGGGATCTTGGCAGTGTCACCACACTTCTGTCGCCTAGCTCGACATGCGCCAAGCTTGTTGGGACTGCTTTTTATGACATCGCCTCAGGCGACCTTTGACGAGGCTGACAATGGCGTTGTCTTCACTGTTGCATTTCCGGCACTATCCTGCTTCCGAATTGCTACATGGGTGCGCTGACCAGCCTGGGAATATACGAGCAACCAACGCTTGAGGTCGGAATCTCGTATGACTTGACTGACGACTTCGCACTCTTGTATAGGACATTCTCAATCCCTGACTCTATCTCTTCTTGAGAAGTGCCGGGCTTGGATGGATTTTTCGCTCTACCACGCGCGTCGATGTTATGCAGCAAGTCTGGAGAACCACGCCCTGGCCCTTCAAGTACTAGCATAAGGCAAGACCGAGTTTTCTGCCATTTTGAGAAGAAGGTTCAATATTTTGGGACTTCTGGACCGACCCTACCCCCGTGCTCTTAGCTCCTTGGATACAGACCAGGTAGGTCCTAGCGTTTCTAAAACCGTTACATACAGTGAGTATAAAGATGAGCACATGTACAACCATCATTCGGCATCTCTTGTACACATTCTCTCATTCAAAACAACTCAAGACAAGCAGAAATCAGTCGGGTTCGTTCGCCAATATGCGCACTCCATCCCTGGCAATCATCGTTTCCCTCGCATCCACCATCCTCGCCGCTCCCGCAAGCTCCGGGACCGCAAACATCCAGGTCTCCCTGGATACTCGGCAATCCGTCGTCAACGTCGAAGCAACCATCGTCTCCCTCATCAATGATTTCGTCCAAGGCCGTAGCGGGGCCCCCGAATACGCCGCCGTCAAGAGCCAACTCACGGCCATTGGGAAAGTCCTCGGAGTCACGTAAGTGAAACACACACCACGGCCCCTCTCTTCTTAAGACAAAAATTGTACATTTGATTTGATTGTATGCTGATGATTGATCTTCCAACAGCTGTGCACCGACCCATACCGACGGAGCCAAGACTCCGCCCGAAGCGATCGTGGCTCTGGGCACGACGCAGAATTCCCTCAACCAGTTGAATCTCGACATCACCATTGCCGGGGCGGATCTATCGGGGGATTACTGTGCGGCGTGGAGTAGTTTCCGATCGGTCGGTGATCTGGCGAATGGGAAGGGAAATTCTTGATTCGTGTTCGGAATTCGAAATTCGGAGTGGGATCCCAGATGGTGCAGAGAGGACGACGAAACCAGGATGGGCAGAATGGGCAAACTGGAGGGCGGGCACTGTAATGAATGTAATGAAATGAATTGTACAGGAAGAAGATGGGAGTACCAAGGAGAGGAGGAAAAAGATGGCAACCAAAAAATTTGGCGAAAGGAACAAGACTTTCATCCTTCTCACGCTGCGAGGTGGTGACATCTCCACCCCTGTCTGTGGCAGCGGCTACAAAGTAATACGCTATACACTCATCGCGCGCGAATGGAGGCGCAATTTCCTTCTCCAAGAGCTTGAAGCAATTTCCATATCAACACACACCACAATCTCGTATCCTTCTCGTTTCATCCCACGCTTTCCGTCTTCAGGCCGTGAGGCACATTTTCCTTTTTGAACTGCGGCAAAAGCAACGTCCAACCATCGCCATGCGATATCGATGCAAAAACTCCATCGCTAACCCGTCAATCAAAGCAATAAAGTATTCAGTTTGGGCTCAAAGCCTGCGTTCCTCCATATGTCCGGATCGTCATCATGTGGTTGACCACGCGTACCGGCGCCGCGCTGCCTGGGAGCGCAGGGCCGAGCAAGATGCAGTGATCGACGCTGCGCTTCTTGTTCTTGGGTTGACCGTTATCGTCGACTTCTTCGAACTCGCCGTGAATATCGATCTTGAGGCCGTTGACACCGAGTGGGCTCTGACCAGTGGGGTCAGGTAGTTGTGTCTGGACGTGGGCCTCGATGAGCCACTTACTGACGTCTGCGAAATCGGGGTGTTTGGATTTTGGTAGCGCCGTGAGTATCGCGCCTACCTGTTCGGCGCCGCGAAAGCATCTTGCAGCGCGAGCTGGCATCTGGCCGATCTTCTTCAGGTTGAGACTGCTTTTGATGTAGTCGCTCCACTCGCCTGATTCTTTCTGCGCGTCTGATGATGGGTCGCGCGGTGCCGACACATTGACGGCGTATGAGAAGGTGGAGTCATTGTCGTAGTAGAATTGCGCGAGGCCCTGTCGGTCGGTGTCTAGACCAACAATAAGATTGCGGATGAAGGTCTCGCCGATGCCTCCTTCATCGTTGAAAACGGCGCTGCGAATCGGGAACGCGAGGTTCGTGATGTTCGTCTTGTTCCTAATGTCCTCTTCGGTGCGAACTTGCGTTCCATTGATGAACATGAGGTTTGGGTACCACTGAAGGAATTCGGCGGCGAAGTTTGGCTCGTTTTGCTCCAGTGGATTGCCCGCGACGACCAGATGCTGGAGGCTGGGGAATCGCTTCTTCCAGAGCGCGAGGTCTGCTATGGTTCGGAAGTTGTTGTTCGAAAGGTCCAGATTCTTGATTCGCGGTAGCGTAGCGGACAGTGAAGTGACCACCTTGAGGTCGTTTAGCTGATTGTTTGCCAGCGAGACACTGTCGAACATGGCGTGCTTGTCCTCGGGCTTCTCGAATGCCTTGTCCAAGACTGACATCATGGCCGGGAAGATCTTGCTTGCGGTGGATTCTGTTTCGAAGATTTGGTGAGCCTGGAGCTCGGGATCATGTGGAAGAGCTGAAAGATCCAAAAGCTTGAGTTCGGCTTGGTACCGGCGTTCGAGGACCTCCTGCAGCATGGCCTTTGTCTCCTCTGCCTGCGACGATGTGCCCTGGACGGGTCCGCCAACACGCTCGATGTGGATGGTCGTCTTTGCCCACTGGTAGCCATTCATACGCTCCAGCGAGCGGGCTTCGGCCTGTCCGACGCTGACGTATAGTATATCGCCGTCCTCCCGTGACTTCTTAATCTTGCCCACTCCATTGGAGTGCGTCTCCAGCTTTCTCCGCATCTTGCTCTCCAACCACTTCTCGAACGCGCTCTTACCGCGGTCGTCTGCATTTGAAGCTGCGCTGTGTGCCCACCCGGTAATCTTGAACTCCACCAAGCCGCCCATCTTTGGGGGCCTCGACGCCGCTCCTCCCTTCATGTTCACATCGCCGTTGGCCGAGGCCCGTGCGATTCGCTGCTGAATGCGACCATTGGTAAGGTCCGCGCGAGGTCCACGTGCTCCGGGTCTCCGAGCTGACGTTGTGGAAGTACGTCCAGAAGCACCGGAAGTAGTGTCTTTCGCAGCAGTGGATTTCTTCTCGATACGGCTGGATCGTTTAGGCTCGGCGCCCATCTTCACGTCGCCATCGCGGTCCGCTCTTCGATTTGCTCTCCGGGCGTTGCCGACGGCGGAGCGCTTTGCGTGGCCGGGCGCCATGATGCGATGGAATTCGTTCCAAGTCTCTGCACTCTCAAGGTGTCGCGAAAGGGCCCGTCGTGGACAGAAACCGGTCGCAACTCCTGGATGTGGTAAGGGTGGAAGTGCCGAGGTGCAGAGTGCGAGAGTTGGTGATTGTTGGTTTGGAGATTTGGAAGGTTGGTGAAGCATGCACGAAAGTGTAGACGAGGTTCCTCATTGCTACGGCACGGGCCGCCGCTATTGTTCAGCGGGATGAGTCATCACCCGACACTGGGTCCCAGACAATCAACAATGATCAGCCAATAAAGCAGGCAGACAACATCCTCCTCCAGCTTGACCAGTCAACAACGGAAACGGAACCGCTGCACTCAAAACTCTGGAGAGTGACCAGCATATGGAAAAAGCCCACGAAAGCTTTCACATGCGGGTTCCAGGATTGCATGGCGAAACGATATCTTCCTTCGCCCATGATTATACGTGCTCAACGGCTGGAGATCTGGAAAAGAATATAATTGCACCCCTCGTTGATTTCCTATGCTTGCATTCCACGCGGTCTCTCAACGATCTTGCCCAACCCTTCGTTATTCTCCAAGCACTCATGTGCTTCCACAATCCGATCCATATGGAACACCCTGCTAAGCTTGACGATTAGGGAGCCGTTCTCGATCTGCTGAACCAGCTGATCCAGTGTCAAGTTCTTTGGCTCAAAAGTCCGCTCGCCGTATACCGTCAAGGAGGTGCCTAGCTTGATCATGGCCAAAAGAATTGAAGTCAGGCACCCCTAGGCTACCTCCGACCAACCCACAAAACCAGTAGTCTCCATCCTGGGCAAGACATGCTGTCGAATCCGCCAGTGTCGCTCCCCCTACGAGCTCTAGCACTTTTTACATACCCCTCGGAAAGCGTTCGAGGACCCTCTCGCTCGTCAACCAGCCGTCCTCAAAGACAACGTGGTCGCTTCCATTCCCCTGTAGCATCTCAGTTGTCGCGCTGTCTTTTCGCCTCTTAGTCGTAATAACAATCCTCCGTTGTTGCTCGAGTCGGCGTCCAGAAAGGGACTGGATCCTCGACTTTCTACATATCGGCGCACGCAATGGAAATATGCATGCGTGTCGAATCGTTGGCAGATCGATTGCCATTTTGGGAATCATGTGGGATTAGAACGTCAAGCGAGAGGATGATCTGCCAAAAGGACGGTCGAACAGGATGGAAGCCTTGGGACAGACCCATTGTTGATACGACGTGAAGAGTAGGTGGCAGAAGAGTGTACACATGCTTACCAAGCAACAATGCGGTGACGTGGACGGCGTCTTCTGTCGCGTGGCATGCAAGGCTCATTCTTCTTCTTCGGAGACCTCACATGAACGCCATCTCCCTCACCAACCCAGCCTTCGTCCACCCCCTTGCAAAATTCCTCCCAGTATAAAGCAACAAGAAAACCCACCAAACCCGTCCAATCCACGCATCATACCACACCGATTGCTTTCCTCCCCTATCCCTCCTCCACCTCCTCACACCCCTCTTGATGCCTTCCTCCACCAGAACCGCAACGCCATTGAGAGCGAAAAACTTCGCCTCGCCAGCAGCATCCATCCATCTCCCTCCCAGAGTGCCCCTCACGCAAAAGGAATGCACGAGTGCCGAGCTGAAGAACCCCCCCAGGACTTTCCCGACATCTGCCGGTTGGTCTGCCGTCTTTCCGGTGAGTTTCCGCTCCACGTACTCTCCCGGCCAGACGCCCCAGACGAGGAACAGGCGAGCGAAGAGACGGTGCCAGCCGTAGGACCAGAACCCCCGTGCGGAGGTTATGGACCACACTCGGGTTGTGTACAGGGGCGGGAAGAAGGCCAGCGGAGAGGGCGCGAGAGGCGAGCAGAGGACGGCGAAGAGCGAATGGCCGAGAGAGAAGGCCGCCATGAGGAAAGCGCCCAGAGCAGCTGTCAAGGCGAATTGCTCCACCAGGGCGAGTTGGTCAAAGGGAGACTCGGGCGGGTTTTTCCTCGCCTCCAAGGGCGCGAGGCGATTGACGTAGATGGTCTTGATGATGGCCCACGCCGCTACGAGAACAGGGCCCACGTGCAGCAGGATCGAATGCAGACGGTTCTGTGGCGTCGGCAGCCATGTCTTCTTCGTATGTCGCACGTCCGCCGTCGTCCAGGTAAATCCCACCCCGCGCATCGACAGCTCCAACTCCAGTGCCCAGGCCGCTCGATCAGCAAATCCATGCGGCCAGCCATCTTCCGTATGGGCCGTCTCCACGACTGGAATAGGTCTTGGGCCGTCTAGTAGTCTCTTCATCATCGTGGTGTATCCTTCATCCTTGGAGAGGAGATCCGTATACGATTCCGAAGTCATGTTCTCCACGAGATCAGACCTCGAAACCTCGCGCTGCACACTAGGCCGCTTCTTCGCGGGAGAATCGGTTTTAGCCAAATCGCTCTCGTTGTCGGGACTGTCCTTTTTGGGCGGCAACGAAGGCTTTCGTAACATCCCGTTGTCGCCCCCGTCACTCCACGGTCTCAGGTCCACTTCTTTCCTCGGCGTCTCAGCACGCAGGTGGTGCGAGTACCGCACGCGTCGCGGCACGTGGCCCCAGCCATAGTAGCTGATGAAGAAAGCATCCAGAACTCGGAGGCCCCCGTAAAGACCCACGAGGCCAAGCTGATATGTCAACCCGATGCTTTGCGGAACATGGTATGCCAAGGGCAGCCGGAGGAAGAGGTACGCCGCTAGAGCCGCCAGCACATTCCTCAGGAATCCAAGCTGAATGCTAGCGACGGATGGCGGCGGGGGAGGTGGTAGGAGAAGCAGAGCGATATAGTAGAGTAGCACCGGGCAGAGGATCGCTTCGACAGTCAGAGGTTTTGTTCCGGGGATGGGCTTCAGTCCCGGTCGCGGCTCAGCCGTGAAGGTGGACTGGCAGGCATGCACAAGAAAGTCCGGGATAGGCAGCCAGGCCATGCTTGACAGTCAATTGTAGTATTCAACAGATGCATGCTTGTAAGGATTTGCTTGTCACCTTGTCTCTCAGAGGAACCAATAGTCGCCGAACTCTAAGCTGTCTCGATGACGCTGAAGATTACCTCGCGCCGTACTCACGTTGGCACGTGATCGTCAAATCATACATTGGCATTAATGCAAGTACTCAGATATCGGCCGTTGCATGTCAACATCCACAACCTGATGCTGCTTCGCAGAACCAACCCAAGCTCTGACGTCAACGTCGGTGACATTAGGACCCAAGAGATCGGCAGCTCGAAGTACCCTTTGACAACAGCAGCTCAACCATCGCCAGATGCCGCCACTTTACAACCTCTGCGAGAGACCGATTACCCTCCACATTCCATCCGTCAGGATCTGCTCCGTATTCGATGAGAAGCAATGCAAGCTCTCTGTCCTCTGCTGAGGCTGCAATTGTCAAAGCTGTCCTACCCGCAGTGTCGGTGGCCAGAGCTCGAGCGCCATTTTCCAGAAGAAGCTCTACCATGTTTTTATCACGTTGTTTGACAGCCTGCAGCAACAGCTCATCCAGAGTATCCAGTGTCTTTCCAGTGTGGATCCATTCCTCAACCAGAATTACCGCATCTTCAGTATTACCAGTCTCAACTGCCATCCGGAGGTCGTCAATCTGGATTTTTGCACTCCAGGCAATGAGATAGTGCACGAGGACGCTCCTCGCAGTCCGCACAGCGTGGAAGAGTGGCGTCCGTCCGTGTCTGTCCGGCACATTGACATCTACACCGCGTTGAACGAAGAGCCAGGCGACTTGAGGGGTTCCGTACTGTGCCACGTAATGCATTGCACTAAAACCAAGGGCGTCAACAAACCCAATGTTGGCACCTGCACGTATGAAGGCGTTGACCAGCTCCGCGCTGCCCGTGCACACAGCACGTAGAAGCGCTGCGCCAAGGACGTCAGCAGCAGACGGTAGGGACGAGGCACATGGGGTTCGGTCCACTTTACTAGGAGTAGCTCCATATCCCTTAGAGTGACTCACGAAAGGCATGCGAACCAAGCTCGTCAGCGAGCCAATTGAGAAGGATCTTCTTGGAGGAGAGGGTTTTCCCTCGGGTTCACTCATGGATTGTTGCGAGGCTCGCAGTTGCCTCTGTTCCCACTGGCGAACTCGATAGCAGAAGTCAAACCGGCCATCGTCTTTGCTGCTCCACGTTCGACGCCATTTCGGAGGATGATGGCCTTTGCACGGCAGTCGGTGTTCGAAAATGAAGCCACAGTCTTTATTTCGTGACGCGGAAAGTAGATGTTTCCGCAAGTCTGCCTCGCAGACAAAGTTCAACTCGCATTGGCGGCAGCGATGGTATGTGTATCGTTGGTCAAAGTGTGCTCCTAGATGCGCGAGAAGAACTTCGGGTCTGCAGGAGGAGAACGACTTTCTGCATATTCCGCACGGAATCCGACTGTCAGCCCGTGGTCCTGGAGTGTCCACGGCAGATGTGTTGAGCAGTCTTTCGGAAGTTGTGTTCGATAATCTCGTGCTTTGAGGGAGGATTTCCCGTCGTTTCTTGCTCGAGGATGCCGGATTGGAAGCTGTGTCTGTCGAGTACGACGAGCCGGTCTCCCGCGATACGTACACCATCGTCAGACCGGCGTACTCATGACAACCTCCAGCGAGTTCGAAGCTGAGAAGATACACTGTTGCTGCCAGCGAACTGTAGAGGAGGGAAAAGAGAAGCGTCACCCCGAGAACTCATCGTGAGAGAAGACGGTACGCTGCGGACTGCCTCAGCCTCGAGATGCCGCATCTCTTTCGGCGCGTTGGTCCCCCACCACCATGATGCTATCCCGGAGTCCGCAGAACTTGGATGAGGCGTTCATGAGACCGCGTCCTGCAGGATGATCGGCCAAGCGTCATAAGTCTAGGATCCGTAAGGCGGTCAGATAGCACTTCCTTTTTGGTGTCTTCGCAGTCTTGAAAATGCTGTAGCGATTCTCGGCATGCATTTTCTCGGCACTAGGCTCGAGACTCTCGCTAGGTCTATCTTCTCTCGGGTTGCTCGAGCATGATACAACGGCATTGTCCGGGAGGTGTGTGAGGTAATCATGCGCCAAGAAAACGAAGGTGTAGTACAAGCCATGCAGAGAGGTGGTATGCAGTGAAATGGACCGTATAGCGCGGCCTGCCAAGTTGAAAAGCCGAGCTGACATGGAGCGATTAAGGTTTCCGGAATTTGGTAGGCCGAGCTCCCTGCCCATCAAGAGTAAGCGAAGAGGTGCATGTGCTGATATGATATGCATTAGAGGTATGCAGGCGAAGCTACGATCCTGGTAGATGCAGCACGTGAGGGTGTGTGACCCAGAGTGGAGGCATTTTTTTCCTCCGATAGTGCTTTGCTGAGCTCTCTTGGATCGATCATGTGAGATGGTCGAGGTGATCTATTCGGGGTCAGTGTTTGCTGTATACTTGCCCGGTGACCGCCATCATCTCTGCAGGGTGGTAACACGACTGCGGCAAGCGATCGAAGAGTTCCGAACTTCTCACGCACGATGCTACTTTGGCATCGACGATACTTGGCAACTCTTCTGCGTGGCCGGTGTTGTTCTTTCGACGGCTTGGGTAGCCGATACCGCCGCTGCTCATGCCCTTATACCACAGCTCTTATCGACGTCGTGACCTGGGACTCTAGTACCAGATAAGTCCGAATCAACTCTCAAGTCTCATCCTCAAACTCCAAAGCCTGCCGTCTCGCAACCTCTCTTACCTCCTCATCTTCCTTGTCGGGGATGAATTGCCTTATAACCTGCTCGACATACGCCTCAGGCATGCCCTCCTTCACTGCATCTCTGATGCCCATATTCATCCTGTAGATGTACTCCTCCTTCGGCGGCGTCTCTTTAGTCATATCGCGATTGATATAGACCAACATGTCGACTCTCTTCGGATCCTTGCTCGTATCAGGTTTCCCATTGCTCCATCGAAACGTCGTATTCTCTTCGTTCTCCGCAGCCGCTGCATCCGCGGCATTCTCGCTAGAGGGCCAGAACTCGCATTCGATCCATTCTTTCTTATATGCGACAGGGACGCCTTCGTTGACATCGAGACGTTCTTCGTCCTTGCGCTGAAGCGTGTATACAAGGCCCCAGCACTCGTGGGTGTAGTCGTACTCCTTATGATCTGCTTGCTCTGCTTCTTCTACGATGTTGGCGTAGCCACGATCGTATATGATCCATCTGTATCCTTTCAGTCGTGCGATTCCGAGGTATTTGGATGTGGGACAGCGTTGGCGCATCTGGTGTCTCCAGAGATTGGAGCCGTAGCCGAAGTAGATGGTTGCTTTCGAGGCGTCCATGCTTTCCGAGCTCGACGCGATGCTGATGCGGAGGACGGAGAAAGAGGGAATTTCCATTGCAAGTACTGAAGCTTCTTGATCCTTCTTCAACCTTCACTTGCTGCTGCAAGCATCTCGAAAAGTGGGTCTAGAGAATGGTCTAGCGCAAACTCTAATTCTAGGCATTCACCTCCATTGCTATATTCCCCTCCGCTCTGTCGACCAACTGGTCGGCAACATCACATCATGGCCATAAAGCTCTTTCCACGGGTCTATTGTTCCGGCTTCACTTCCGGCCTCTCAATCTCAATCCCCTCACCGTCATGAATACTTTTCGTCAACGTAGAAACAAGCAGATTCATCTTTTCCATCTTCCTATTTCCAGTAAGCTCACAACATCCTTCAAACCTGCCGGGCCAAGTGCCCCTCGCGGGCGACGAGATCAGCAGTGTAAAGAGTTCCACCAAGAAGCTGAAGCCAACACCTCACGTATCAGCCTCAGCGGCATGCTCAGAATGGAAAGCAGCGACAAGGGTGAGATGAACATGGAGGGAGAAAAGAGAGAATTGGTATGGCACGAGACGACACACACACGCTCAAATCGATTTCGCTATGCATCCACGCTATAATAGACCCATTCCGTTCCGTTTCCGTTCCCATATCTATTAAAACGAACGGTGACCCCACTCCCATCCCAGTAGCGAAGTCCTGGTAGAGCGACAAAAACGCGTCCACCGCACAAATTCCCCGTGGAAAAGTCCCTCCGTGAGCGTAGTCGTCATGTCGTAAAAAGGGGAAAGGCAGCCAGCCTCGTTGTGTTGACTGAGAAACGAGGGAGAAGGCGCAGCAGCAAAGGAAATAGAAGCATGCAATCAGTTCCACTTTCCCTCCAAGCCAAGTCTCCCTTTCCTCCCTTTCTTCCTCTCTGTTATCTCTTCCAGGTCTTTCGATCACTTCCGAGGATTCCAAGTGAACCCTTTCCCATTCAATGTCCTCAACAACGCCTCGCTTCGCCTCGCGCCCGTTATGCAGAAAAGCGGTCGGGTATCATACTTCAAGCAACGCAATGTCCTCTCCTCTTCTTGGGCTTCCATTCCATCCGAGATGAGCTTCCACACACTTTACGATGTGGATCAAGTCGCCACGGAATCTACTCTCTCGAGCTCTGCATGCTCAGCTCCAGCGATGGTGTCTTCGCCGCTGCTCTCAGCCGCACTGTCATCTGCTTCGTCATCCGCAGACTCGGTTTTGGTTTCCTTGACGCCTTCCTCGCGGCAAAGTGGGCACGAATTACGACCGGTAGTCAGCCACTGATCTATGCACTCTTTGTGGAAGAGGTGATTGCATTTGACCAGCCTACGCGCAACTTCTTTGGTCTCGAAGTCACAGAGGCAGACCAGACAGCGCTGGCCAATGTCAAGTGTAACCTGATCGTCGCCTTCCACTGCGGTGGCTACCAGAGCTGCAGTCTTAGCCGCGTCCTCTGACATCTGCGGCGTTTCGATGTTGTAGATGCCACCAGCACTCTGAACATCTTCCTCCGTCGCGACTGGCGCCTTGGCCGGCCCAAGTAGAGCTGACAACAGCATCATATCTTCGTAGGTCGGATTCTCTGTAAACAGACTTGGCGTGGTGAGTATAGGGTGGTTTTCCGGATATGAGCCTCCAAGCACGTAGATTATCCAGCTGCGGGAGTCATTATTGCTGTTCCGGTTCTCGTTCGATGATTCGCCGTCATCCGACGTCGAGGACCGGGAGAGAGGTGGCACATTGTCTGGCTCCACTACGCCATTTCGCCGTGGATGTCCAGATGCAAAACGGGGGTAGTGAATATTGGGAGCCGTATCTGAACGGCGATGCACGCGGTACGGCTCCGGCTCTCCAAGCAAGCCAGTGCCGGAGTGTGTTGAATGTAGTGATGCCGTCTCTTCCGTGTGCGAGCTCAGTGGACTGGCAGCGGAAGACCGATGTAGGATGCTGTTCCGTCGAGAGTCATTGCTGAAATCGCGCACGTTGTTTGCAACGAGCGAGGTTGGTCTCGAGTGACTTGGAGTCGTGTTCCTGCTGGATATACGGCTGAGCTCGGGGCTTGGGCTGGCTGGTGTTGCTGGCGGCGGCCGTGGTTCGAAGGTGGAGCTCGAGCTTGCCATGCTCCATGGACGCTCTCGTCGCCTGTCAGGAGATCGATGATCGCGCTGATCGTCCATCCTGTCACTCAATCGGCTTCTGCCCATGCCAAATCCTCCCATGCTCGCTCTCCGCCTGTGCCTGAAAGACGTGCCATTCTGCGGCGGCCTCAGAATGGAATCGATGCTGTCGTGTCCATGCGTCCCGAGGGCATTAGCAGGCAGCGGCGCCGGGAAGTTGCCCAATGCGTCAATGAAGGGGGGTAAATCGTCGTTTGGCGGACCAGGGTTTGCGCTCGAGTTGGGGCTTATGGACCGAATGCCCACAATGATGATTGGCACCATGCGGCCCTCGTTGGCTCCCGAGTCACTGGATTCGCCCGTGACCGCCGACTCGCGGGGATGTTGAGCATTGTCCGTACCACCCGAAGCACCAAAGCGGAACATTCTGAAGAAGTTGAGTGGTGCGCCTTGCGTTCCTGGTCCATCGCCTCCTGTGTCACTGCCACCCTGCCTAAGGGCGGACGCTATCCGGCCGTTTTGCAATGCTCTTAAGAAACCATCAAAACTGCCGTCTTCTCCATTTCCTCCCAAATCACCCAGACCCGTGCTACCGGTCAGACTCCTCGCTTCACTCAAAGCATTGTGATCGTCTCCCATGAGGGTGGCTGCAGTCGCTGCAGCTGCCACACTGAGCAGTCTGCTCAGCATTGCGGCTTGGTCTTCATTTCCACGCGGACGCATAGAAGATACTGAGGGCGGAGGAGAGCGTCTTCTCCTCAATGAAGAGGTCAGGTGCCGGAAAGGTCGATCCGGACGTAGGGCGTTGAAGCGCGTAGTGGCGCGGCGCGATATCTCGTTGCGTGGCATGGACTGCTCGGGCTCAGGCTGCGAAGCAAAGGGTTCTGGGTCGAAGGATGAAGTGAGGTCGATAGACGGTAAGCGAGGCGGCGGGAAGAAGTCATCGCCGTGGCTGCTATGCTGTCCACTCCGAACGTACGATGTCCGGTGCTGCAGGAGGTGATGGGAAGGGCGTGAAGACGTGTGACTAGACTCTCGTCGGAAGACCTCGTGGAAGCGCGAACGTGTCCGGTGCAGCAGTGCGCTGCCTCGTGCTGGCTCCAAGCGCTCCTCCTGCACGTGCGGCATCTCGTCGGGTCCAGCATCATCGTCGTCGGAGGAGCGGAATAGGTGAGAGAGACGGTTCGCATTCACCGACCGAGGCCGTGGTCTCCGCCGCCGCTCGCTATTGAGCAGACCATCGTCCAGGCCATCCTGATTCCTGCCCGATAGCGAGTGCGGGCGGAGCGCTCTGCGGATGGCTGTCGATGCCGCCCTCCTTGGACGCTCTGCTCGCTGGGGCGCCCTTCGCTCCGCCGCTGGCTGGGAGGATCCTTGGCCCATGTCGGCCGCGCTGAGCAGGGTGGTGTACAGAGGCTATTGAACCATTCTCTGGGGTGTGTCCGTCGAGCGAGGGCTGGAGTTGGGAGAGAGGTAGCAGATCGGATAGCGGATACGGCGAATGCGATGAAGGTCGGATAGGGATGTGGGCGGGGACAGGGCGGAGGAGTGAGGTGAAGTCGTCGGTGTGGTGGTGGTGAGGTGGAGAGTTGGGAGTGAGCAAGACGGTCGAGGTTCAGTTGCAGGTGTGGTCATCAGCCTCGCGGCGCTGCTGCTGGTCTGGCACGCCTTCGCGGACGGTATGCGCCTTGATCCCGATGAGCGCTCGCTTCGCGCCGATTGGCTGGGCAGTGTTGGCGGATCTTGCACGCTCGCAAGCGGATGAAACACACCACCTCAGCAGTGCAGGAGAGGAGTTGGCTGGACTTGCTTGGGGTGTATATCGCAGCAAACCCTCGAGCTGTTCACAATTGTTCACAGCACAGCAGAGCACCGAACTTGCAGTGGGGTGGTGGTATGTTTGTTTGGCCTGTATGCCTCAGGCCACACGGCTGGCCCCGCCCACAGATAGATCGCGTCCAGGCCTTGACTGACCACGCGACTTCATCCCGCGCACGTCGCCGCATGCTGACATGTGATACTATACTTGGCACGTTCATCTGATTGCGGGAAATGGCCTCCTGCGGCGCATCGCAAGACTGTCTCATACTGCCCTGCCTCATCTTATTACCGCCCACGAGCTGAGCCGCAGAGCAGCATGTCCACCCTTGCTCCTATCTACAGGCCTGCCGCCTCTCAGCAATCCTTTCTCACTCGTGAGCAGAAGCGTGAGCGTGAGCGCAAGCGCAAGCGCGAGACCCGCGATGACCAGGCCCGTGATGACGATGGCGAATCCGATTCGTCCGACGAGCCCGTCGTGCAGAAGAAAGACGATGCCCCGCGAGTCCTGCACCCGGTGAACAAGACGGATCCTTATTATGTCGCTGGCCATCCGCGAGAAAAGCCGCTGCCCGGCGACAACTTCCCACACGCAGCGGTGAAGGAATACAAAGCACCGCAGCCACCTGTAGAGGAAGAACTCGCCTCGTTGAATCCGCCACTATACGTCCCAAAGGTAACACCCGAAGATGCATCTGGTTCTCTGAGAAGGCGCCATCTTGACAACCTCGCCGCCATTCTTCACCAGCGTATGTTGCATGGAGATTGGTCGAGAGCCTCGCGGGTGTGGGGCTTGATACTTCGCACTGAAGTTCAAGGTTATGGGCCGGACATAAGGCAAAATGGCCGCTGGATGATCGGCGCGGAATTGCTAATGCGACGCAATCAAAGCCTGGAACAGCAGTATCAGCGTCCTTCGACGTCAAGCAGTGCTGAAAGCGAACATGACCAAGGAGCGTCTGGCATCGCGATATCAGACGAGGGATTTCAGTTGGCTCGCGACTACTACCAACGTCTGGCATTACAGTACCCACACCACGCCCGAGCGCATCATTCAATTGTGACAGCCTTGGCCATATATCCAGCTCTATTCAGTGTATGGGTATACGAAATACAAGACCGAGCTCAACGCCTGCGAGATGCTGTCAAGCTGAGCATAAGTGACCGCTCCGAGATGAGCAGCCCTGGGAATGATCATCGGAGCGATACCTCAGAACGCACGCGGAGGATGCAGAACATCACAAGCAAAGAGCTGGAAAGAGCAGTACCGCTCGTCCAGCGCTTAGATGAGCTGATGTTGAATCCGCCGTATGATACCAGTTCTGAACTATTACACATTCAAGGAATGGTGTGTCTTTGGATCTCTGACCTTCACAAAGCATTGTCGGAAAGCCCCTCTTCTACGCAAACGGGGTCTTCGTCTGAAGACGAGCGTCTTCCTTCGCGAAGGCTGCGAAGCTCTGATGTATCGATACGACACCATCAACAGCAAGCCAGTACTCAAAGAGAAAAGGCGAAGAGCATTTTCAGAAAGATGATCGCCACCAAGATGGATGTCCCAGAGCACATCGGGGCATTTCTTCAGGAAGCCGGTGACAACGACGTCTGACTCGACCACTCTGGCTGAAATCGCACTCGGTAAGCATAACCTCACTTCTCTCAGCAGCGAATCTGATGGGAGACAAGCGGAGCCGACTGATGTCAACGACCAGCGAGGAGCCCGGACGAATCCCTCACCGCGCACGTGGCCAGAGTCTGAAACGTGAGAGTTAACGCACATCACGAACAAGCTGAAACTGGTTGATCTACTCAAAGTCAAATTTGTCTTCGCTGTCGATTTGCCTGCCACGTCGCATGGAACGAGAAAGCTGGTCCGTGTCCGTCTCTGAATTCTGTGTCAAGTACACCGTCTTTGCGCATCGGAATCTCAGGTGAACAGCCGCTACTGCTGGTTTTGCGCTGTCCAACTTGCTGCGAGCCTGGTTTTGCCCAGCACCCTTGGCAAGACGATGAAGTTTCACTGCGCAAAGATGATGTTCGTCTTACCGATCGGTTATCAGCTTGCCCAAAAGAATTGAAACTGGTTGCTAATATGCACAATGATATGAACGCTGCATGAAACAGCACAGGAACTACACGATGCACCTCACCATCGCTATTGGGGTACCACGGACACCTACGGTCCGCATCTATTTCCAGGACAAAGTGACATGGAATGCGCTTTGCCCTCGAGTAAAGAGCGGCAGTGTGCAATCGTGACTTTACCGCGTTTACCGGACAGGCCAGGGGCATTATCAACCACAGCGATAAGACCCATATCATACGATCGTACCCGCCGAACACAAAAGGCTGCATTGTTCGGAGACCCGAGACATGCCTGCAAGAGCGGCAGATGAAGAGATCGTGACCAAGGCGCCACACTTGTTTTTGACTTCACCCCGCGAATTGAAGGAAAATATCAAGTGAGGTCATCGCAGGAGTTGCATGTAGCAATGCAGTGGACCTAAGGAAAACCGAACACTCTGCTGCATACTCTGATGGACAGCAAAGTTTTAGTGCCTGCGATCATGGGTTCAAACCGGCGCTGTCTTCCACTACCACACTGCCTAGGTGCTCTCAAAAGGTTGGATGTTTCTCCACAGTCCGCTAGGAATTAAGCTTCGCTCAAGGAACGTTGAAGCGTGTGAAGGTTCAAAGCACGTGGAGAAATCGATGATGGCGGGAGAATGGCTCTCCTCCGGTGTGTCTGGACAGCTTTGCATCGAAAGATGCGCCGCACTTTACTCGATGGAGGAGAAGTCCACCGGGGATTTAATATGGCACATGTCCATTCGTGTTCCTCCTACTTGGCCGGCGTGTTCAACAATTACTTCATTCGGTCACGATGGTATCCGGTGATGTGCTTTTCGTACGGCATGTGGCTAACACGGCAGGCGCTCGCAAGGTTTGGCTACTAGATGGAGATGACCATTGAATGCTTTCTTCTGGGCGTTGGCTATTCTCAATAAACTGGACCCAGACTGCATCCAGTTCTTCAGTCGCGCTCCATCTCAGTACGCCCGTATCTACAACTCACGTCACTTCCCACAAGATCAAACTCGAGGGCAACTTGATCAGAAACCCAACAACCTTCCCTCTCCAGGCTGCCCCCCGAAGAAGAATTGACATCGACCGCCATTCTTCCCCTACCAAACACATGAACATGCAGCCTGCCTGGCGAGAAACAGACGCCAGCCACGCACCAAAGATCTCCGGAATGCTCACCATGGCCCGACTTGAGATCCCAGCAGGACATCCCTCATCAGACCCCATTTTCTGGCAACAAATCGAACAATCAAAATCACCTTCTTCCGACCACTCATCTTCCATCCGCTCATTCGCATCTTCGTCTTCATCATCTTCCTCAACAACCACAAGCCCCACAGAGAGCAAAGACAGCCCGACATCCTCCCTAGACGACCACCACTGGGCACAGATGTCCTTCCTGCTCTCATCATCACCTTGTCCTGCAAGTGGAGGGGAATGCCTGGCCTGTGGATACCGCTACGGTACGACGGAGGAACTGTCCCATCATCAAAGAATGGACCACGGGTTGGCCGAGGTCATCTTTTGAGAAATGATGTACTGTGGGTCTTGTGAGCTACTCATACGTGGTGTCGGAAACGACATCGGAAGTGTCCTGACTTGCAGATCAGATCAACAAAACGTGGAATCGTGTTCAAGACGACTGACTACTTGAGCGGATTCATGATGGGAGGTTGGTTTTCTGTCTGCTAGCTTGCTTGACAAACCCGCGCGTTTTGGGGAAAGATTTTCGATCAAACCTAGGTCACCATCTGCATTGCATGAGCAAATTCAATCGCAGTGTTGGTGAGGCACGCCAACCATCATCAATCGCAGACCTTTGGCACGAGGCACATGTCTATTGGGTGGAAAGTTGGAAGATGGAGAAAATTCCGTTTGCGAGGCTAGGCTAGGGTGTTGAAGAAGAAAGCTCATGTACGGAGGAGCCAGCCACCTTTCGCCAGAAAAGGCGGGCTTTTCCAGCTTTAGATTTCAGATTTCAGATTTCAATCAATGGTGTCCTTCGAATCATATTTCTCTCTCTCTGTGCCTCTGTACCATCGAACATTCCATGCCCACGTTTATACACATACCCCTCCTCATCATACTCATACTCATCATGCAGCCGGCTGCACCACACTCGACCGTCTGCGATCCGTCTTCTTCAAGCTCCTCCCGATGCCCACGAGCTGCAGCAATTCCCGCCAGAAACCAATCGGAGGGTCGATAAACGTAGCCTCGTACGCATCGATGGTCGGCCGTTCCCTGGGATCACACGCAACGTCAGCCTATATCTCATCAAGATGGCTCTCAGGAAAACTTACCAGACGAGGTCCGCCTCGGCAGGCTTGACGAATTTCGTGCGCTTGATGAGTTTCCAGAAGGTGAAGGTGGCAAAGGCTGGAGGAGGCAGGGTTAGCAAGCGTGCTCTTCTCGAGATTCGTAGGGCTGGGACGGACTCACCGACAATGACCATGGCGTAGTAAATGAACCAGTTTTCCGTGCTCCACGGCGCGTAGCTCGAATACCCATAGCAAGTGACAATCATGATCATCCAGACCAGACCAAGGTAGGCCGAGTAAGGCTGGAAGTAACCGCGGTAAGGGAGATTGCGTCGATCGAGCCCTTGTGCCTTGCAGGCGTTGTAGAAGCAGATGAACGTGACGCACATGACGATGTAGGTGATGACGCCGCCCGCGGTCACGAGGTTGATGAGCCAGCCGAGCACCTTTTCGGAGCCACTGCTCACCTGCAGGAAGGAGAGGCAGGGGAAGATGATGGTGAAGAGCAGGGCGATGAGGGGGACACCGCCTTTGGTGCAGTAGCGGAAGATCCTCGGCGCTCTGCCCTCGAGCGCCATTCCGTAGAGGCTGCGGGAGGCGCAGTAGGTGTAGGTGTTGCCGGCACTGAAGATCGAGGTGACGAGCAGGGCGTTGACGAGATCCTGCAGTCCGTGGATGCGAAGGTTGTCCTGTCATTGCCGAATTAGCGCAAGGCGTCAGTCACAATGGCATCCTTGGTGGTCTAACCATGGCGATGACATAAGGGGAAGCCGCAGCAGTACCACTTCCGCTCTTCTTTCCAGCGAGGATCGCAACGAGGGTGGGGTCGTTGTACGCAACAACAATACCGGCAGCGAGCGCACCTCCGATGAAGAAGATGGCGAATCGAGCATATACGGTCTTAAAAGCCGTCTTGATGAAGACACGAGGCCGCTTTGCCTCACCAGATACCATTGAGAGATACTCTGGTCCGACGATCGTGAAGGAGGCGCTCCATAGACAACCGAGGAATCCTTCGAATCGGCCGAGAGTGCCAGTCGATCGGTACTCTGCGAATGAGCCAGGATGGTTCCAGTAACGGAAGCCATAGGCGTCGTGTCGAGGATTGCCGCCAACCTAGAGATGTAAGCAAGTTTATTAGTACAAGAAGTCTAAGAACTCACCATCGTCACAAATGTAAAAGCGAAGAGCAAAAATATCAAGACGACTTTTCCGCCCGACAGCCCTTTTCTGCAGATTAGCGCAAGTCGTTCCAGTGGTATGCTTTGTGGTCTTACAAAACTCGGCTTCACCATATGCTCGTACTGCCAGTACGTTGATCAGGAAGTACAAGACCTGTCCAGTAATGTGAGTCGTGAGGTCTACACTGTGGCTCACGTGAGAACTTACAATGCAGGCGATGGGAACGCTCCACGGAGGAATGTCGTCACGCCAGAAGCCAAGTACGGTCGTCAAAGCCGTGATCTCGAAGGGGATGAGTAGAGCCTCGTAGAGGAAGAAGTTCCATCCAGCCATGAAACCAAAAGCTTCGTCGACAAAGTGGCCAGCGATACGGATGAAACCACCAGAGACTGGATAGAGCACAGTCATCTCAGCCATTCCATTGTTGACCAGAGCCAGGAAACATGCGTAGATGACATAGGCGAGGAACAGACTTCCCGGTCCTCCTTTGGCGAGTCCAGAGCCGATACTAACGAACAGGGCGGTACCGATGGAGCCTCCGATAGCAATGAGTTGGATCTGACGGTTGTTCAGACGACGATGAAGTTGGTCCGGGTTCTCCGCGACCTCGCCGTCGGCAGTTGTGACGATCTTGTGGACATCATTGTCTGCATATCTGTCGTTCCAGACGAGTGCTTCGCCGTTCTTCTCGTAGTCGAAATCGGCCATGACGGCATAAGGCAAGACTGAGAATACCACGAGGAAGTGGGTGGCGCAGCGTCAATTCTCTCTCCCACAGACAGCTGGAGAAATTGCACTACATACTTGTACATTCTTTCAGAGCTTCCAGAATACAGCACGCGACCTCAGGGTCTGGCAGGCATCATGGAGTTTGCAAACCCGTGGTGATTGTGGCCTAGAAGCGTGGTTCAAGGCTCGTGGCGTTGTGACTAGGGAAGGTGTGGAGATAGAGCTATGGGTCCTCGTTGGTCGTCTCGACGCGTAGCCTGATCTCGTCGGTAGACATCTTCGCCTTCTCGCTAACGGCAGGCCAGCCCGATCTACGGCGGATCTTGCAAGTCTTCTTTGCGAATCGCTTCGTGTAAGCTCCCGTTGCGGGAGTGGTGTCAGTCCATTTGGCCGAGAGAAGGGTCCCAGCCCTGGAGGTCACGCGACAGACGGTGTATATTGATCATTGATGGCATCGATCGTATCGTAGTCCCTGTGCTGTATTTCGATTCGTCATCGGAATGCCTATCCGCCATTGTGGCGGTGGTAGAACTGGAAAAGCGACTGGGTGTTCTAGACCACGGCTTGGGCTATCTCACCAAGATACTTGGCAGTCACGTGTGCTCTCCTGACCAAGGAGAAGACACAAAGATCAGTTCAACAGCAGCTTCGTGGTCGTCTCTCTCCGCAGTCCTCTCCGCAGAGGTTGTCTCCTCCGGTCTTCTGGAGTGAATTGGTGAGAGTGCGGCCGGGCACATCTTGAGGCTTCCGTTGGCGCGTGGGAGGTGGTGTCCACCCAAGCCTTGAGGGCATGATCCATCTGCTGCCATCTGGTAACGTCATCTGGATATGCCAACTGGAAATGCCAACTGGAAATGCCAACTGGAAATGTGTCTATAGACACGATGATGCTTTTGAGACGAGCAAGGAAGAGAGAGCTTCAATTGCTTTGCTAAGCGAGCCAAGTCTGCGGTGCCTCAGGCATCCTAAGCCGACTTCACCTCATACCCCGCTTGACTGCAGGAGCCTGCGATTTCACGATATCGTCCTGGAAAAAGTCCTGGAAAAAGTGCTGCTACGGAAATTCGGCCATGACATAGACAATTACTGATCAGTATGAAGACGGACGCCTTGTTTGCTGGCTGGACAATAATGTCCTAGGCTCGGCTGGGCTGGTGGAACACACACACACACACACACACACACACACACACACACACACACACGCACACACACGCCGATCACTGCCACTCCGTCACTAGGTGCCAGCCAACCAGCGCGGCCAAGCATCCACTTCCGGCCGACGCAGAACGTCCATTCCAAGGCCGACAAGCAAGCGTGAAAGTCACCCACTCTTGATCGTATGCCTCTAAGCCTCTACACATGTGCCCACCGGACCGCCCGAGGCCTGGATGCATACCTCTCGACCATCTCCTGGCCTTCGAACGCATGCAGACCACCGTCTCACCCGATGAAAAGTGCTGGTTGCCACTCGACAGGCGCCTTCGAGTGCCACCGCCTCCAGATTGACACCTCCACATCCACAAGGTCAAGTAACCGCATGCCCCTGCAGGTTTCTGCCGAAGAGAACCTTTCGAAGCAGAGTGGCCTATCCACTTGTTGGTGCGGCTCGTGCAGAAGCCTTCATGGGTACCATCTGACCAATAGATGCATGTTGCCTGCCGATCACCTACTGGATTAAGTAGTCCCATCTAGAGGATCTGCTCGTACCGAGCCACGAGCTGCGGGACCGGTGGACAGGAAGTGCCCAGGCTCTTAAATAGGTAGGACACCACCAAGACCATGTTCCCTCCACGCCCTCCGTTCAAGTGCTGTCGTAACAAGATGACTCGCTTTGCCCTTCTGTCGTTGCTGACAGCCGTTGCCATCGCAGCACCGTTGGATGAGCGTCAATCCGGACCATCCGTAACAATCGAGAATGGGACGGTAGTCGGGTCCTCCTCAGAAGGCGTCGATTCCTTCAAGGGTATCCCATACGCCCAGCCCCCGGTTGGAAATCTGCGTCTGAGACCCGCTCAATCCATCACCACGTCCTTCGGCACCATCCAGGCTACAGGGTCTCCCAGCTCGTGCCCGCAGTTCTTCACGCAGGTCGATACAGACAACGTCCCTGAGGATGCCGTCGGCGTGCTCTTGGATTCGCCGCTGCTGCAAGAGGCCACAATGTCCTCGGAAGATTGCTTGACGATGAACGTGCAGCGTCCAACTGGAACAAACTCATCCAGCGATCTTCCAGTACTTTTCTGGTGAGTCGTAGTACAATCGGCGACCGGTCTGTAGCTCAGGTGCTGATTTGATGCAGGATCTTTGGAGGAGGCTTCGAATTTGGATCGACCAGCATGTACGACGCCAGCTCTATCGTACAGCAATCCATCAAACTCGGTCAACCAATCATCTACGTGTCTGTCAATTATCGCCTCGGCGGTTTCGGATTCTTGGCTGGCAGTGACCTTGCAAAAGAGGGCTCCACCAATCTCGGTCTTCGAGATCAACGCATGGGTCTACATTGGACAGCCGAGAATATCAAAGCTTTTGGCGGAGACCCCTCCAAAGTCACCATCTGGGGTGAGAGCGCCGGCTCCATCTCAGTGTTCGACCACACCGTCATCAACGGCGGCGACAACACTTACAACGGCAAACCTCTCTTTCGCGGCGGAATCATGAACTCTGGCTCCGTTGTCCCAGCTACAGATGTCTCCTCCGCGAAACCACAGGCAGTCTACGACACCGTCGTCGAAAATGCAGGCTGCTCATCCGCAAGCGACAAACTCGCCTGTCTCCGAAGCACAGACTACACCACCTTCCTCAACGCCGCGAACTCTGTTCCTGGTATCTTCTCCTACCAGTCCCTCGACCTATCCTACCTGCCTCGTCCTGATCCAGGCGACAACTTCTTCTCCCAGAGTCCCGAGATTTCCATAAACGCCGACAATTTCACAAAAGTGCCCCTCATCATTGGAGATCAAGAAGACGAAGGAACCCTCTTCTCCCTCGTGACAGACAACATCACCACAAACCAGCAACTACACGATTATGTGGCATCCTATTTCCCCGCCAACCCAACCGTGGACCAGGACGTCACCAACCTGTTGACCTATTACCCCGACGAACCCCTCGAAGGACAACCAGCAGGCTCACCTTTCCGGACTGGGCCCCTGAATAACATCTACCCGCAGTTCAAACGCCTAGCCGCTATCCTCGGAGATCTGACCTTCACCCTGGCCCGTCGCGTCTACCTCGAAACCATCCAGCCCAAACAATCCCAACCCACCTGGTCCTACCTCTCGTCTTTCTTCTACGGAACCCCCGTCCTCGGCACTTTCCACGCTTCCGACCTCCTCTTCTCCTACGAACTCATCCCGGGGCCGAACGAAGTCCAAACTACTTTACAGACATACTACGTCTCCTTCGTCAATTACCTCGACCCCAACGCGCTGGGAAATGTGGCGCCGATGATTAATTGGCCACAATGGACGACGCAGAGTCCGCAGCTGATGAATTTCTTGAGCCTCAGTAATCAGATCATTGAGGATGATTTCCGGAAGAATGCTAGTGATTATCTGATGACTTCGCAGGCGAAGTATAGGATTTGAGTGGATGTAGTCGGAAGAGATAGGCCAGGCTCGGCACGTGGAATATGAATGGAATCAGAGTACGGCGTCCTCTTCGCGGTTGCATGTTTTGTGAGCACAGACTAGGGTCGAGACAAACATCCGAGGTCGAAGATGTTGTACGCAGGGATAGAAGGAATAGTTGCGTCCGTACCATCCCAGACAAGCCCGCTCGAGAAGAAGCGTGTGGTGATATATGTCCAGCTTATTCCATCAGCTACGCCTATCCGAATGAGGCCGGTCCGTACCCAGATCCTTCGAACAAACTACCTCATTATTAGCACAGCGTTCTCCACCCTTTGAATGGTAAATTAGGAGATTTCGGAAGACGTGAGGTTGATACGAAGAGGAGCCGACGGACGGATTGGGGACAGGAACAACCTTTGCCCCACGCAGGGGTGGCCCGCCCTCCGCTGATGATTGGCACGTGATTGGAGCTTCTATGTTGGGCGATGACGAGTCACGGAGAAGGAACAGCTTGCCTAAGGTCTCACTCACTCACTCTCTCTCTCTCCATTCGCTGCATGTACCCAACCCAATCCACAGCAATACACCGATGCGCCCCTCATCCTGCTGTGTCTGCTGCCAACACCACCCGTCGCGACCCTAACTTACCCGGCGCGCGCCTGAGACATCCGACATCAGCATGCCCGCGTAGCCCCGGCCGCTGGCTTATTGTTGCGAGCGCGCTTCACGTCACATGTATCCCGCCAATACTGCTCAGCTCCCGATCAAGATACCACAGCACAGGACATGAGCCAAAGCAATGCCCGCGCCACCTCCGCTCACTCCACCGCGTCCGCTCTGAGACCTCGCACCAAACGCCTGATCTCCGGTCTGGATGAGGGCGACGAGGCCACCTTCCAGCCCGCCAATGCCTCCTCTTCCCGCATAGCCTCGCCCCTACCTTCCCCCTTCGAAAGCCGATCCGCATCTCCCATACCTCCCGCCCACCCACAGAGGACCAGTCCAGATAGCCGTCGGAATAATGGCATCCTTGCGACGGCATCGCCGAGCAGAGCTGGCTCAGCAAGGCCGAAGAAGGGCTCCGAATCGCCGTCGCTGGCTGGCATATTGGGGAACTCATGGAACGCCGTCCAAGCTATAGCTACTGATTTACTTGGCAACGACCTCGCGGGGCCCGATCACAACGATAAAGCGCGCTCCAGGCGACCAGTGGGTCGCATGCAGAGTGGCCCGCGATCATCCACCAGCGCACCGCCCGCCCACTGGGGTCCCAACATGCCCACCTCACACCCACGAGCCGGAGTTGGGGCCATCGGAGTCGGTACGACAGAGGAGCAGGCCGCCGAGTTCAGAGCGCGAAAGAGGAAAGACATGTTGACTGGTGAGGCGGGCGGCTACCTGGATGCTCTGGGGAAGTTTAAGCGGAGGCTATCTGATGAGAGGAACTCCGTGTCCGCACCGCCGGGCGAGAATGAGGACCGAGAAGCTCTGGTATATCTCCATCACGTCAAGAAAGATGACACGTTGGCCGGAATCACCATCAGATACAACATCTCCGCAAACGCACTCCGAAGAGCTAATCGCATGTGGCCGAATGACACAATGCTGGCGAGGAAAACACTCATCCTCCCCGTCGACGCTTGTTCAGTCAAGGGCAAGCCCGTGCCCGATCCTGAAGGAGAGACACACCTGCTCGGTTCGGAAAGCGAGGCCTTGTCGGCCCTACAGGCTGAGGAGGTCCCAACACCCACCGCGGCCACTCCGTTGCCAAATGGCGCTTCAACTCGCGACGCAAGAAACAGGGCCCGTTCTGCGTCCACCAACACCACATCATCGGTGGCGACTTCCTCGCATGCGGAGCATGAGCAGCCTTGGCAGCACGACTCATGGGTGTTACTTCCAGGGCACAGCAAGCCAACTGAAATTGCACGCTTACCACGCAGGGCGTTGGGCTACTTTCCCCCTGCACGGAGGAAAAGCAACGCCCTCTCCGATCTCGACACGCCTTCGTCTTCACTCGAGCTTCCGCGAAGCAACACGGATGTTTCGAGTCGCGACAAAGCCGCATCGCCTCAACGACATCGGCACGCACGGAGGACGAGTAATGCTGCGAATGGCTACTACCCCAACTATCTGAGTGGGCCTGGTGGGGTTGGTACGATGAGTAGGAATGTACAGTTTCCTGGACCTGCACAAGACGGCCTGAACAAGATGTTTGCGAAGCACCTTCCGGATGTTGCACCGCCACGGAATCAAAATGTGCTTTATCGGCCCGAGGTGCCGTTGTATACTGATGATCCGACGCCCGTCACGTCGGGGAGCGTGACCCCTGCTTTCCCGCACTCTACTGGCGGTCCGAATCTGAATTTCAATCTAGAAGCGCTGGGTGGAGCGTTCGAGAACTGGGCAAGACGCATGGCGAATAAGGCTGTGCAGACGCCACAGGGTAGACGAGAGCCGGCGCGAGCCTCTGTGGGTACGCCAGGAAAGGGCGCGGGTGGCATTGGCGATTTGATAGAGATGACTGACGAGTTCGAGATTGGGGGTGACGAGGAGGACGCACACGAGGAAGATAGAGGGAGACCAGGGTCGAGCACGAACGTTCCCCTTGCGCCTCCCAGCAGCAGTGCGACCAGCTACTCGGATGGTGCGACGCTTCGAGGCCGAGGGACGTCGCACGCCAAGAGCCGTGGGAAGAGCGGAAAGGCGGATTGAAAGAGTATTGCATATGCAAGGCGTTGATTTCTATCTTCGATACCAAAGGAGCAAAGGACATTCTACCGACATGACGACTGGGCATCCCATTCACATGTCATTACTACCTTAATAATAATCGGTCCCGAATGTGCATACACATATGTGATAGTCGGATCCTACATTGCCTTACAGCCGGCGGGAATAAGGAAGACACGCTAGGGGCGGGTCCCTCCCCAGGTCATGCGGGAGCCAATCAGGATGGTGGGATGTGGGTGGGAGATGACTGACCGACCTCACAGCACAAGCTCCATTTCCAGCTCGAGCTTTCTCCATCCACATCCGCCGCCATCTCGCATTCTCGGCAGTGGCAGAGCTGGAGGCGAAAAGCAGTGCAGTGGGTGTTTCTTCTCTTTCCAGTACGACTTGGTCTTCTTCCCCCTTCCCCTTCCCCTTCCTCTTCCTTTTCTGTATCGTTTGGCTGCGTTGGGTTGGCCAAGGAATCGCATCGCGTCGTTGTCTTCACTCCATCTTCTTCCGGCGTGAACAGAGCAAGATTGGGGACATGGTACAGCCAATGAATCGGGCAATCCTGGATTGCTTTTCTCTCCTCCGCTCTCCTTCCTCCTCCTCCTCCTCCTCCTCCTCCTCCTTCTTCCTTCAACGCCCCAGCACAGCCCTGCGAAGAAGACGGACGCCAATCTCCAGCACCCACAATGCCACCGCTCAGCAAAGAAGAGGCTATCTAGGCCAATCTCAACGCAGAAGAGCCACCACGGCCGCCGGCGCGGCAACTTCCTCCTCCCAACATCCCATCATCGACCACCACTACGATGCCATCGTTGTTGGAGCAGGCGGTGCCGGTCTCCGCGCCGCCGTCGGTCTCGCCGAATCCGGCCTCGAAACCGCCTGCATAACCAAACTCTTCCCCACACGCTCCCACACCGTCGCCGCGCAGGGAGGCATCAATGCCGCGCTGGGCAATATGACAGAAGACGATTGGCGGTGGCATATGTACGATACCGTCAAGGGCAGCGATTGGCTGGGGGATCAGGACGCCATACATTACATGTGTCGCGAAGCTCCTAAGGCGGTGTATGAGTTGGAGAACTACGGGATGGCGTTTTCCAGGACGGAGGATGGGAGAATCTACCAGCGGGCGCTGGGGGGCCAGAGTTTGAAGTATGGAAAGGGTGGACAGGGAGTCAGGTGCTGTTCTGCCGCGGATCGGACGGGGCATGCGATGTTGCATACGCTGTATGGGCAGAGTGTCAAGGTACGTTTGGACCGAACGGGAAGTGGTGGATGAGTGCTGAGTTTTGCGGTTGAAGCACAACACGAACTTCTTCATCGAATACTTTGCCATCGATCTGTTGATGGTGGATGGAGCCTGCGTTGGTATCCTCTGCATGTCCATGGAAGACGGCACCTTACATCGGGTCTTTGCGAAGAACACGGTCCTTGCGACGGGTGGCTACGGACGAACGTACTTTTCCTGCACTTCAGCACACACATCTACCGGAGACGGAAATGTAAGTCATTCTTTCGAGCAGAAGCCCGTCACATCTTTGACTGATTTGTCACAGGCCATGGCTGCACGAGCAGGCCTACCCAACCAAGACTTTGAATTCATCCAATTCCACCCCACAGGGATCTACGGCGCAGGCGTTCTCATCACAGAAGGCTCCCGCGGCGAAGGCGGCTACCTGCTCAACGGCAACGGCGAACGCTTCATGGAACGCTACGCACCCACGGCCAAAGACCTCGCATCTCGCGACGTGGTCTCCCGATCCATGCACCTCGAAATCCGCGAAGGACGCGGCGTAGGACCCGACAAAGACCATGTCTACCTACAACTCAGCCATCTTCCAAAGGAACTCATCTACGAACGTCTCCCTGGCATAGCAGAAACGGCCAGTGTTTTCTCCGGAGTCGATGTTACGAAGGAACCGATCCCCGTGCTTCCTACAGTGCACTACTGCATGGGCGGAATCCCCACCAACTGGAAAGGCCAGGTCCTCAACGTCGACCCTGTTACTGGTCAAGAGAAAGTCGTAGAGGGTCTCTACGGTGCGGGAGAAGTCGCTTGTGTTTCCGTCCATGGAGCCAATCGTCTCGGAGCGAACAGTCTCCTCGACATTGTCGTTTTCGGCCGAGCCTGCGCACTGGATATCGCGGCGAATAACGAAAAGGGGATGCCTCACAAACGAGTCCCCGACGACATCGGAATGGACCATCTCCAAGAAATGGAAAAGATTCGCAACGCAGACGGCGATAAGCTCTCGGCGGAGATCCGAACGGATATGCAGAAAGTCATGCAAGCCGATGTCTCCGTCTTCCGTACGCAGGAAGCGCTCGAGATGGGCAACAAACGCATGTCCCAGGTGCAATCCGATTTCGCCCACCGGCTCGCCGTGAAGGACAAGAGCATGATTTGGAATTCCGACCTGATTGAAACGCTGGAAATGCGGAATCTCTTGACCTGTGCGGCGCAGACGGCCAAGAGCGCCCTGCTGCGGGAGGAGAGTCGCGGGTCGCATGCCCGGGAGGATTTCCCGGATCGCAACGATGCGGAGTGGTTGAAGCATACGCTGTCCTGGCAGGGGAGGAATGGAGACGAGGTGGCGGTCGGGTATCGGAGGGTGGTGATGGATACGCTCGACCCGGGGGAGATGGAGAGTATTCCGCCCGTGAAGAGGACTTATTAGATGGGATGAGACGAGCGTATATGGCAATGAAATAAAATAAGTACCCTTCAGCACAGCATAGCGTGACAGTCAGTCAGTCCGTTCGTTGGTGCGCATGTCCGCCGTGAAGTCACGCATGCATGCATGGTGGCACTGATCCTCTCTCTCTCTCTCTCTTCTTATCTTCTCATCTTCGATTTCTCATCTTTCCGTCATTAAAGAAGGAAGCGTCCGAACTCGTCGTCCTTGGAAAAAATCGCCTTCTTCTCGGCCTGACTCAACGAGGCGAGAAGGATTTTTCCGTATGAATGATGTCGTCGAGGGTAGGTTAGGTAGGTTAGGTAGGTTAGGTAGGTTAGGTTAAGTCCTCCTCTGCTCTTAATTATGCATCGTCGATTTTTGTTCCCCCTCTGCTGATTGACTGCATGAACAACCTTCCATCTGAGAAGATAGATCAAGGTACAGGCCAGCGAACACAGGCATCGTGCGGGAACCAATTCCACAAGCTGGCGCGGCGGCAACTATAATTAAAGTGAATTTGACTTGTGGGATAGTAAGGTAGGACACTACTGCTCTATGGTTCAGTTCAGCAGCTGCTGTATTTTCTAAGTAGTTCTCTTTTCGGTCTTGGCCACCTGTTCTCTGTCTGTCCGTCGGTGGAAAGCTCTCATTCTTGCCCTGAATCCCCCTCTTATTAGATATGAAAACGTTGAATCGAAGCGTCGCCGTACGCGACCATCCGGCGACGATGGGTTGTCACGCAGCATTAAGGGGGATAATAATTCGGTCCAGTGAGTTTCAGTATGCTATACCGCACACACCACAGACACACAGCATCTTAATAACGAGACAAGTAGGGTGAAAGTGAAGGTGAAATTGCTGCCAAGATCTTAAATCGACGCATACCAGACAGAGCATTTCGTCTTTTCTTCTTAACGACAAACCTATCGATCGACGACGAGCACCAGGAAGTCTTTCGGCTTCGACTAACATCATAGGAGTCATTCTCTTCCATGCCGCAATCCGGGCGCTCGACTAGTTATCCGCCACGCGTGTGAAAGAGCATTCAGTCCATCTCCTGTGCCTCAAAGATTCACGGATCGTTAATGCCCAGAACTTATACCTCACACCTCACACATACATACATACATACATACCATCTGAAATCTCACAAGAGGTCCACAGGTTGCTCTGAGTATAGAGAAAGAAAATCCCAGCACCCGCTAAATGAATCTCATTTTTCCATCCGTGCATAAGGTCGTAGGATATATATATATAGTGTGGTGTCGTGGAAAAGCAAACTCGTACGGCGCCATCGGATGGATATGCCCCATCCAATCCAATCCTGCAGAGGAGAGACAACACGCCCCCCACGAAATAGTCAGGAATCCACCTGCCAACCACAGACATGCTGGGAGAGAAAATTAAGAACATCTCCCCGGGGAGACGTCTTGCAGATTTGGTACAGAGAAGAGCGGGAGCGTTCCATCCTACGCCCGCTGAGTTCCCGCCTCCAGCTGTCCCGCCGTCACTGCACTCCCCTGCTCGCTGTTTGGCTGCTGCTGTGAGTTTCGCCTGCCAAACCGCGGCACCAGATTGGGTAACCTGCTCCTCCATGTCCGTCCATTACTCCGAGATTCTGCGTGTCGCTCCGTCGCGGGATCTTGGTAGAACGCGTCCTGGCGGCGCTCTTGCTCTGCCCGTGTCGCTCGATATTGATCGCGATCAGAGGCAGAGTCGCCAAACATGCGCGGTGTGAACATCATTCGAGGTCTCAAAGGCACGCCTCGCCCGCCTATCCACGCCATGGATGGTTGCTGTGGCATGTTGTGTCTACTGCGACGGCCAGTGGCGGAAACATTCTCGTCTCCCTCTGCACGTGGTTTCGGGACGTAGTAGTCAGCCTTGCATAACGGACAGCACGCTCGCCTACTGGTGAGCCACGGGTCGACACAAGATCCGTGGAATGCGTGTCCGCACGTCAACCCTCGAACATCGTCATCGTCGTCCAGCGAATCCAAACAGATGGCGCATGTGTCTCCAGGCACAGCCAACATCTCCGGCGGCGCTGCAGTCCGAATCGGATCGTCTTCATCCTCCTCATCCAGGTCGTCCGCCCCCGAGTTGCTCCGTACGTCTCCCGATTCGCGCACATTCTCTGCCCTCTCCACGACAACTTCCGGCGTCTTTTCTGAACTCGACGTGGCCTGCGGTGCTGTCGACGGGCCCTTCTCTTCCGACATTGCATTCGCATGATCCTGCTGCGCTATGCTGAGTGCGGTCTGCGGCCGTGCAGAGTCACTCGAGTGTCTCGCGTGCGTCTTATTGTCCCCAATCGTGCCTTCTCCATCTCGTATGCTCGCCGCCCGACTCGGTGGTGCGGTAACGCCGCCAGCAGCAGGGAGTCCTTCCGCCTCTCGCGATGATCGCCACGTCTTGTACTTGATCAATGGGAAGCGCTCGTTCACCTCATCCATAGACATGAGCTTCTTCTCACGCCGCCTTCGTCGTGGATGCTGCGGCATGTTGCCGAGATCAATGGGTTCTCCATGTTCGTTCAGTGTGCGGGCGGCGCGGTTTCGCTGGTTATATCGGAAGCAGTATTTGACGCCGACGATGATCCTGTGATGCGGCCGAGAAATTAGCGTCATGTGGTACTAGAGTGCTAGAGCCGGGAGCGGGCGGACACCCATGTCGGGATAAGCATGTTCGCAGAAAGTCGTTACTTACCACAGGTTAGTAAAGACGACGCCGAATCCCAGGGCGACGAAGAAGAGCAGCGGCGAGCTGGTCGGTCCACCACCACCGCCGCCGCCGCCTCCTCCGCCGCCCGAGTTGCTGCTGCCGCCGGTCGGGGTAGGCGACGGCGAGGCGCTCAGTGTGGTCGACATGGTGCGCTGAGCGAGTGTGTGAAAGCAGACGTGGCGTGGCGAGAGATGGGAGACGACGAAGATGTCGCTCAGACGACGCTAATAAGATAACGGCGTCTGGAAGTGTGCAGCGCGATTCACCGGGTTACAGGCCTAAACCTTGTTTTGGAGTATGGGGAGCGAGTGCGGAGAGGGAGGGCGGGCTGTCCGGTGACCACGAGGCAGAGCACGGCGGAAGTACTCCAGCTGTCCAGGTACGTACACCAGCAATCCAATGGCGATGAGGCTGATGGATGTGGGATCCGCGTCCGTCGTCGACGTCGTAGATAAGCGAGCCGCGCAGGCGAAAGAGGACGGCAATGGATGACGCGGAGGAGAAGAAACAATCGAACAAGAGACTCTCCAAGACCAATGATCACGTCGTTCCTCTCGGCAGCCTTCACACACTCGGCCAACAACGGTCTCCGTGGTCTCTGTGTGCAGGTGAATAGTGATGGCCGGCGTTTCTCTGGGAGTTGGTGTCATCGCGCGGAGAGGACGGGAAGCAACTGCGAACCACGAATGGGAACGGCTGGAGATAGGGTTCGGCCCGCCCGGCAATTCCCAACGACCGGCCATTCGCCACACTGCGCCATCCTTGTGAAAGCTGTTTGATGGCAGTACAACAGAGTATCTTGTTCAAGACGCTATATACACTACACTACTATTCGCGATTCCAAAAGTCCAATGTCCATCCTGACGGGTATCTTCGTTACAAAACAGAGTCCTTCTCCAACAAAGCGAAACAAGCGAAACGCCAACAGAAGGAAAGTATGATGTTCACTTCGCAGGTGTCTCCGGCACCTCCCATATATTCTTCTCGTCTGTCTCCTGCTTGTTGCTCGAGATGGGCTGACTGCCAGCATTGCCCGAGCTTGGCGCAAATGGTATATGTCCCGTACTGCTAAACACGGGAAGGTTGCCTTTGCTACTCACTGGGCGGACGGGTGAAGCTGGTGCCGGTATGTTTGATTCGGAGGGATATGTTGGCATACGATCTCTCCACACCTCTGACTTAACTGGCGCCATGAAGTGTGCATTGGGCGGTAAGATTCCGTAGTCGGGAGATGGCCGAGGGCTGTCGTACCAAGGGCCGGGGGAAGTGCCGACAGTCGAAGATGGGGGTATAGCAGCCATGGTCTCTGCTGAATGCAAGGCTGGTGACACATTCGTGCGCCCACCGCTGTTGGTGTATACGGGCAAGTCTAGATCCCGGACTGGAGCATTGAAAGCCATCGGGTGGCCAGCATGAGGTGCAGCTTGAGTACTGTCCATGCCGTTAGCAGCAACAGCGTGCAGGGCAGAATCGACCGCGTGCTGTTCTTGAGCTATCGGTACAGCGGACACGCTCCAATCAGCTTCGGCGACGGGACCAGATCTTGCGTTTCCTGTGGCTTCATCCACCTGCATTGCATCGCCAGGATGGATAGGTGCCGCGACAGGTTCCGAGCTTGGTTGCGCAGTGCTAGGAGCTGCCCCAGAAGCGTTGTTCGGCGCGGCGGCCCTCTCCTCCAGAGCGGCCTTCTTCGCAGCAGCGTTGACTCTCCTCGTTTCTGCACCCTTTAGAGCTCTTGCTCTGCGTTCTGCGTCGAGCTTCTCCTTCTGCTTTCGATCATGCTCCTCTTTGGTCCCGCTGACCTTCAGGGTGATTCTCTTCATGCCAGACGTGAGGTTGTCCACATCCGAGTTCTTCGGAGCGGGAGCAGTAGAATGCCCGTGGCTTGTTGACGAACGACTCATTGGTGCTGAGACATTCGCAGTCTTGGCGGCAAGGACTGTACCCATGGTTGGCGCAATCACCTTGCGAGTCGTGGGCGGCTGGACTTTCTTGCCGTTCGCCTGAACGCTTGGTACAGGTATTGGCGGTGGCTTCATACTGACAGGCTTCGATTGCTCTGCCGGAATGCTGGAGGGCAGTGGTGGGATAGGTGGAGCATTTGCATCTGAATCGCCATCGACTTCAGCACTCACAGCGCTGAGCCGCCTGCTTGCCCTCCGTTGCTGCGTCGATGACTTCTCCTCCGACGGCAGTACCGAGATCGTCTCACGCCGGCTGGCTCGACTTTCTGCTCGACTGACAGACCTCGATTCGTCACTGTGTGCCTCAGCATGGACTGGGCCCTTCGCTCGTCGATCCCGAAGCTGTCTGGGCTGGGCAGCCTCCTTTGTCGACAGTCCCGTATCGCTGTGTCGTTCCTTGTTTCCGCGAGGTACGGCAAGCTCCTCAGAGGTGCAGCTCTTCGTCTGTCGGTCTGTTGGGATGAGAAGTTTGGAGAGCTCTTGCGTTGCGACGATCCAGTCGACCTCCGGAGGCGGTGGAGTCGGTGGCCGTGTAGGCATGGTGCCCTCTCGCATCGTGCCTGACACCGTGCGAGCAAACTTTTGCACGTCGATGACCTTGTATGCAAAAGATTCGGTGGGCGTTGCATACGTTGGCTGGGGTCCAATGCGGCCTTTCTTCCCTTGCGGTGGTGGTGGTGGCGGGTTGACCTTACTCTCCAAGGCGGTCAGATTGGACGCGGACCACCAGTCTTTCTTATATCGCAACGTGTCTTGCGAGCCGACTCCGTGGATCGAGAGGCCGTTCATCTGGCTCATGAGACCACCAAGACCACCACTTTCCATTGTAACAGGAGAGCAGCAGAGACCGGACAAGTGGCCGAGGACTCCGCTGCACAGTGCGCGATCGCTGTATCCACCCTCGAGCACGCTGATCACTCGGCCTCCGCAGCTGTCGATTCCCTGAGCGAGTTTGACGATGTCTTGTGTGAAGCGAGCGTAGAATTCTGTTGGCACATTGACGCTGTGCCGCTGCATCCCCGAACCCTCCCACTCGCTGGCATCGAAGCCTGCTGAGATGAAAATGGCCGCTTTGGGCCGCACTTTTCCTTCGGACCTGAGGCGCTTGTTGTGGTGTTCCAGGAAATTGTGCGCTTTCTCAAGCAGGATGCTGTATCGCTCTTCGTACAGCTGCCAGAACTCGTCTTCAGTCTTCCAGGGTTGTAAATGCACGTTCCAAATAGATTGACCATGAGCATTCTCGATGCACAAGCTTGCTGCGTGTACCTTCTCGTCGTCGCCCATCTCGCATGGATAGCTGTTGATGTCGTGAATACTATAGTAGCCAATGTCTGGGCCCAGTTTCAGCTTGCTGTTCGGCTTAGCATTCGTGCGTTTGACATGGTTCTTGCTATTGCGATTCCATGTGATAGCTTGACTGCCGTCTCCGTGATGTAGATCGAAGTCGAGAATTGCGGCGTGGGTAAGACCGTGTGTCTGTGCTGCGTATTCAATACCAACGTGCACGTTGTTCAACCAGCAGAAACCACTCGGATGATCTGCTGAACAGTGATGTCCTGGCGGTCGAACCGCGACGAAGGCTTTGTTGGTCTTGATACTAGGAGAGAAGACTGCATCGACGGCGTCTGCGACACCACCCAGCGCGCCCTGAAAAGCATTCAGAGACCCCGGTGCGAGATACAAGTCGCCCTCGTGCAGCGTCTGCTTTTCTGGCTCTCCGGGCGTGGAAGATCGGCTGAGCTCTGCTGTCCCAGCAGCCAGCTTCCCAGGCGCAGAATGACACATGCCTCGGAGCTCCGACATCCATGCCGCTCCATGGACTGCCGTCACATATGGAGATGTGATGTCCATCGACCGCCCTGTGCGCTTGATTTTGAAAGGAGGATTCCGCACTTCTGTCCGCTCGGGGTGGGGTGCCTGCTTTCCCTCCGCGTGATGCCCGCCCAGCCTGACGTACGCTGTTGATGCTCCCAGGACGCTCGCATGTATCCGCTCGGGTCGCTCGACGATCATGGAGAGGGTGGTCTTGGTGGTCTTGAGCCTTGAATATCGATGTCCATAGCAGGCGTCATGCAGTATCACCACCGTGTCCGCTTCCGAGTCCGCGTTTGAATGCCCCAGCAGCTCTCTGGCGAAGTGTTCTGTCGCTATTTCTGTAGCCGTGCGAGGTGTCGGCTCTTCGATAGCCTCCATTGTTGCCTGAGCCTCTCGGAGATTGGAGATGAGGTTCGATATGGATCGCTTCGGAGTCGGTCTCCTCTCGTGGTCCTCGTGCTGGGCGCCCAAGGAGCTCCGCGAGCCCTTCTTGACGAGTCGCGGGGACGAGCAGGGTCGGTTCAGGCTGGCGGAACTGGATGCGCGACGCACTGGCGCATTCTGAGGGCGCGGGGAGTGGTCGTGTGCGGGGACAGGGGAAGTGGCAGGTTGCGATGGTGGGCGCATGGATGCACGTGGTGTCTTGAGGGAGGGTGTTGGCGGGGCAGAGCCTGTGCCAGATATCGGACTGTTCGTCTCACCTGTCGCGGCGGGTGATGGCTGTCTCGTCGCATTCAGCAGCTCGTTGCCCGTCTCCAGCGTGATAGATCTGGCGGCAGGCGCACCGATGTCCGGCGGCGCGTTGGGATCCATCTCTTGTCGTCCTTGTTTGGTCGCGACTGGTCCTTCCGGGATGTCGCATTCACCGGGCGACGTTCGAAGTGTTGTGTTTTGGGTGGTGAAAACAAACGCGACGCGATGCGCTGTGCCGCGTGCACGATCTGTGTGCGATGATGTGCAGGAGGGTTTCCTGCAGGGTTTCCCGCCCGCGCCAAAGCTTAGTTCGATTCTATTCTTCACAATAATATGAACGATGCAACATCATGAATGCTTCCTGTTCAGTGCTTGAATGCCTCGCGGATCCTCGAGAGGAGCCGCTTGGCCCGGCTGGACGTCGGCGACTTCTCGCCGTCATCAGTGGTGGGATAATACACGCGCAGCGCGTCCCAGTCGAAGTCCTGTGGCGGTGTGATGCGGTTTAAAGGCATGCGCACACCCGCCCTCTGCTCGTCCCAATACACGACCTTCCTCTTCCTCTGGCTCTCCGCGCTGGTCGATTGGTCCAGATCATAGTATCCGGGCGCGTCCGGGCCTCGCATCGCCGCTCTCGTCGCGGTGCTGTAGTTCGACAGCGCTCGACTGAGCCCAAGTGGTCGCCCACGCTCTGCTGGATGAACGAGGTGCTCGCTCTTGGTCCTGCGTATCGCGCCGCTCTCTCTCATCCTGTTCTGCTCTCCGCGGGCTCAATCTCATGCAAAGACTTGTAGATGGATGGAATCCGGATCTCCAGATCTCATCAGGATCTCATCAAGGTGTCAAGACAAAAGCCCAGCCAGATACACGATCGGACGACAGCGGTCTTTTGAGGTGCAGAATGTACGCAAAGTATGGCTCTACTGACACGCGCTGTCTTACATCTCAGCAACGCGCAATTGGCTCTGACTTGGACGACCCTCCACCCCCGCACCGTTCAGAGCGCGTTGTTTACTGCTCGTATAGAAGAGAATTCGACATCAAGAGACCCTCTCCTGACCTTTCTTCCAATTTTAGGCTTACCAACACGGCGAAATCTCTTGCCGCATCTGAACCCTCGAGTTGCAACGTCACCTATGCATGCTACCCATTGCTTCTTCACAACCTTGTCTGGCTCCAACAGCTTCAACTGCCGTGCTGAATGCTCATCTCAAAGTTCTGGATGCACCAAAACAACGCATCCAATCAATGAAGCCGCTCATCTCGTTTCGTAGCGCAGCAGTGGTTCGCGTCTTTCTTGAGACACAATAAGTCTCGATAACGGAGAGTCTGGGCTGCCAGGCCTAGACTGTGGATAATACCTGTTGTCCATATAAGGATTTTTTCTCCAATTCTCCCTCCTCTCACTCGCAAGAGGACACAGGATGTGTCTGCGGATTGGCAGAAACTCTGCCGCGTTGCTCGGGAGACGTCTCTGCCATACGAATCACGCGTCGACTGGCTCTTGGCACGAGACAGACTGTGCGAGCCCAAAGGCGCACCGGAAGCTTCCAACAACGCCCTCGCAGTTACTTCGTACCTTATCTACGAGGATCAGGGCGACCAGAAGTACCGTCCGGTTTACCGTCGGTTTACCGTATCGGTGCAGGACGTGCACCTCGTGCGCACTCTGCAACGGGCGGTTCCTTGTGCGGTGAAGAGGTCCATCCTTCGGCCCGGATATGGGAGTGCGACGAGGATTTCATTCTCTCTCCTCAAGATGCAGCATCCCGCCCGTTCCTATCGGATTGACGAAAATCGGTATCGTGTAGACATTCATACCGGGCTCGTTACCACTTGATTAATGAGTTGCATGTCGATACAGATACTATATGCTAGGTATACAGAGACGAAAGATGTAAATCGACGTTGCCATTGCCGTCTACCGAACACCGCGAGCCCCCCTTGCAGCTGATATTATAAGCTTCCGGAGGCGTGCGTGCTAGTGACAATTCGCGACGGCGTATCCATCGTTACACGAAGGTATACATCCGTTGCCCTTTGTTAAGCACTCGCTACCCTAGATGAAGCGAGTCAGTCGTATGCGACCCTTTCTTTAACGGCTCTCTCTATGGACTTTTACCTCGAGGCAAAGATATGAGAAGCCATAATCTGGACCGCTGCCGACACAAGTACCGAACTTGTTATTTTCGGTCGGGTTAGATGGGGGAAGTTCGCAGTTCTGTGGCATTTTAGTAAGATAAGTAGATTAAATATAAAGAGGAAGACCATACAAAGCGAGCGAAAGAAGGCGTAAAGAAGAGCATCGCGACTATGGAAGATGCGACTACAGAAGGCAACTGCATCTTGACTGTTTCCTCTCAAAGTAGTCCTCTGTCGGCAATTGTTATCGAGGACAGAAGAAAGGTAAAAAAAGTACTCTTTGACGTAGAGAAACGTCCTTTATAATTCTTGCTAGGTCTTAGTCCCTGCTCCTCCCTCCTATCCACTAGCTTATAATATGTACAAGGGTCAAGCTATACTCTGTTACGGTCAGGCTATATTTTAATACAAATCGTGTCACGAAACACGTCGCTGTCACAAAAAGGCCGTCGAGACAGCTTTCATCTCCGCTATAGCAATCTCACGATTGCAAGCCCACCTCGCTTGGCGCCGGTCGTAGTCTTTGGTAGACATAAAAGTATTCGAGATTCTTAAGATCAGAGTATACGATAACAGGGTCGTTGTCCCTATCCTTCGCGGACTCCGACTCAGTGTCTATGTTATCGTCTTCATCTGCCGCCGATTCTGGTCTCTGCCCTTCGAAAGCAAGGACTATCGCAAGAGACACCTTGTCGTAATCTTGCAAATTGCATTCTTACCTTTGACATGAACGCTATAGAGTGCCATTCTCGTTATCGTCTAGCTGCGACACTCGGCTCCTCGTTTCCCTGCCAGGCGAACAGCTGCTGCTGCTGCCGCTACGCTAACCTCTTGAATGTCCAGGTTTTGAGCTTGCTTGCCTACCTTTTTTCAATGTTTACTTCGCGGAGAGGCGGCGGTGAAACAGAGGGAATGCGCTCTGTCTTGTCGATCTAGGCAGCGGATGAAACTCCTCGACGATTTTTCAACGGGTTCTCCACGTCTGGATTGAGGATGGAGGGTACCCATGGCTTACACAAGCTCTAAACACCTCCAGACAGCTTACTGAGTGCGCGGCGCGGACCTGACTGCGGGCTATCAAAGGTAGCGCGTCCGAGCGCTTGTTCAACCTGAGTTGGCCATTCCTCAAGGGTTGGCTTGCCGTCGTTGCTGAACTTCTCAGGGTGCTTGATTCCGCTCGAGAACTGTGCTCCGAAGATGCCCTTGTCAATCGTGGTGAGCTTCGTACGGATGGTCTGTTGTGTTCGGTAAGTGTGCGGAGTGTCTTCGCGATTACGAAGGCGTCGTCGGTCTTGTGATTTGAATGGTCTGTACCGGTTGTTCTCGTCTTAACTGTCTCTATGGTCCGACTGCCCACTTCATCCATCCGCCTTGCCTCTCTGGTCCCGGAAGGACGGTGGAGTGATGGAGCGGTGGCGTTGGTCTGGCGAAAAAGAGACGTTCCGGCGGTCAGGTGCTTGTCTGCGTACACGACCTCGCTCGGCCTGACGCTTCAAGGTAGCAGCTTCTTCTCGAATCTGGGAGATGGTGTCGTTCAATTTGGCGGCTTCTTGCTGTGTGATACTCGCTTGCGCCAGCTGCTGCGATTCGATCTAGTCTTCGCTTTCCGTTCTTTGTCGATCGGCTTGTTCGTCCAGGTCTTCCATTCTGTTCTTCTGCTTCTGATACTCATCGTGGCGGAAAGTGTTCAGAACTTTGACGCTGCTTGCCGACTCGAGCTCTTTCAGGTTCGCATGCAGTCCGATCGCTTCTTGTGCTGCCTTCTCGAATTTCATGCGGTTTAGCTCCGGTAAGTCGCTCGACCTCGTTCAACGCTGCGCGGTGATCTGCATCTGCCTCCTTAAGCAGGGCTATCGCGACTTGTGGATATTGGATGTCTCGATAGCATAGTGATATTTTAGAACGGCCTTGAAACAGCGCCATGTTCCGTAATACGGTTTATCTTAACGATATACGTGCCTCCCGATAGCTTGACCCTAGTAGATGTTACACGCCAGCGGATAGGGAGGAGCACGGGACAAGCCCTAGTAAGGTTATAAAGGACGTCTCTCTACTACGTTGACGCAGTTGCAGCATTTCCATCCTCTTCCGTAATAATTGCCACGAACTACCTAAAGGAAGCAGTCAAGATGAAGGTCCCTCTTGCAGTCGCAATTCTCTTCGGCCTTTTCGCGCCTTCTTTCGCTTACTATGTATAGTACCTTTATTCCTATTTTACTCTTGTTACTAAAACTTTACAGGCCTGCCAAATTGTTAACAATATTTATGCCCAGTATGGCATTTGCGTCGGCCATCTTAGCGATGCGGGGACAAGTCTTCGTTGCCTTGGGGTAAGACCTCTAATAATCAGATAGCGGTTGAAGGGTCGCACACGACTGACTCGTTCGTCTAGGACCATCCATGCAGGCGTAATGGCAACGGATGTACCCCACAAATATGTCCTTTCGCGACTTGTGGTCCCGCAGTTAGCAGCTCCGAGGTATCATAATACAAGACCCATCGCCGAATCTATGTCCCCTTTCGTGCTGCCCCACATCCTAGGAACCTTTTCTGTAGCTCTCTCTCGCTGGTGTATAGCTCTGTGCCGAACAGCCTGTTCATCTCAGCGTAGACGATGTCGAGACAGAATATGAGGGTTGCAGTATCGCGTCTTGCCTCCTCAATCACGCCCTTGCAGTCGTTCTACAAATTCAAAACATGGCCGCGGCTAACATCTCCGTTTGCTTTCAGGCACCGAAAGAGTTGCTCCAGGGCTGAGACCGAATCATCCTGCAAGTCGATGCAATCGTCGATGATGTGGCAGAGAGCAAAGGTTGAACCCACTCAGAGCCTTCACAACTTCTGTTAGTAAACGAGGTCGCTCGAACATGAAGCTGGCACAAACCAGATACCCATCTCCGGCTTCGACAACGGTTAATAGCTGCCGATAATCTCTTAATCAGTTCAACGGCCGGAACTTGCGCTTCATCTTCTCGTCGTTCCTGTAGAATTCCAATCCCACGGAATCGGTCGATTGAACGTGGTTGTATTTCCCTTCGTATCTTAGGACCAGCCATAGAAGGACATCCTAGCCCTTCTTCTTCTTATTGCGCGATCACGAGAAGGCAAGATAGGTAGAAATTAGCGCTCGCTAAACGAAGGCCGATGGTATAGCTCGCGGGACATAGGGCTCTGTCGTCATTGTTGTCCTCGCTCTATGACGATCCACTTTTGCAGCTCTGGACAAGAGTGGAAAGAGATAACTGTACTGTCGGTGTCGACATAAGAAGCATCCACATTCTCCCATAAATGGGAGGCCCCGCAGTGCCCGATATTCATTTGCCTGAGCAACGGTAACGTCATGTACGAAGCCAGGCCGCCATACAAGCGCCAGAACCTGGCTTGTGATATCCTTCTCACTCCCTTGGAACGAGTCCACCGCCGCCGCCGTGCGCAACTCTTCCCTCGGCTGCGTCTCTGGCATATCCTCCACATCATGTACATCCACAGACGACAGACCGTTGTGCTTGAGATTGCGCACCAAAGCACGCAGGTCTGCAGCATACATGCTGGTGACTTCGATGCTGGGAGGGATGACACTCTGTAGGTGCCGATCAGTAGCATCTCTGTGACGTTCTGATCCATTGCCGCCTTTTGAACACGAATGGTCTCTGCTCGGATTCTGCAGGACTTTCATCTCCGCCCCTTATCCCTCGTGAATGCGTCCGAAGCAGTGCATGAGCGGCCGGCTTGCCTCGACGGCTCTCAGAAGAGACTCGCATCCAGTCTGTTGCCCATGTGCAGTCGAACCCAGAACTCCCCTCGGCGGACCGTGTGTTCTCCGAACAAGATCGTGCCACGAACACCTGCCAACGCAACCGCCTCGTTGCCAGGTGGTAGACCGAACGAGCACGCCCACGCACTACCGCGACCGCCTCGCCTTATTCCCTAGACCGAATAAGCACGTCTATCCACCACTATCATCCACCACTGTCATCCACCATTGTCATCCACCACCTGACCGTCTTGCTATCCACCACCCCATGTTCTCGACACCATCTAGAATATTATCTTGCCATCGATCCTGGCCACACTTGTTCCAAATGCCCAATGCCCGCATTCCAACTGACAGAGCGAGACGAAAATCGAATGGCCGGCGCCGCCATTGAGGGTTAATTCATGACGTCGTTCTGTGGGATATGTAACGCCTGCTTGCTTTGCCAGTGGACCGGTCATAGGAGTGATAGTGTTCTTCTGGACGGTCGTCTTGGTCGATGTTCTGCTTTCAAAACCCCAGGCTTATGTCGGTTGCCAGCTTCGATTCCGCGTCGAGATCACCGAGCATGTGGAAGACTTTCTTTGTAGGCTGACGCCCCTCCCGCTTGGGTGAGATCACCACTGTTCAGAACAATATCCGCCTTCAGCTTTTGTGCGAGGGATGTCAAAGTTGTGAGTACTTGAGTGGCTCAGGAATCGTATTGTTGCCATGATGTTGGTCGATCTTGAAGGCCGGATGGTCTCAGGTCGTCGCCGATGCAGGATGTAACGAGCGAAGTGAGATGATCTGAAGTGACCGCATGGATGATTTGGGACAACATATCAGAACATTGGAAGTCGCTGTGCACTCAATCAGCAGTCCATTGCAAAGACGGATTGAATTGCTGGTTTCTTCTTTGCGGGAGGCTTCGCTTTCCGAGTCACGGGCAGTGAAGCGAGGTTTGGTATTAATCTATCAATTACTCTCTAATGATCGACTGTACAAGTATGCCATGATTCGTAAGGAGGGTGCGCCACAAATGCTCACATGTCGCTGTTGGGAAAAGCAAGGAGACTCATTCACTCGTACTCAGCCTCAGTACGAATGTAGCAGAGCACGCTGCCAATCTCCACCAGGTTGGTGCCCAGCTCGGCAGGCTGCTTGTTGGTAAAGGGAGCACTGCCAGGAATGACACCAGCTTCGTCCTTGTATGCGCGGCACTCGACGCTGTCGACATCGACATTGGGGTGAACACCAGAGTCGAAGCTGATCTCAGTGCACGAAGTGTTTCCGAAGGAAGTGAGCTTGTTGATCTCGACTGGTGCCGGCGAGTATTCTGGCGGTTGGGTGAAGGCGGCGGTTATTTTGACGCGGAGACCGATTCCGTAGTATGTGTCGCGTTTGGCAGCGTGGCCGGCATCTGGTGCGGCAGCTGCGAGAGCGGCAAAGGCGGCGATGATGATGCTGGTGGTGTACATTTTGCTCGTCGAGGATTCTTCACGGTTGGAGTTGTGTGGAGGTGGAAAGTTTTGTGTGAGTGCTTGAGAGTGTATTGATAACGTTCTCTCACAAGTCAGTGGAAGGCAGCCATATATACCCTGTTGGAGACGAGATTCGTCATACTCCGCATCCCAGGACATCTAATTGCGTTGTCAATGATACCCTGTGACAGTATACGACCATCTGCACGCCTGTGCGATATGAGTGTACGAGAAGGAAGGTGACATCTAAGCTGCGGCGGAGGGTTGGCTTCGTAAAGAAGCGTCATCGGAAGGATTCTGTCGCAGACTGTCCAGCTGCAGGGCGCAGTCAGCTGGAGTACGTGTCGGTGCAGCCGCAATCCCGCGACATGCGCAGTTACTATTCCGGGAATCAATCAGACCAACATGGCCAACCGATAGAGTAGACACCCGTGCTTCACATTATTGCTGACTTCATCTTGGCTGCTCTTGGCGGTCTCGAGACGCAGCTAGAGTCCATTAACAGATGTGATTTGGGAGGAGACGCGAGCTATGCGCCCGTTGTCCAGCTTCAATGGGAAAATGCTCTCGGTGGAGCTCCGAGCGATCGCGTCTTGGACGGGAGAGCTGTTTGTCGCATTCTTTCGCGGGAAATCTGCCTCTCATCAGCTGAGTGGAGCCTGTTCAACTCGTTGTGTTCGGTGCGTTCATCTTTCGGGCCTGGCTGGTGGCAGTCTCTTCCCTCAGATGAGGAATTTTCAGCTGATCTCAGTAACGTGAATGATTCTCAAGGCTTGCGTCCTGGCACATGCGAAGTGTGAGCCTTCTTTTTGATGGTGTGCCTTGAACAGCGCGCAGACGAAATTGAAGAGATGAAGTCGGCCGGGCAGACCGGGATGCCGGGTATAGCGGTTAAAAGCTGGCCGAGGCTCTGTCTCTGCCGACACCGCCGCGAACTGACCTGTGAAGATACCAATCTCTCTACTCTCTCACCTTTTGTAACGCTGCACTGCACATAAACAAGTCTCACCCGAACATCAGCCTGCGTCCTGTCCACCGCAAACATAAATTCATCAGCCCTGAGACCCGCCCGAGGAACGATCGAGCCCCAGACGACCATGACAAGGTAGCCTTCTCCCCACGATCCTCGATCACGAGTACCATGGCATCTCCAGAGGCAATCAGAGCCATGAGGAGCATCGCGCGAGCCAGTTCACGCTCTTTCGCCTTACAACGACAGACGCAAACGACATGCAGTGAATGCCTTGCCAGCAGGAGTGCGATTCAGCGCACAAACAGCAGACGGAGACCTTGGCGAGCTCCGGTGGGACGTTCAGCAGTGTACAGATCCATACAGGTCCGAGCGCTATCCTCTTCGGCGGTGTACAGGAAAGAGACGGGTCCGATTGCAGAGTACGATCACAGAGTACAGTCAGGCCGGCTGCGAGACGATGAACACCAGAGGAATCTAATACAAGCTCTACAAGACCTGCACGAAACACTCTCAAGGTACAACCCGCCAGGTGTCGTACGGCCTACGATCGAATCTCTTCAACCGAAGAAAAAGTCATTCTTTGGGCTGCTGGGTGGAGGAGGAGGCAAGTTACAAATGAGGCCGCGCCCGGACCTACCCAAAGGCCTGTACATGTACGGCGATGTCGGGAGTGGAAAGACAATGTTGATGGACTTGTTTTACGACACGCTGCCGGACAACATCACCCATAAGACCAGGATACACTTCCACAACTTCATGCAGGAGGTACACAAGGAGCTGCACAAGATGAAGATGCAACACGGCAACGACATCGACTGCATTCCCTTTGTGGCGGCTACTTTTGCGGAGAAAGCGAGTGTTTTGTGCTTTGACGAGTTCCAATGCACAGACGTGGCAGACGCCATGATCCTGCGAAGACTGATTGAATCCCTCATGGCCCACGGCACAGTCATCGTGACGACGAGCAACCGACATCCCACAGAACTCTACAAAAACGGCATCCAGCGCGAGTCCTTCGTTCCGTGCATCAACCTTCTCCTCGACCAGCTGCGGGTCCTCAACCTCGACTCAACAACAGACTACCGCAAAATTCCACGCCCGCCCTCTGGAGTATACCACCACCCTCTCGACACCGCCGCCAACCGCCACGCGGAACACTGGTTCAAGTTTCTCGGCGATTTCGACCATGACCCGCCTCACGCAGCAACTCAGACAGTCTGGGGTCGCGAGATTACCGTCCCTCGCGCATCGGGGAAGGCCTGCTGGTTCACATTCAACGAACTCATCGGCAGTGCAACAGGAGCAGCCGACTATCTCGAACTCGTCCGGCACTACGACCGCTTCATAGTGACCGACGTTCCCGGAATGAATCTCCGCTCGCGAGATCTCGCCCGGCGGTTCATCACATTCCTCGACGCAGTCTACGAATCCCGCGCCAAGCTAGTGCTGACGAGTGCAGTGCCCTTGACCCAGCTCTTCATGTCGCGGGATGAAGTAGGCGAACTCATTGACTCCGCGGCGGCCAACGCCCCAAAGCTTCCATCCATCACCTCCAACACCAAGGCTTCCAAATCTGCACGAGCAGCCAAGGAGGTCAAGGAGGGCAGCGACGTGGACGACGCGATGAGAATGATGATGGATGATCTCGGTATGAACATGGATACTATGAAGAAGAGCAGTATGTTCACTGGGGATGAAGAGGCGTTTGCATTTGCAAGAGCACTGAGTCGACTGACGGAGATGGGTAGTCAGGAATGGGTTGAGAGAGGGCTGGGTATGGAGCATCGCGGTGGGGAGAAGGAGAGGGCTGACTGGACGAAAGTCAAAGGACAGTGGCATCAGGACAGTTATTGATTCGTCGAATTTGTGATGTGGAATTTAGCGTGTAGCGAGACGAAGACGAGCGATATGAATGCAAGATACCCGGTCCGCCTTTTCACCTTCTGACGCCGAGACAGCCGGTCCTTGGAGCGGCACATGCACTGAGAGACAAGGTACAGGCGACGGAGGAAGTCGTGAGCAATGCATCTCGCGTACGAGCCACGCCCAGCGGCAACTACTTGAACAATTTGCAGTCTGCAGCTCTTCTTCCGCCCTGCTCATGTCTACTCCCGACGGATGATGAGCTCATGGCCGTCAGGGTTAGGGTTACCCAGGTTCGTGTTCGGGGTCGTAAGGAGCTGAGCTTCTGGCCACCTCGACTCCAGATTGGACTTCGTCTTTCCCAGAGAACGTCGCTCGCCTGCTGGTGGAATCACTGTAAGCTTGTCTTCTCGTAGACGGATGTCAGAGTCTGCCATGCAGTCTCGGTAGGCGTTTTGAACTTGTATCGATACTACGGCAGAGTGAGGTCAAAGACCGGAAAGTACAAATCTCCCATTCCAGGCAACTTGGGATGACCTTGGTTGGATGCATTGATCGGCCTTGTAGATCCAATTCGTTGTCGTAGGTTTGATTTGGTAGGAATGGTTCTCGATTGACCCTCACCGGGCGACGGTCGATCGTGAAGTCCTTGCTCTCAAAAACCAGAGATAGTGGAGGTTTGGTTAAGAAAGGGGTTCTCCGCGCCATCATATTGGACGTCTCGGATCAAGCTGCAATTCGATAAGTCGAATAACATCAGGCTCTCGTCGAAATCCCAGCCTGCGTGGTGCTTAACGATGACGACGACGCTGCTGAGGACAAGCTCTATGCCTCTATCGTCAACAAGAGATCTAGCGATTCGACAGCGAGAACGGCCAGAGCGTCCGGATCTAGGCGGTCACAGCCGGTTAAGTAGTAAGTCAAGCAGCCGCTTAAGCAAGCCCATCCAAAGAGCCTCGACTTCATTACAGACGCCTTCCAGTTAAGTGGTTCGGATTGGCCCTACTCGAATACTTCCTGATTAATCGTGCGGTCCTAATAAGCTCGTACGAGGACCCCTATCGTTGCTCTCTTCTGCCCGAAATATGAAGCCCAGACTCTTTAGGTAGGCGAACTCGATTGGTAGACGAACAAGATCGTGCTACGAACACCTGCTAACGCAACCGCCTCGCCTTATTCCCTAGACCGAATAAGCACGTCCATCCACCACTGTTATCCACCACCCATCCGTCTTGTCGTCCACTACCTAACCGTCTTGCTATCCACTACCCTAACCGTCTTGCTATCCACCACCCTAACCGTCTTGCTATCCACCACCCCAACCGTCTTGTCCGGCTCGGCAGCTCTGTCGGCCTTCGGCCTCCATCGCCGCCTCGCCGGCGTGGGTACGGTACTCCGGTTTAGAGTTAGGGTTAGAGACACCGATAGAGTTATATAAGATATAGGCACAAGCGGAAGAGATAGATAACTAATAAGTATAAGAGTCCTAGACACCTAGGCAGAGCTAATAGATACCTTTCGCCTTAATAGCTTATTAGGGACTAGTAAGATTATATAGTATATATAACTAGGCTAAAAGCTATATAGTTACGTATTACGAAATAAGAAGAGTAGTATAAATTACTTACTATATATTAGCGTAGGCGCGTATATAGAGCGTACTAAGTTATTTTAATAGTCTAGACTATACTATATATTAGTTATATAACGTATTACGTCTACTATAGGTCCGACCTACGGCGTTTTTTACCTATCTAATTAGTAATCTACTCTCTATTCTAAAAGTATTCTAATATAAAAGAATAATAGAAATAGAGGTAAAATAGCGTAGAGAACGACTCTTTAAGAGACTATTTAAAGTCTTACTTTAGTAAGGTAACTAGCTATACGCTTCGTTAAGCGCCTACTATTAAAGGTAGCGACGTTAGATTTACGCCTTCTAAAAGTAGTCTTTATAAAGACTAAAAACGGACTAAATAGTTTATTTCTCTTCTAAAGAGAAGAACGTAAGAGTTAGAGTTAGAGATAGAGTAGAGTAGTAAGCTTATATCTATTAGAAAAGAATAGTATATTATACTATCTTTATATTCTAATCTAAGTATAGTAAGTAGTAGAATATTTAGTAGGCTTTAGTTAAGTATTATAATAGATATACGTAACCTCTAGCTACTTTACTTAAAGACTTTTCGCTAGTCTATACGTAAGTCTACTATAAGAGGCTTACCTTAAGATTATTACTAATCTCTCTTAGATAGGCTTTTAGAATCTATAGAGCTCTTTCTTTACTAATATAACTTTATTCTATAATAATAGCTTATTAAAAAGGCTATTTATTCTCTAAAGTAATTTAATTAGAGAACTATAAAGTAATAGAAGTAATAGTTCTCTTATAGTTACCTATTATTTCTATATTTCTAGAAGTATACTCTTAATATCTATATATTCCTATATTATATTATAGAAGAAGAGAAGTATAAGTAAGAGACTCTAAGTAGTTTAATTCTTTATTTTAGAAAGAGACTAAGACCTATTCTTATACCGTACCTATTTTCTCTATATATATAGTATATCTAGAAAGTATCTACGTCTCTATAGTACTTTTATAAACTCTAATACTCTCTCTTTAAAAAGTATTCTATTAGAGCTTATAACTATAAAGCGAGTTATTTCTACTTTAATAAAAGACTTTTTTACTATATTAGAGTAGATAGATAACTATAGAATATACTAATATTTATTTAGTCGCTTCCGAAAGACTCGTGTTTATAACTCTAAAGATTCTAGCTCTTAGTTAAAAAAGAACTCTACGTCTAAAAATAATCTTAGTTTATAAGTAGAACTTATTTCCTAACTAATCTTAAAGAGCTAAAGTCTAGAGAAAATAGAATCTAGATAAGATTAGAGAGCTATCTTAGTTTCTCTAAAAATTATTAGAATATTATTAATATACTAGGAATATAGTAATAAGCTACTATTAGGTCTCTAGGCTATAATCTTAGAGTAAAGTATCTCTTATAAACTAAGATTAATATTTACGAATAATAGAGTATATAGCGTTTCTATTACAATACCTTAAACCTAGTAATACTATTATTCTTAGAACTTAAAATAGTTTATAGCTATAACTATCTCTACTAAGTTAGTAATAGTAGTTATATTTACTTCTATATTATTATTTATTAAATATATCGCCTTATAGAGATCTACGATCGTTAATAGTACGTTTATATTAGTATAGAAGGACTTAACGTCCTTTATAATAATCTAAATAGTATTAAGTCTATAACTTAATAATCTTATAATATATAAGAATTACTTATATAAGGCTTAATTAGTATTAGACTTATTAGTAAAGAGATCTAGTAGAGAAAGAGTAAAACGATAGAGTAGTATAGTAACTTAAAGGGTTTATATTCTAAGTAGTAAGATACTATAGTAAGTTAAATATTAAACTAAGTCCCTAAAAGGGTGTCCTAATAGATTTCTAGTTCGACTAACTTATTCTATCTACTAGCTAGAAACTAGCTATCTAACTAGAGCTATAGTCGAATAGTTAAACTTATTATATAGTTCTTCTTATAGAGTTCGACTACTAGCTTCTTCTATTAGTCGAATATATAATATATAACGTATCTTACTATATATATAGAGTCTCTTTTCTACTTTACTAGCTAGAAATTCTTAAAGTAGTCTCGCTTTCTACTTCGATCTATAATACTATTCTCTCTCTTATCTTTAGCGCGTCTCGAGCTAAATCTTCTAGTAGATATCTTCTTTTTCTCTCTTTTCTACTATAAGTAGAGAGCTACTAACTCGAAAGAAGTATTATAAAAGATAAGTATCTTTAATCGAAAGTAATAGTCGTAAAATACTATCTCTATATTCTATCTATTATATAGTATAATTATCGAAAGAGAATCTAGTTTAGTATATATATAATACGTAAGTAGGTCGTAGGCGATCCGGTCGCGTTACGTAGCGAGATTATATAACGCGAGGCCTTACGAAGGCTCTACGGACGCCTTACGAACCCCTTACGATCCGGTACCGAGATATTACGTAATAATATTATATATAGGGAGGCTCTACGGAGGCCTTACGAACCCCTTACAATCCGGTAACGATATATTACGTAGTAACGTTACGTATAGTAAGGCCCTATAGAGGCCTTACGAACCTCTTACGAGTTAGTTACGAGTTAGTCTAGAGCTTACTCCGGTAGTTACGTAATACTTAGTATATATCCCCGGATATCGATAGGTCGTACGATCTACTCCTAGTCTCTTTAGGATTATTCTAGTATATATTACTATACCTATACTACTATATTCCTAGACATTATACTAATATCCCTATGTCTATATAGTAATCTATTATATAATAATCCTCTCTCCCTACTATTAGGGTAGTAGTCCGGGATAGTATCTACGTAAAGTACTACTAATCTAGAAGAACTAAACACGAGCCTACCGAACTCGCGCTACGCCTATTAGACTTAAGAAGTAGATAATCCGTAATAAGGGTTACCTATAGAACAAGCGTAGGATAGAAGGGCTAGTAGTAGCGAACCGTCGACGGTTCGTAGTCCCTAGAATCTTATACTAGCTCTAGAAGAAGAAGACGAAGACGAAATCGATAAAGCGGAGCTTTAGTAACGTATCGATATAGCGAATCGAGTTCGTAGTATTACGTTAAGAACTAAGTTACGTCTACTTAAGAAAGAGGTAGCGACACTATAGAGAGAATTCGTTCCTAAGGATACTACTACTAAACTACCTATAGTATCCGGTAGCGGCCTTATAGGATATAAAAGAGGACCCTCCGAATTATAGTAGGAGTATATCCTAACTACTAAGCGCTCTATTAAGGATCCGCTAACGTACGTTAGGAAATCTATAAAGGAATACTAAGATTAGATAATAGCGTATAAAATCGTATTCTCTTAGGTACTACGCTAATTTAAGAGCGATAAGGATAAGGTATTATAGACT